ACTATTTTTAGATTGTAAGAATTTTTTTCAGGGAGATGATAATGATTTAGTGATCCAAGCCTTACTAATTAACTAGGATGAGAGGAGGTGGATTCATACCTTTCACAACCCAATAGGAATTGGAACTCAGATCTCCAATTAAAAACTCCAAGCCATTATCTATTACACCACCCACACATCCAAGTTTACAGAACCTGGTATTCCCAAGAGGTACTGACCAGGCTTAACATTGCTTAACTTTGGTGATCGTACAGGAACTATGTATCTCCAAATAAAGAGAAAGAACAGTCAGATTAAGAATCTAAAGTTCTTTAGCAATTACTTTTTTTAAAAATTGCTCAATACAACGTAGAGCATAATATTTTAATATTTTTATTTAAAAAATTTTTTACTTCACAACACAGAAATTTCTGTTTCAAAACTTTAAATTTATTACATTATCAAGTGATGTTAGTTAACTTTTGATGAAAACAAAAGTTGCCAAACATTGCTTGATAATGGAACAAATTTAAAGTTCCAAAACATAGAAATTTCCGTGTTGTGATGTATAATATTTTTTAAATAAAAATTTTATTAATATATATATATATATATATATTTGGTTGGATAGATGTGAGTTTGTGACCCTGTGAACCAAATATGTTAGCTCTATCTCTGATATTGAGTGCTTTCTAATAAGTACCAGATATAATATATAAATAATTATACATATTTTATATTTATTTATATATATATTATATATATATATATATATATATATATATATATATATATATTACATTCAACATCATTACTTGATAAGACACCGTGGGTGTTGAAACAAAATGGCTGTTTTTGTAGTGATTTTATAACATATTTATTATAAATTTTATTAAATAAATAAATATATATATATATATATATATATATATATATGTGTGTGTGTGTGTGTGTGTATATATATATATATGTATTATAAATTAATTGATTTAAAATATGGTTATTTTCGCTACACAGTTCCAACCATGTTTCAAAAATAGAAGCTAAAAACCCCTAATTTAATTTTGCAATTAAATTAAAAGCATTAGTTCCATTTCATCTTCAAGTGAACTTTGGAGTAACTTTTTAAAAATTACCGGGTTTAAAAGACACAGCTATATATATATGTATGTATATATATATATACACAAACACACACAAAAAGGATGATTACTGCTACATTTAATCATACAATTGACATGCTTGGTAGAGAGTAACATGGTGTTTCTTTTAGACTCTGCACCAGTGGAGCCTCTCTGCGCCAGTGGAGCCTCTCTGCTCCAATGTGCAATTTTTAATGATCAGTGTAAAAACAGATCAACTTCTCCATGCAAGTCATTATAATAAAGATGATTGTATTGATGCAACTAACTTTACTGAAATAAATTTCATTCGTATCATGGCTTGATAAGATTGTTTACTTCAATAGCAGACATTTATCTTACATTATAATTCCCAACAAAAATTCATTTCGTTGTTAGAATTGCAGGATTTGTGTACTTTAGTACTTTTAATCCTTTCTATCTGACAAACAATTTGTTTTTGTTTTATGACTTTATAAACATAAATCCTTCAAAAACCAGCGTACTTTAAATACAATAATGTTTTTAAACACAAAGATTTTAGCAGAGGAGGACAGAAATGTGCCAACAGTTGTAATTACATAATAACTGTGAAATTATTTACACAAATTAACAAATGTTAATATTAACAGATATTTATTTAGAATTGAAAGCATAAAAATCTTTACAGAAACTTCATCTGTCGTAAATTCCTGTAGCTGCTGCTTCAAAAGTTAAATTTGCAAAATGAAAAAGAATGTTTTTTTTTTACTTTTTTAATTAACAAAACTCTATCCTGATTTCAATTAAAATGTCTCTCCTTTAGCTAAACTTTATCTAGTTTCATATTTTAGAGAAGGATTTGAAAACTTATGAACAAAATCGTTGCATTAATTACTCATGGTTATAAAATATCTTTAATAAAACATAGCTTGAACGTCCTCATTTGCAATCTTTGAGAATTCTTGAAACACTATTTTACTTTTTATACAGGATTTAAAGAAAGTTTATAGATTTATCTGTTTTTCTTTTTTTCAGTCTTTTTTTCCTTTTCAGCATTTAAACATTTTTTTGCCTATCTAAAAAATAAATAAAATGTCAAATAAATATTTAGCATTGAGCTTGTTTGCCTGACACTGTTCTCTTTATCCAGACCATCCTGATTTTATTCTCTAAATAAGAAAGCTACTTCTCTATCCAACTCTCACCTCTAAATCTTTAAGCATCCATTGCTTGTCTAATCCAGTACCTTGGCTGGCAAAATCCACAAGGCACCTGACAAATTCTGCAGTGGAGATTTCTTTCACAAAAAATGGATTCATATTCTTGAAAATCCGGAACAAGATTTTCTGTGCAAGGGACATGATCCAGACAAGTTCCATGCAGACATTTTCCCCTTAAAAAAAAAAAAAAAAAATTAATCTTTTCAAAGACAATTCATGTGGAAAATCAACCTTCAAAGTTTACAGAAAAGAAAAAAAACTTTGTATTAAAACTTTCAACATTAGAAAAAACATACCACAAGGTATTAAGATAAAAACTAACTCCAACTGGTTAATTGAGCCCAGGAGAATGGAAAATATGACGTGTTTGACAACCTTTCTTGAAACACATAAATTAAAGATGGACAGCATTAAGTAGAAACAAAATATTGTCCTAGAATACTCAAACTTTATAGTCTCCCTAAAACCCACTGGCATTCAAATGTGCCCCATTATTTCAGGAATTGATAGCATTACTCACAAATTTGTGAAAGCCATAATAAAAATTCTAACCCCTCTCTTTTGAACAATCAGCTCATCACATGTTAAAAATTCAGGCAACCTGCTTGAAAAAGCAAAGAGAATAAATATGACAGATAAACTCCTGACTAGTTTTGATGCTCAATCCATTTACATCAAGGTTCTTGTTAACAAATGCTTAAATCTTTTACAAAAGCATCTAACACAATCAAAAATATATCACTTTCTACTAATAACTAAAATAATAAAAATCTGCCCTCTCATCACTAATCAATGCTATTTTTATAAATAAAATTTTGGATTACCAATGGGTTCACCTCTCAGTAGGGTGATGGCATGTATTTTCTTAGAATTTCTTGAAGTTGATTCTTTCCAAACTATTTTAACTAATCAACATACTTCCAATATACTGATGACACTATTAATATATTTTCACAAAACTAACTTACCCGACCTTGTAAATAGGTTAGACAAAGTCAAACATACGATAGAATTTACTTATGAAATAGAAAGAAATAATACTTTATTTTTCCTAGATATCATGCTATACTGTGTTAACAATAGCTTAAAACTTAGTGTCCATCTCAAATCAACTAATAAAAATTGCTTCATAAATTTCTATTCTCACAACAAAAAAAATAAAATCTGGAATAATCATCAGATTCTATTTAAGAACACTCAGAATTTGTAGCCTTCAATATTTACATGAAGAGGAGAAATGCATTGAAAATAGTTTTAAGTTCTTCTAATAGCCTAATTATTATATACTCAACATTAAACAAAATGTTTATAAAATATTTAAAAACAGAAAAGCTGTCCTTCCTGACAAACCCAACAAATCAAAATATTATTACTCTATCAACCAATTCTATCACAACTACAATTGAAAAGAATTTATCTAAGCTTAACATAAAATTTGTTACAACTACTTCTAAAACAACAAAATAATAATCTAAATTTAATTTAAATTAAAAATTCTCAGCATGCTCTTCCCTTCATGCACATGTGTAGGCACATCAAGGTAAATATCAATTCAGACCAATGCAGTCCTAAAAGAAAAAACACATTACACAAAAACATTTTCCCACTTATATATATATATATATATATATGACTACAAAATATATGATTCTCCTAAATGGATGGATGGATGTTAGTTTCCATTCTCTCCTATATGGATGTGAAACGTGGACATTGTTGGCAGAAGCAGAGAGAAGGATCCAAGTGTTTAAGAACAAATGCATGAGAAAATTCCTTGGCATTTTCTATTGGGAAAAAATGAGTTTGTGTGGAAAAGGGTTGTAAGTTTTGTGTGATACCAGGAACCTCTTCTTGCGACTGTCAAACAGAGAAAAATGGCGTGGTTTGGATACATTACAAGGCCCGACAGCCTGTGCAAGACCATAATGCAATGCACCATTGTAGTTGGATGTAGGAGAGAATATTAATGCAAAAAGTAGTTCGACAATATCAAACAATGGAGAGAAATGACTGTACCAGAATTGCTGATGGCAGCCATTGATGGATTGTTATGAAAAAGAGATCCGCCCTACGATTACAAAGTCAAGGGGATGATAATAATATATATATATGTCAATCAGAGAGAGAGAGAAATGGAAACAATGAGAGAATCAATCAGTTATTTTTTCAATATGTATTAAAGTTTAACTAATAAAATTTGAAAATAAAGAAATCAATTTCACCTTCCATGAGTTTTCCAATTTGACTGATTGTGTTAACCAGTAGACTTGTAAAGTCACATTCTGTGTCTATCACATTAATAGCCGTACTTTCCTCGTAGACAAATGCATCATCATTGATCTAAAAACAAAACAAAAAAACCTTTAAATTCTTTTGATTAACCAAATAATATCAATAAACCTATAAAAAAAAATATTCAATAAATCAGCAAAAGTTCAATTGACTTATCTGATTTTGTTGGTTTATTGAACATTTTAAATCTTGTTATGTATTGATCACTATTTGGAAAAATTTCTGCTGGCCTGAAAAAAAAAAAAAAAAATCAAAATTTTCATAATTTCCACAAGTTGTGGCTTTTAAATGAAGATGAAATGGTATGCAAGAAGTGCTAGGATCATCATGTATGTTCCTGTAACAGGGTGTTGGCTCTGGTTCTATGTTTAGTTACATGAGAAAACAAAATGGTGATGATGAGGTAATTAAAAATTAGAAATGAATCATGAAAGAGGGATATCTTAAATAATTAGGAGGAAGGAAAGAAAAGAAACAGAGAATGAAAGTTAAATCAAACATATAAAATGAAGTTTATAAGGGAATGAGATTGAACCCCCAAATGAATTTGGTGAAAAGTCGTTAACTTCAGAATTTCTCCTAGGTAGTCTTCTCTCTTTGAAAAGGAAAAATATTTGCTTCAAATTTTCAGCTGAAATCTGATCAGAGAAAAAAATTCTTAATACTACAATGCTAAGCCATAAGGTATTTCTCATAAAGTTGGAATTTTTTTTTTTTTTTTTTTGCTGGGACCATGTTTTTTTTGGTGGGAGGGGTTGAGATAATGTAGGCAAAGGTGGAAATATTTACATACATCAATATCAAGCTGGGATGAGGGCCCATGAGGGGATCACTTATATAAACCAGAGAAGTATTTGGCTTCGTTAGTCACCAGGAGCCCTCAAGACAAGGTGCTAAGAAAATCCACATCACTCCACACATTCAGTGGACAGAACAAACACAAAGAAAATGGGATTGTTGCACAAGAATGGTTAGTACTACAGTATCAACCAAGAGGAGAATTGAAGAGGAGGGTAAAATAAAAACAAACCAAAGGCCTCAAAATACCCAATCACCATTTTCCTAGATGAAACATGTTTGTGTAATAAATTATTAAGTTTTTTGAAATGACCACTTGTCTTGAAGAGATCTTCCTCCTAGCTCTGACGTTCGAGGACCAGGTTTAAGATCATGTAAAAAACAAGTTACCACACTTCCCAGAAGAGTTTAATAACTCCTCTGTGGGGGACACAATGAACTACTAGGCAATCACCATTGAAAAACAGATTCATTCCAGAGAGTGTGAGACAAACTGGAACAGCTGATAAAGGCACATACTCGTATTTGGCCGGCTGAGCACAGTGGATGAGAAAAAAACCATTTACATCTTCGTTTGTCTATGTTTCTGAGATGAGGTATTATGTACACTATTTACATTATTCGGACTATTGTCCTCATCTTTGTCGCCATATTTATTACAACATTTCGGCCATTGTACACTCCGTCCTTCTTCAAGTGGGTGGAATGTCGAACTGAACCCTTTATTTTGCTCACTGGGGTAGACTGTTCTAGTTCAATGTGCCATGTTTAATGGATGTCAGTTATCTCCTGTTAATTCCCCTCTCCAAGTTCTCCACTTAGTTAGATCCAGTGACAGGACCCAAAGAGTGTGATTTCAATACCTGGCTAAGGCAGTGGAGAACTTGGAGAGGGAAATTAACAGGAGATAACCGATAACTGACATCCATTAAACATGGCACATGGAACTAGAACAGTCTACCCCAGTGAGCGAAATAAAGGGTTCCGTTTGACATTCCAACCACATGAAGAAGGTTGGTGCATACAACGGCAGAAACGTTGTAATAAATATGGCAACAAAGATGAGAACAATAGTCCAAATAATGTAAATAGTGTACATAATACCTCATCTCAGAAATATAGACAGATACTGAACAGAAGAAACATTGTAATAAATATGGCAACAAAGATGAGGACAATAGTCCAAATAATGTAAATAGTGTACATCTTAGTTTGTTTTCACATACGACTTCACATGTCAGTGGGTGTTATGACATATTTTTTTTTCAACTACTGCATCCGTTTTTCAAATCATTTGTCCATAAGAAATGCACATTTCCTCTTAACAAGCAGACTGAAAAATTCAATAAAATTCTATAGAACAAAATTATTTGATAATCATTCTATCTTCAAAATCCACTCACCTTGTGCCATTTCTTGTTTTTCATATCGGCAATTAGAGTTTGGCGTTTGTCTGAATAATGTTTAAGAACAATTCCTGGTTTTTCTTTCTGACCATTCAGACTATAAAATATCATGGAACCAACATTTGGAATCTAAATGAAAAACAGAAAAAAATTCTTACACCCAGAAATATTTGAATTATGAGGCAAACAAATTGTAAAAAGTGAAATGAATGAAGCAAAAACATTTCAATAGACAATCAATGAAATTTTAAAATTTGATATTTTAACCACAGAATCTGATGACACCAACTCTAATCACATTAAGGACGACATTTAAATCTTTTTTTTTTTTTTTAATATTTTCAAAACAGTATTAAAGTTAACAACTTTTGTCTATATCATTTTTATTTATATTTTAATATTTTTATGTGTTTTGCAAAGAGTTGGGTCAGAAGTGAATATCAAAGACAATATTTAAACATTTGTACATAGGAGTGTGATTTCTGCTAGATTCTCAACTACCATAGCCTTGTGCCATACTAAGCTAAACTTAGTAAATAAACATTTGTTGCACCTACCATGGCCTGCTATTAAGTTTATATTGCAGATTAATTCTTTAAAGGAGTGAGCTTGATCCTCAGTGGATGCTACACTAAACTGGCTATCAGTAATATTCATGGACTCTGCTGTCGTTGATCGACGCGGGCTGTTGACTGGTACCTACCAGGAACCTGTTTTATGATATATGAGAGTCAGGCCACTCAGTGCCTAGAAACTGACAGCCAGACAACCTGCACAAATGATTTGATTATAGTGATGCAGAACCAACCACTTTTTGAAGAGTCGAGTACAGAGACCTGGTACACCATGTGCCACAAGGTCCCCAGACAAACCTCCACAGGTTTTGAATTCAGAGTTGTCCTTCTCCTAGACCAGTTGCCATCCAAGGTTATAGTACCCAGTCTGTCCTGCTATTTACCCATACCTGGAGGGAGAAGAAGAGGATTCATACCTTTCCCAAGGTTATTAGCACGTAAGTGAATCCAATGGATTCGACTGGTCTTCGAACTCTGCCCTCCAATTCCTCAATCCGAGCTGTTATCCACCGTGCCTCCTTATCAGTAATATTAATATTGTTTAATGGAATTAAGTTTCCATTGAATACATAACTGCAAAAAGTTAGAATATGGTTACAGAAAGCCAGGGAAAATATTTTCATGCCTGAATCATGTTGCTATGATTTTGACATGAATAAAAGATTTTGTAAAAGAGATGTAAAATTAAAAACACTGAAAACCTTTTCATAGAAAAAAAAAAAAAAAAAAAAAAATCTTGATTCAGGGTGCAAAATACTCACTTCTGGAAATCCAGCCAATACAAACATGGAAAATAATGCAAATGGAAGATTTTTCTGAAATGAAAAAAAAAAGATTTTATGTATGAAAAATTAAAGAGTTGACCAATTTAAATAATTATTTTTTTTTTAAAAGTGATGTTAATAATGGGTGTACATATAATTATTTTGCCAAATACATTTCATGTTGAGGTTGCCTGTGTTCACTTAGCACTAATACCTTTGGAAAAGGCATGAAAATACATTTTTCTGTGTACACTCCCAGCACCAGATATATAGACAAAAACATCTTGTCACTTGTATGTCATGACTGTTGTCAATAGAAAGCAGTGAATGAAAAGATGGGTGGGTAAACCAGTCTCCTTTAATTACTATCAAGATATGTAAACAATCAAGACTGTTTCTTTGCAATCACATCAACATGAACTTTAGGAGGAAAAAGTGCCTCCCTAATAGAAGTGGACGATTATCACCTTTTGCAATGAAAAGTCAAATGTTCAAGTTTGGTTTGTTTTACCAGGTATCAACCATCTTGGTTTGTTTAATGCTGAAAATCAGTTTTTTATTCTATATTTTAGGAAGTTTTAAGTTTTATAATTCAGAAAGCATATTTGAAAACTAGTTGTATAGTTTGTCTATATGTGGAGTTGTTTGGTGTATAATTTAGTTTTCCTCAAGTAGGTCAAAAAGTTCTCTAAGGCTATTCACTTAATAAAGGCATTTACGGATAGAGGAAAATTCTGCATGGTCAATCATAAAATGTTTCACTGTGTATGTCTCCTGGTACTCTACACATTTAGGTGGGTCCTACTCTTTTAGAAGGAATGAATGTGTCATTTTGGTATAACCAATTTTGATTCTTCATAAGACTACTTCTCTTCAGTAAAGACTGGTCAAAAGTTCAAGACAAAGTAAAACTGATAGATTACAATTTCTATATGGCTCATAGATACCTTTGAACTTCATTTATATAACACTGATCTTTAACTGTTTACTGATATATATTTAAGGCTACTCTCTTCAACTTTACTGTTTTTAAAATAATATATTTATAAATATATTCCTCAGCATTTGAGCATTTTGTGGTGTAATGGTTACATAAATAGCTTCACATATGATCACTCTGATGAGTTTGATCCTTACTGAGTAACACATAACTGTAGCTTTGTGCCAAATCTAAGCTTTGTAAATAACTATATTCTTCTGCTTTCTGGTATTGTTTCAAAAAAAAAAAAAAAAAAAAACCTAAAAATTCCACACATTTTCAAATTATTATCTTTAACATAAAAAAAACATTTGAGGAAGGCTGAAAAAGATACTGAGCAAAACATTGTATTAAAAACAAAGGCAAATAGTTAAAAAAAAAAAAAAAAAAAATGCAATTCTATCGTTGACTATCATTCTTTTGCCTCCAGGAAGGATCTGACTCCTGCTATGATTTGTCTTTACAAGAGTTCGATTAGACCAAAAAGAGAGCACTGCTGCCATATCTGAGCTGAGGCGGCTCAATTCTCACTTTCCAGGTTTGGTAGAGTTCAAAATAATTTATGTAGACTTGTGGGGAAAAGACTTATTCTCCACTCTGTAGCCTCTTCTCTACATGTTGCAAGCCTGTTTGCTACTCTCTCACTATTGGCAAATGTTCACATGAGCGTTCCATTCTATAGTTCCATAAGCTCAGACCTTTACAACCAAGACATGGCATAACACTTTCACGGATTCAAATCATTTCCTTCATGCTCTAAATGTAAGGAACAAGTTCCACTCAGTCATCTACCCCACACCCAAGAACTGCAACTTTGTGAAATAGATCCCAAGATGAATACTTTCCTGACCAATAAAATTATGACCTTTCAAGGGTCATCATTATCCTTATAATTTTCACTACCACCATCTATATCACACACCTCATTATCATCACCATTTTGATTTTAACACTCTACCAGATCTTACTTATTATAAAACGCAGATTGTGTGTGTGTGTGTGTGTGTGTGTGTATAACGTTTATATATTGGATCGGATTTCCTACATTTTTCAACCGATTTCAAGAAAACTTCACAGGACTACATAAAATTACCTTGTGGTGGTTCTAACAGTGCCAAAAATGGGAAAAATATAATTGTTTTTGCACAAAATCAATTTGAAAACACGATTAAGAGACATCGTGAAAATGGAAGGGGGACAACTCACATTGGATTTCCTATATTTTTCAGCCGATAAAACAAAATTTCACTTTTTTTTTTTTTTTTTGGCAGGTAGTGTTTCTTATTCTCTTGCCCACTTTTTCCTTTATTTTTAACATTCAGAATGCTTTAAAAATTCCATTTACAAGACAATTATTTATAATAAAATTCAATTCAATTGGGAGACTCATAACGATTGAAAACAATGTTTTTGTTTGAGTTTGGGTTTGGGTTTGACCAATTAAAAAAAAAAAAAAAAAAAAAACTAATTAAGACATGCGTGTCCGTCTACCTTAAACAATAATCTTTGTCAATTTTATTTTTCAGTCTTTATGATGGTGGATACTTGATCTATCTCTTACTGTTATATCCCCGGGCAACGCCGGGTTCTACTGCTAGTCTGGAATAAATGATCGATTTTTGTTGTGACTGTACTTTATTTTCTTTTCTTTCTTTTTTTTTTTCACCCCTAACTGTGAGTCAGGCAGCTGCTCTACTCATTGAATTATGACAGTCAAAAGATGTAGAAGATCAAAACAAACCAAATATGATTTATCATCTATTTTATTATCAAATGTTGTTATCATTCGTATTTTGTTTACATATACAAATAGTATTAGTAGCACTAATAATAATTATTCTTTAATAGAAAAAAAAAACACTGAATGAAATGCTAAATGAAAATTAATAGCTGACAATGAATCAAGTACAAATAAAAAAAAATTCAAAAAAGAATAATAATGAAGTGTAATTTAATAGAAATAAAAAGAAAGATGCTTACTGGCATAGATATGACACTCTCAACAATTGGCTTGATGCATTCATGGATGTATTTTGTAATGACATCATTCCAGTGACTTTTGCTGTCTAGTTTATGGATTGTTCTGGCTATTGAGCAAGCCCATTCAATGTTGCCCCTGCAGCAAGAGAAATATACGATATAGACATCTTACTACCAATGAAGACAGAAATGCTTTTAGCAAATGTGTGCGTGTGCGTGAGAGAGAGAGAGAGAGAGAGAAGAAAGGATAACTGAAAGCAGACACAGAGGGGGAAACATGAAGCAGAAGGAGTTATGGAAATACATTGAGATGTGCATACAGAGAAATGGTGGGGGTCAGATAGTAAAGAGTACCTGGATAGAAAGAATGCAGTGTTCAAACAGAAATGAAGGGTATTATGAGGAGAATGTGGAGATGGACAGATATCAAGGTGTGACTTGCGAGAAAGAGAAGGACAGGCATTGAGAAATGAACAGAAAAGAAAAAAGGGAGAGAGAAGAAAAGAAAAAAAGGGAGAGAGAAGAGGAAAACAGAGATGAATAAAGAAAAATATGTCAAATAATTCTGATTTAGTATTTGAGAACACAATTAGGAAAAACATGTCAATGACAAAGATTTTAAATGTAGCAGCCAAATTTAGAAACCAAAAATAAATACTTTGTGATCAAAGGCACAAAAGACTTACGTAAATAGTACCATTTGGAATTCAATTCAGATTTTTCAGTTTTTATAAAATTGCATTTCATACCAATTTATACTAATTTAGTAATTCAGATGAATATTTTAAATATATATGCTCTTTCTAATCTTAATTTTTTAGATTGGGTTTTGTAATTGTACATTACTTCATTCAGCTTAAGGTCCTAATAATTGCACATTACTTCATTCAGCTTAAGGTCCTAATAATTGTACATTACTTTTAATAACTTTACAATGAAAGACAACAATTATAAAAATATTTAAACTGAATAATAATCCCAATAACAAACTTAGAAAAGAAAAAAAAATGCTTTTTAGCCTTTTATTTTTTCCACACGTCAACAATGATCAAAAGAAAGAGGCCAAAACATTAAACAGCACAAATTTTATCTCCCATCACAAAAACTTTCTAATTTAAGTGAGAATAAGATACAAAATATATACAAAATGTGATAATTTGACAGAAGATCTATAAATATAAATATGTAAAATACTTACTTTTCAAAGCAATTACCTCCCCACATTAGCAAGAAATTCACAGCTTTCTCCCCAGTTGCAAGCTGATCCATGACTTTGTCTTCAATTGATAACATAGCCTTGTCTGCACACTGCATTAAAAAAAAGAAAAAAAAAAAAAGAGAGATCAGAGGTTTTCTACTTTTTATATATTACACAATATATTTTTGTTCAAGTATTTAGACACTTCTGTTAGGATGAAATATTCTTATAAAACACAACACAAAGACCTACTTGAAATACGAGAGAAGTTTGATACATCACCCTACATCATTAATTGGTTTTAGAAGTCACAACTTAGGTCAAAAAACAACTTAAGTCAAAATAACCACCAAATAAACTGAAAATGAGCACACCCCATTGCATATTACAATATTTATATGTACGTACAGTATTCTGAATAAAATAGTTTAACAGTGATATAGCCTTACACTTAGTATTAGCAATGAAAGAGCAGTATGGCAATTTCTTCCAATATAATCCAGTTTCATCAATGTTAAAATCTGTTCAAGAAGAAACCCGTTTTCTTCGATGATCTTAGCCAATGCTTTAGGAAAATCAGCTGCTACTTGTTCGTCAGCTGATGCACTTCCCCTTGCTTCTTAATAGAGTGATAACTTCTTCGTTCTTTAAATCTCATAAACCAACTTTGACTCACTTTAAACTCTACATCTTTCTCATCTGGGTATTTTTGGTTCAGGACCTCAGACATTGCTTTCACTTCAATGATTTCTTGACTAATAGCAGCATGCTGATGATTCAACCTATCAATCCACCTACCATGAAAAATGCCAATATTGATCTCTTAAAGACCTCTAAATAAGACAACAACACAGAGTCACAGATGTTTTCATATTTCATTCTCTAGGATTTTTGATGATTATATTAACATTTACTGTAAATGTATGTGTATTAATATGATTTTATATACTTTTATTCTTATTTATTGTACAGTAACATGATTTTATATGCTTTTAACACTTTTCTTGTGATATTACGAGTTCAATATTTGTGGCGGACGGATGTAAAGTCGAATAGAATGACTTAAACATGATTTTTATTTTTCCATGTATTTTTTTGACAAACAATATTTAATCAAGAACAACTTAACTCAAAACAACATAATCCAAGGTATACCTGTATTTGATTAATCTGTAACCTCTACTGGGAACAAATAGTCTGCATGCAAAGAGAACAAATTCAGAGAATAAACAAAATAGAAAAAGTAGTAAGACAAGGATGCATTTTCTCACTGGATTTATTTAATGTGTACAGCAAGACAATCTGAAGAGAACTAGGAGATCCATCAGGATTTATTATCAGCAAACATAATCTTAGCAACATAAGAAACACCGATGCCACTGAGTTGATGGCAGACTCAGAATGGAAACTGAAAGAACTCTTAGACCAAATAGTAATGGAAAGTAAGAAGAAAGAACTATAAACTGAAAGGAGGCTGAATGCATAGTTGTCAGTAAAAGGGGGAGCCTAAGATGTGAGCAATATATTGGGGACATCAAAATCAAGTACGTATAAAAAAAAATTCTATCTGGATAGTGTAGTAAGACGACAGAAATGTGAAACAGAAATCCAAAGAAAGTGCTAATGATGTCTTCCAGAAACTAAGCAAAGTATAATAGAGAGAAAATTTTTTTTTTGAATCACAATGCCAAACTGCTATATAATATCTAATCTCAGCAAATGCTGGAAAAATTTTTTTAATCATTTCACCCCAAGCAAGATTTTAGTGAGGAGAAAGGACAATTAAAGAAAAGGTTTTGTGAAGACACAAGATGGCGATAATGCCACTAAGATGCAAGGAGTTACTAGGAGTGAAAGAGAATGAGAAGACTTTAGTGAGGAGAAAGGACAATAAAAGAACAGGTTTCAGGAAGATAGAAGATGGCAATTGATGTTGCATTTTTATTTTTTAAGATTGTGTCAGGCAGGGAAGCAAGAAACTGGAAAAGAATTTCAAAGATGAGACATGCAAGAAAAGAAGTATTAGAATAGAACTTATGGTTGCATCAAGCTATGTTCATTGGAAAAAAAAAAGAAGCCCAAAGAGAATTCTTTTCCAATTATTTTATCAAATGCAATAACACCATGTCCAATAACTATTCTCAAAAGCCTCTCTCTTAAATCACTAACAACACATCCATATCTCAAATTTTCTACAGACACTGAGCATTTTTTTTTTCTTCTTAGATATTCTTAAAACTAAAAATGAGAACTGGAGAAAAAGTAAAGTGCTTACCTGGAGAGTGCTTCTGGTGAGTAAACGTCCCAGCAAACCCATTGCCATGAATTTTGTTGTGTCATCATACATAATTTTACTACTGCAAAAAGATCATAGTAAATTGTAGAATACAAATCAAGATAAGCCATATGAATACTTATAAAATACATTTAGACACACAAAATACTTGGTTTCTTTTATACACATGACCATTTGCCTAAAATATACTTATGTATCTTAAACTTTGATAAGGCAACAATAAAATTTTAATGTTTATATTAAAAAATAACCTATTGAACCCATACATTCAAAAACCAGATGAACAAAAACAATCAAGAAATGGTCACAACTGACTTCAATGAATTTGGCAATTGTACATGATCGTGTGAGTATATACATATGAATATAATAATTGTTTATACTTATTGCTGAAATGAATGATGACCGCAGCAATGGTCTTCTCAATTTCTTACATGAAATATTGTCATGATTATTTATTTTTCACATGTCTTTCTTTCATTCTATTTCTCTTACTTTTTATCAGATCAATATTCTAAATTTGATCAATAAGAGTCAGATTTCCAACAAAACCATCATCACATAACAATGACCTTTGGATCAGGCAGGATTTCATATATTGTTACCACTAACCCTAGGCAACCCAGCAATACCACACAATATCATCTGATTTTGTTGATTCTCTGAGGATAACAGATCCATAGAAATACAGCTTAGTCTTTCTGATAAGATCATACCAACTTTACTAAATTATGAGGAGTTAATAAATCCTCAGCATTCCAATTTAATAGGATACATATTCTAATACAGGGTTCAGCCACATGTGGCATGCCAAGCAATTTCCAATGGCACACAGCTGCAAATGACATCACAAAGCCCGAACCAATAACTACAACACAAAGATATTTAGCTGTTTCAATTTTAATATATACTAAAGTATATATACTATATATTACCATATAAAATATATTGTAGAACAGGTATATTGACCTTGACTTGTGTTATGGTAATTTACCCACATATGCATGGATTCTCCTAGCTATAATTAGGAACAGGTACTGCCTTTTGGAGAGGGAAGTTTCCAGCAGTCAGCTCTGACAGTCAGACCAAACATTCTTGCTGTAACACTCTCATTTGTATAATAGTCTCTGTTAATATATTTGTTTAACTCAATTCCTCTCTTTGTGTCGTTATTTCTAGCCCTAACAAGGTCACAACAACTTGTATAAAAATATGTATGCTATTGGCACACTGGGTGATTTTAAAACCCTAAGTCGGCACATAGCAAAATGTTGCCAACCCCTGTTCTAACAGACTGTTTTATACAGGGCAAGTGATTGACTTCATCTAAAGTATAAAAAATTTAGGATTTCTCTTGCTGTAGTTGAGAGTACTAGCTTTATTTTTTTCCAGATATAGAATGCTCAAAGAGTAAAAGATAGCTCAAACAAAAGAAATTTTCTTTTTCTTATCTCAAGTTTTCTGGGTCAATTAAGGGACTAGGTACAACATGATTACATACCTTAATGCACTTGACCTTGAAAGAGACAGATTAATAAATTCCCTGAAAGTGTGGATATTTCAAAACACTGTTCAAAGTATATACATGTCCCACAGCCAAAGCTGTACGTAATTAAGTCATTTAACTAGATAATGTTATTCTACCAAATGAGAGGCCAATCTTTGATCGTGCCATCCATAACCCTCTTTATTCAAGCTATGTTGGTTTTCTTTTACCAAACACTGCATTCTGTATTCAATTTTACACACACACACACACACATGTAAAAATACACAGATAGATACATTTTCACATACTCACAAAATATTCCAATAAATCAGTACAGTGTCATGCAAATTAGAAATCAATTGCAATCAGATATATGAATCAATACAATAGAGAAAAATTAAAATTGCAACAAAAGGAGCACATCTCTGCAGCATGACACCAGACTTTCACCACAATGAACATTAATGCAACGTGTGTCAATGACTAAAATGCAAACTGTGACAGGACAAGATGGCTGAAGGCTTTCCAAACTTTATCTACTACCCCGTATGTATTGTATGCAGGTCAAAATTGACACTGTCCTTCAGAGTAGTGCAATGTCATTTTCCAGTAATCTATATAAATCCTTAGTCAAATGATACAATTATATTCAGTAAGAAAACCTACCTGGAAATTTGGAACATGGCTTTGAGAAATTCATGGAATGTATCTTCACTTATACATTTGTACATATCAAAAGAGTTCTGAAAAAGAAAAATTAGTAATGAGTTATAAGAAAAAAAATTTCATCTTTCATAAGAAACAGGAAGAAAAACAAGAAAAAAAAGCAAACTATGACATCAAATAATCAAGATTATTTCCTAATAAAGGTGAAAAGAATTAGCATAATTTATGCTATAATTTGGAATTTACCTCTTACTTCTGTAGATTTATATACACCTCAGTGGCAAAATAAAACTCCTCTATAGTAAGATTTTACAAACAAGTAGTAGTTTGAAAATTAACAGGCAAAATCTTTCTTTACTGAGCAGGAATTTAGTCAAGAAAGTAAATTGCATAGGTAGATAAAAAGCTTAAAAAGGCAAATTCTTGGTATGGTTTGTAAATGACTTCCACACAAATTTATTTCTAAGGGCACCAAATTGACCAGCATGACAAGACCATATTTGGCAATAGGAGAAATTGGTCAAGCCATCTGTAAATGAGATGATATGATTGAAGGCCAGAAGGGATTGAAACAAGCCAAACAATCCAACCTAATAAATAAATTATGGAATTTTTTTTTTTAAATCATTTCACCCCAAGCAAGGCAATAAAGCCACTAAGATGCAAGAGGTTACTGAGTGTTAGAAAATATGAAAAGAAAACACTATTAAGAAAACAAAAAATAATGATTGACATTGAATTTAAATTTTTGAATATCAATGTTGACTAGGAAGCAATAATTGTGAAGAGAGTTCTACAAGCAAGAAGTGTGAGAGAAGAAATTGTTAGCATAGAACTTGTGGTTACATTTAACCATTTCAACTGTAAAATGATGAGGCATTGCCACCAATCAAGTACAGCACTTAGATTAATAAAGTCTAAGTACCATAGATGAAGCTTCATCAGAACAATTACCATGAAATTATTTATAGAAAAGGCACAGGGAAGTTATTATGGTGGAGAAGTGGCTAAAGCTGAGATGTCAAGTCAAGGCCAATAACATTGCAGATAGGTACAGTTGGTAAGGCCTGAAGTGGATGCATTTGTCAGGGCAGATAAGTGAGGTTAACTGTGGTGATGTTGAGAAAGGCCTGGAGTAGATTAGTGAAGCCACAAATCTGACTCGGTCATTCAAGGGTGGCTTTCTTAAAAGCAAATCTGATGACTCCCAGACTCATCTTTTTTTCTTTGGCAGCAATGTTCAGGATTGGTTTCTTTTATGTTATATATATATATATATATATATATATATATATTTTTTTTAAGGGATTTTGTTTCATGTGTTGGATGTGATGTTCAGAGCCTCTGCACAGAGGACAAATCTTTTTTTATTTTTGGTTTCACTTTCTTAGTTTTGGCCAACATTGGAAAGAGATCAAATTTGAAGCAGAGTATATCTTTACATGAAGTAAGAACCAATTTCTTACCATTCCTTTGCCATCTTCTTGAATCAGCATTCCAAGCAATGAGAAAATCTTGAATTGTAAGTGACTGGTAAAAAGTTGCTCATCACAACAATCAATCAGACGAGGATCTCCAAGAAAGCTGAGCTCATCTGGAAAAAAACAACAGGGGAGATAACTTGTGTAAGTCCTATTTGACAGAACAAGAAATGTACAAAAACAATCATAAATGAATCTAAAACAAATAATTCAAGAATTATTCCTACTAATAATTATGTTTTCTATTGTTCAACTGTCTTTATTCAAGTGATTTTCATTCAAACAAAGTTTGCCTTACAGCTAACAGTTATAGATCTTACTAATGTTACTGATCAGCATTCCTGCCCTGGTAATGACCAAGGATTTTAAAGCTAATTTTCAAGGTAAGAAGGTTACTTCAGAAAATAGCCTAATATGAACATTTTTTAACACATTTGACCTTCTGTGATACAAAGCCAAGTTTCATAAATAACTAGTTATGTTATTTTGAAACTAAAGTTTGCAAATGCTGAAAGTAATTCTAATAATGTATCTCTTTTTTTATACTTTCTCTGGACATCGGTGATAAGGAATTATCATTATTAGACATTAAACTTGGTTGCCATAATCACATTCTAGGTGTTTTAACCTTCTTCAAGTGGTAATCTCTAACACTTTATTCAATCTACAAAAAGTAGATTCTTTCTAATTCTGCTCCGTTAAAGACCATCTAATGATTTTTTTCTTTTTCTTTATTCTTCCTTGTCACACAACTTATGCTCCTCTCACTGAACCAATAGAAGATATGGATTTCATTGCTTGACCTAGGAAATAAATTCAAAACAATCGTAATAGATTAAAGCATAATATAGATTGTATAAATGAGCATCTGGCCAACTGGTTAGATTCTAACCAGTCGGCCAAATGCTAAAATGTTAAACTTTTAACTGTTAGAAGTTTAACATTCCAACTATGAGATCTAGGTTCGATTCTCACCATGGTCAAGCTGTCAAGAATTTGACTAGGGAGATGGTCTCAGTGTGTGACACAATTTGGAAGTGCTTAAAATCAATATCATCAGTTGACTCAAGCTTTGTGAGTGAAATTCAGGAGATAAAACTATTCAGAAGTCATTGGTGATTGTGCTAACACAAAGTCACATAGTCATCATGCTCAATGATTCAAATACACTGCTCTTGTTCAAGACAGCTGATCATACCAGATCATGCATTCTCTCTCAGGAGCTAGATCTAAGTAAAGTTCAATATAGTTGCAGAATAAACCACAGGTCGGAGCTGTCAGTGTTGGAAAAGGAAAATATGCCCGAGCAGGTATCAGCCAAGAGGGATTAGTGAACCACCTTAGCAAAGACGCATACTCAGATACAAGCAACAAGTCATTACGATATCTGGTTATAACAGCTTTAAAAGTCTCAACTGTTCACAAAAAGAAATTCAAAGAAAGTCATTTGCTTTATAAATATGAAATGAAAATAACATCACTTACTTTCATCAAGTCCATATAAGAGATCATTAAGAACCATGTTGATGCATTTGTTGTGTAATTCAAAAGCCAACGGGTAGTAACGGTTATCCATGTTAGTAGCCTGCTCTCGTGAAGACATTCTGTTCAGTTGCAGAGCCAAAGAAACATACAGAATCCATGAATGTTGCTGGATGTAAGTCTCAATGGCAATCGATTTGGCTTTAACAAAACAAAAAAATAGTTTAAGAAAAAATAAAGAGAATACTCAGAATTATGTTTGGTTTGTTTTACAGCATATCAACACCTCAATGGGTTATTTAATACCGACAAGATTTTTATTGCTGGTAATATTTTTTTCTAAAAATTTATTGCTTGTAATAATTTTTTACAAAAATGTATTGCTGGTATTAAAACCTATTTATACACTTTCATAAAGTTTTGACCCCAGTTTGGGGGTTAACTACTTGCCCATAGCTGGGACCCAAACAGGTGCTACCACCCTGGGTTAGGGTGGACCTGTGAACACCAGCAATTAAGAGGTGCTTCCATGCTCCTCAAAACCTCCTGATCAGAGGTCTTGATGTTGGATGAAGTTTATCATCTTACCCAGGATGCAGATGCAATTTATCATCATACCCAGACAGTCATAATTGTATGGAACATATTACAATTAAAAATGATAACTACACTTTGAAATTCAAATTATATTGTCTAAATTGAGCTAGGAGATTGGATTTAATTAAACAAAGAGAAGATGTGTCAGTGGATTGTGAGGATTGTGCAAACCACACAGTAAACTAGACAAATATTAAGACCTTGCGTGGAAAACAAATTGTGAAATATGAACATGACACTAATAGTTATGAATGGAATGTTTGGAAACAATCTTAACAATACCCTTACTAAAATCTGCAAAAAAACTAAGGAGAGTGCTGCAAAACTAAAGAGACTTGTTGTTACTTGATCTCCAGTAAAAAGTAACTAGTTACTAATAAATCTGAAAACTCAATGAGCAAAGATATTTGTTATATATACACTATAGGTCAGGGGTCAACAACCTTTTGCTAACTATGTGCTGACTTAGGGTTTGAAAATCATTCAATGTGCTAATAGCATACATGTTTTTGTACAAGTCAAGATCAATATACCTGTTCTATAATATATAGTATATATACTTTAGTATAATATATAGTATATATACTTTAGTATAATATATAGTATATACACTTTAGTATAATATATAGTATATACACTTTAGTATAATATATAGTATATAAACTTTAGCATAATATATACCATATAAACTTTAGTATAATATATACCATATAAACTTTAGTATAATATATACCATATAAACTTTTAGTATAATATATACCATATAAACTTTAGTATAATATATACCATATAAACTTTAGCATAATATATACCATATAAACTTTAGCATAATATATACCATATAAACTTTAGTATAATATATACCATATAAACTTTAGTATAATATATATTTCATATAAACTTTAGCATAATATATATTTCATATAAACTTTAGCATAATATATACCATATAAACTTTAGCATAATATATACCATATAAACTTTAGCATAATATATACCATATAAACTTTAGCATAATATATACCATATAAACTTTAGCATAATATATACCATATAAACTTTAGCATAATATATACCATATAAACTTTAGCATAATATATACCATATAAACTTTAGTATAATATATACCATATAAACTTTAGCATAATATATACCATATAAACTTTAGCATAATATATACCATATAAACTTTAGCATAATATATACCATATAAACTTTAGCATAATATATACCATATAAACTTTAGTATAATATATACCATATAAACTTTAGTATATATTAAAATTGAAACAGCTAAATATCTTCTTTGCATTATAATAGTTATTGGTTCAGACTTTGTGACCTCATTTGCAGCTGCATGCCATTGGAAATTACTTGATGTTCCATATGTGGCATGCATGCCATTGGAAATTACTTGGCATACCATGTGTGGCACATTTGCTGCAGGTTGCCAACCTGTGCTATATGCCAAAAGTTTAGGGCCAACCTCTGAGTTTCAAAGAACTGCCTAATAATTGAAGCCTGCATGTTTTAATCAAAACTAATTTATGAGTTCATTTTGGCCTAGAGACAATATCTCATCCTGAAAGGTTTCATCATATATTCAATAATAATAAAATTTTATTAAAACAATAAAAGCAGGTATATTAAAAGGATATTCATAACAAAAGAGAAAAAATTCATAACAAAAACAAGGGTTAATAAAATTAACCCACTACTTTTTTTTGCTTCTCCTAATGTGCTGGCTAATGGTAACATTAAAGTTGGTGGATTTAAAGTTTTGTGTAACCTCATCTCTAAGAAATTTGTCACCTTGCACTAATGGGTTAAATAGATTCAGCATTCAAGCTTAGTAGGAGTTAATTAAAGCAAAAAAGTAATAAAACTTACTAAATTACTAAATCCAGTGAGGGGTCTCAAAATGTTGACCTCTAGTGAATATAAATGTTCTGTCACTATTTACATGGAAAATGTTCAGAGAAGTTATTTTCCCTAGTTTCACCAGTTCAGACCTTTAAAACTAAGACTTACTATGCCAAGTACACAGGGGTAAACCATCCTTCCACTGGTCAGACATGCGTTCCAATCAAACACTACTTTACCGACCATTGCCATGTAACCTCTTCATTATCTATCTTACATAACCTTATAATCTACTATTGTTACATCTATAAAACAACTAGTCTGTCACCCTCTACATTGAGTGGTTCTTGGGCCTTTTATTGGATGAACAATTGGATAAAAAAAGATATTTAAACAGTGGGATTTAAGGAAACAACAGAAAGACAAAGCAGCTGATTTAAGATATTGATTACTTAGTGTATAGGAAGTGGGGGGGGGGGGTGTTATACTTAAATAAAAATAGAAAATTACTAAGTTATAAATACTTACATATGATACGTGGGATCTTCTTAACTGTGTGATCATCTTTGTGACTGAAGAGTAGAGAAAATTAAAAATAATATTCTTCTCATTTGACACGGTTAAAGTTACAATAAAATCTTAACCATTACAATACTGCAGGCAACAATTGTCGCCATAGAATTCTCTCCCTTTGCTAATCTAGGCGCATTCTATCACCTTCAGACAGTTGCTATAAATAAACACTTGTCATTTCAAGCTGGAAATCACCTACTACTGCTTTAGAACAAGGCTAAACTTCTGTTTTCCAATGCCATTTTGAATTCTTCTAGACTCGACACAGGACGTAGCATCAATTAAACCCATGTTAATTTTTTTGTGATATTTTGTAAACAAAAATGGCCGCATCAATATCCCACAAAGCCTTTATTCAGGAGTTTTTCTTTGATTTGGACTCCAATGATGATTTTGAAGGCTTTACTTGAGTGGATATTGACGGTGAAGTGGTTGGAGATGATCACCCCACTAGTGACGTGGAGGAAACTAACAGCTACTATCATCCATGCCTGACTAATTTTATGGAAGCTACTGGCAACCATCGATGCACCTAACAGCCTTTCTGAAGGTGAATTATTTTGCCTATTTATAAACAAATAACTTTATTCATCAATGAGACAAATAAAGATGAGTCAGGTGAATGAAAGAACAAACGAATACTAGTGTATGTAAACACGAAGAAACACGTCACTTTTCGACAAAATGAAAGCTTTCTTAGGGATTCTGCTTCTTATTGCACCCTCAGAACTCCACTAGGGGTAATAAAAATTAAAGTACGTTTAATTATTTATATATTTTTTAATGTATTTGTTTTTTTATTTCACATTTCAGTTTTTTTTTTGTTTTCAACATCAAAACATGCATGCAAAATGTAATGCATTACATCAAAATATTACTCATCCATTGTTTTTAGTGTACAAAAAATAAAATCTACATGCACAATACAAAGATAAGAATTTTAAACAGTAGGTGATCATGTTTTTGCACCCTCAAAAAAAAATTAAAAAAATTGAGGGAAAAAATTCTTCAAAGAAATTAGCATGATAAAAGGTTAAAACAGAATTGAGAAACTTTTCAAGTACAAATTCATAAAAATGTTTGTTTTTAATGATTTATTGTTTGTGTCTTAATGATACATAATGTGGAAGATATGCAAAGTATCCAGATATGCTTAGTGACAAGAGAAATGGTTTTCTGCATTCAATAAGGAGTGTACAATATTTGCAGAGAAGATCAATAAGGAAAAAAAGGAAATAAAACCAAAATACTTACTGAGATGAAAAGTTTCCAAATGTTTTGTAACATCCAAGACACAAATGGTAATCACAGTCTTTGCACCAAATACGTGTCCCAGTAATGTAGCCTTCACAAGCATCACAGTGAAACCTAAAAGAAAAAAAAAATCCATGTCACATCAATCCATCAATGTCAGCTTTGCTTCATTAAGGAAAAAGAGTTACCTGCAAATCCTTCAAATGATAGTGTAATAAATAAAGTAACTTCTCAGTGTGTGCAAAAGTTTCCAGAATTTTCTTTCCTTTTCACAATTCAGTGACTAGTTGAAAAAAAAAAAAAATAACTGTCTATATCTCGGAGATGAGGTATTATGATTACATACAAGGCCCAGTGGATAATGGTGTTGGTTAAATCCAGTGACTAAACCCAAAGAAGAGTTGGGAGTTCAATATTAGGCTACAGCAGTGGTGAATAAAAAAATTCTAATAAAAGTCTAATAAAAGTTTACTTTTTAAAATATAAAAATAATAATAAAGCCTCATTGTTTGTTTTGGATAATGTCTTTGTTTTAGTTTTTTTGCATTACATTTGTTGATTTCAATCTACTGGGGAATGATTGCAAAACATTTGCCCCCATTTTCTAGGCAGAAGTATACAAATGCATGCTAGGATTACTTCCTAGCCAATAAAATAGGCTGGTACTCAGTTTCAACTGACTCAGTCCTGGTCTGTCTTGTCTTAAAGTCAGAACACTACGTTCACTTATCCGAACTTGCTCTTGTGTACCAACCCCAATTCTTAGTTTAACTTTTTGCTATATTATTGTTGGTTTGCCTTATTACTGTTAATTTGCTTTGCATTTATTGTTTGTTTGCTTTAGATTATTTTTTTACACTGTTCTTTGCTTTTACTTATTATTGTTTATTACAAACTTTGTCAATTCTGTTTGTTGGACAGTTCTGTTACTTATTCTTCATTTTGCCATGGCTACTTACCCCACAATGTTTGATCTCTGTCGTCCCCAAACTTCCTTGAGTGTCCATTCAATTTTGAGATGTTTATCCTAATGAGGAAAGTTTCCTTTTATATATGTCATATTCTGTGCTTCCCTTAAAGTTCTTTGTCCTCATCTGACCCAAGCATTGGACCTCTAGCCTTCCAGTGAATTAGGGGAAAGTTTTTAGAACTTCAAATTCATAATTTACATTATGTACATTCAGACCAATGTCCATGAAGATAAGGTCATTAATCAGAATCTAAATAATGATAACCCCTATCATCCCAAAAATTCAGAGTCAAATTCTTTGTTTGTTCTGAGAAAAGTTGTAAAGTACACAAGTCTAAACTTAGGGACTTTTAAGAAAAGAAAATAAAGAAAATTATCCAAGGAGTACAAAAGCTTTTCTAAATAACAGACAAAAAACAAAAATTATCCAAGATATTTAAGTGTCAATCAAACAACCGTTTCAATCCAAATAATTCATCAGTTTCCAACAAGCAAATGGAGTTCTGCTGCCATATATGAACAGTGCAGCCCAGTCTTCACTTTCCAATCTCGATAGATTCCAGAAGCTTCTATGAATCCTTTTAGCCGTTGAATTATTTTCCACCCTACAACCCCTTTCCCACAGATGAAAAATCTACAAGCCTCTTGATGCTCTGTCGCTATTTCCATGGAAAGCGTTTAGAATTCCTTAATTCCACCAGTTCTTACCTTCACAGCTAAGTCCCAACTTTGGCATTCACATTGTAGTGAACCTCCCTCATGTCCCATTGGTGAGGTTCCATTCAAGCAACTTCTTTTCACAAACCACTGTTTTGTGAAACCAACTCCCAAGAGGATGCTTTCCTCCCCAATCACTACAATCTTAAACTGTTCAAATCTAGGGTTAACCAGTATTTTCCCCCCATACCCCCATAAACTGTGCCTATTATTCTGTAACCCTCTACCTCGAGTGGCTCTTGACCCTTGTACAGGGTAAACACTATTATAAAAGAAAACAGGAAAGAAAGACATCAACTTATAATGATTCAAAAGCAACACTAGAACCAAATAATTATTTTTTTTTTAATTAAACTCATTAATCTTTACCTAATTGAATTTATTTCTAAATTTCACCACTTTTAAAGTAACTGAAATTCAATTTGGGATCTATCTCCATAAATTAATCCCTCTATACTTGCATTTCTCAACTTTTTACCTTTGGAGAACCCTTGAAAATAGTTTTCATGTCTAAGAGGAACCCCTGCATAAAAATTTCATTAACCTGATATCACTAAATACATTGATGATTATTATAATTCCAAATAATATAAGAGTTTATTTATTATAATAAACAAGGATTTTCCAACAATATGCTGTACATGTAGTGTAAAATTACAAATATAAATTTAAACAAAAATTACTCAAAAATTCATTAGTCTATTTATCATTGTTCCTTACAGAACACCTAGTGGAATTCTAGGATTCCAGAAAACAACGGTTGAGAAAATCATTGCTTTATACCAATGATCTCTGGTAGATTTATGTTCTAATTCACCTATCAACCTGTTCACACTCTTTCTCAGTCTTTTGAACAGGAGTAGAGATTTATTTCTTGTTTCCTATTTAGGATTGAGTTTCTGATTTTATATAGTAATATATAGCATATATACTTCAATATATACTAAAGATAAAACAGATAAATAACTTATTTGCATTATAGTATTTATTAGTTCAAACTTCATGATGTCATTTACAGCTGCGTGCCATTGGAAATTGCTTGGTGTGCTATGGGAGGCATGCATGCCATAGGTGGCCGGACCCTGCTCTATACAATATCTCTGGTAGATCTATGTACTGATTCACATCACCCAGTTCACTCCTTCCCAGTCTTTTAAACAGGAGTAGAGATTTATTTCTTGTTTCCTATTTAGGATTCGGTTTCTGATTTCTTCTCCGAAAGTTTTCATTTTCTTTCACACACACACACACACACACACACACACACCTTACCCTTTGTATTATCGCTTTGCAGGAAATGAAATGATTAAAAATAAACATTAAAAAATAGGAGAATTTCTTTTTTACTCCTGAATATCTGGTATTGGTCATTTCCATAGAAATGAAATGCAATAAAATATCCATAAATCATCAGATCTAAATAGTCCACAGCTGCAAGGAATTAACGTTGATAATATTTGTATGAATTTCTATTCATTCCATCTGACAACATTTTCAACAGAGAAATTGTTAATGTCAACATTTGTGTTACTTGGTGATATTACAGTTAAGATTTAGGCGACAAATCTGTCAGAAATTTAATTACCTTATAGAGTAGCAACCTGACAAATGCTGGTTGTGGAGGTTGTGGAAAATAAAACAATCACCTTAGTATTTGAACCTGGTTTCGATAGGCAAGGTTTCAGCTTGTTTTATTATTGTCTTTATCACTTCCCAAATATTTTTGGTTTGAATCAATAAATAAAAGAAGAAACATCACTTACCCTGTTATCAGGAGGAAAAGTGAGGAAAGGAATGTTTTAGAAATAAAAAGAGAACCAATGCATTGATTTGAGTGATTGATTCATTTTTATGGGTTATCAACCCTTTGTAGGTTATTTAAAGCCAGACAGTATTTTCAGATTGTAAGAATTCTTTCCAAACATTTTCCACTGAGGACAGTTTTTTTTTGTTATGTTTTTTAATTAATTTTTTTGCAATATACTCTCTACCTAAGAAGCAGGGTGCAAACAAATGCAAGCTAGATCAGACAATCAGCCTAATGAGCCACATAACAAAAAACTTAACCAAACTCTCATGAATGGAACAACTATCAGAATTAGACCAGACATAGGACAAGAACAGTGTGGGTTTGTTAAAAACACTGGAACAATGAATGCAATATTTATGCTCAGAATGAAATCAGAAAAAGCAATGTAAATGCAAAAGGATGTATACTTATGTTTCATAGATTTAAAGTGTTTTATAATATACATAACAATAGAAATGTCAGAACTGCTGGGGAAACTTGATTTATTTGAGAAAGATATTAGAATAATCCAAGATGTATAGAGTGGAAGCAAACCGCCAGCATACAGATAGAAAATAAATTCAATAAATACCCGAAAATAGAAAGCAAGACAAAAATGCATCTTCTGACCAGACTTATTCAACCTTTACAGCAAGGTGATTCTGAGAGAATTAGAAATCCTACCAGGATTCATTATAGGCAGCCATAATTTTAACAAGAAATGCAGATGACACAGTGTTGATAGCAGACACAGAAATGAAACTACAAGAACTCCTGCAGAGGCTAGTAAAGGAAAGCAAGAAGAAAAGACTAAACATTAGTTTAAAGAAGACAGAATGTATGGTTGTCAGCAAGAGGGAGAGACCAAATTGCAAATGATGAATTGGAAATGTTGAAATCAAGCAAACATGAAAATTTAAATTTTATAGGAAGTGTTTTAACAAAAGACAAAAATTCAACACTGAAATGCAAAGGCTTAAGATGCCTTCCAAAAGTAAAGCAAAATATTAAGAAACAGGAAAATTTCATTAGAAACAAAAAAAAGAGTACTGAAATGTTATGTAATATCAGTCCTCCTATATGGCAGTGAATGCTGGACGATCACCTCAGATGAAGAAGCAACTCGAGGCAGCAGAAATGTGGTTCTACAGAAGGATACTGAGAAAACCATGAAGTGAACATGGGAGAAATGAGGAAATTTTAAGAAAAATGGAAACTTATACTTAACATCAGAAAGAGACAGCTGAAATATCTAGGGCACATAATGAGGAAAGAAGGCTTGGAAAGTTTTGCACTCTCAGGACATATTGAAGGCAAGAGAGACAGAATAACCATCCTAATAAGCATATGTAAATGGTGATAGCAAAAAGACAATACTTACTAAGACCTACAAAATACAGGAAGTTGTAGAGAGACATGATCTTCCATGTCCTTTCAGGATATGACACATAGAAGATCATGCTAAAAAGTTCTGATTGAAATGATTTCCATCAGGATTAAAATGGAAGATGCATGAAAAGAATTTATTGGTTCTTTAAATGTAGAATTATTCAGGAAGGAGAGGAATTTCTTCTCCACAGTGGAATAGATATAGAAGAGGACAAAAAGGAATATTTTGATAAAATAACTCATGCAACTCTGATAAGTTAGCAAAGAATTATTTCTATGATGAAAAGAAATCCCTTTAAAAAAAAGTGGGGGGGGAGGATGATACTCACACAAGGTGATAGATATTATGGTCTTCTTGATGCTCCTGGCTTTCTTTATCTGTTCGTAAACAACCTGAAAGAAAAAGAAACAAAAAGCTGACCAAATTGAAATTCTCTAATACTGAAACTAAATTCAATCTGATTCAATTCAAGTTTCAAGAAAAAAAAAAAAACATTATATTTCAATAAAATCTGTCATGATAAAATAATAAAAAGATACTTGTCAATATTCTTAAAAATTCCATGGTGCCTTTTTCTCAATCCACAAAGAGAACATTAAATAATTCATATCCAACATTAACTCAATATTTTAAGCATTTATCTGAATTCTGACAAAATTATAAAAGGATTCTTGAAATTCCTGTCTTCCAAACCAATATATCAATATCAATTCAAGAGACAATAAATTAATGGTGTTAATGTCTTCAGTTGGCAGAATGCAAGTTTATTCCATTCATTAAAGTTAAAATAGGAAATATGTGTTTTGGTGTAATAGGCATCAGTTCGGAATAAGAAATCAAAGAACTGAGTTCTAATTCCAATTGGGTCTGTTACATTCACTTATGTACAAATGACCCCTGGGAAAGGTATGAATCCATCTCTTCTCACCCCCAGCTATGGTGTGAATAGCAAGACAGACCGGATCCTATAGCCATGTGCCATGTTTAATGGATGTCAGTTATCAGTTATCTCCTGTTAATTTCTCTCTTAAAGTTCTCCACTGCCTTAACCGGGTATTGAACTCACACTCTTTTGGTCCTGTGACTGGATCTAACCAATGCCTTTATCCACTGTGCCATGTGTCCTTGAGGGCATAGTGGATTAAACATGGCACGTGGAACTAGAACAGTCTACCCCAGTGAGCAAAATAAAGGGTTAAGTTCGACATTCCAACCACCTGAAGAAGGCCGGAGCGTACAATGGTCGAAATGTTGTAATAAATTATGCCACAAAGATGAGGCAATAGTCCGAATAATGTAAATAATGTATATAATACCTCATCTCATAAATATAGACATATGCTAGTATTATGTAAAGTTGCTAATGACCCAATTTCTTGTGGGACAAAGAAGAGTCTCTTGACAGAACGACGCATTTGCCTTCTCTCAAATCGAAGTCCTACATTCTGGACAAAGGTGAACTCTCTTTCATCAAGAATAAGGCAAGTCTTGTTCACCATTTCTGCTACAATATGCGCAGCCTGAAGAAAAATTCTAAATTTTCTTTGCATATTCCCTTTTCAATGATGACGACAATATGTGGATTAATTATACACATCACATCACTGGGCAACTTTTTCAAACATTCAACTCTCCACCTCCTGCTAGAAACAAAATTCAATAGCTATCATCCGGTTCACACTCCTCCCCAGTCTTTTGAACAATGGTGGAAGTTTATCTTTTGTTTCCTGATTAGGATTGGGTTTCAAGTTCCTTCTAAAATCTTTTCTTTCTCTTTCACTTCCGGTGGCCCCTTGCATCTTGGTGGCATTATCACCTTGCTTGGGGTGAATTGAGTTTAAAAAAAAAAAAAAAAAAAAAAAAAGCAAATTTTTGTCTTTTACAATATGAAAGGGTACAGATTTCTATGAACTGTACCCACTCCATTAATCACTTTCTTTAAAAATTATTTTAGTGAGCCAGACATTTTTTAAAGCTAGTATTATGGATTAAGAAGACATGTGCATTTTTTTTCTTTCCAAAAGACAAAATTTTCATGATGAAGTTGGTGGGCATGATTAACGAAATCTGGACAATGGCCAAGTAGAGTCGGTAAAGCCAAAGTAAAGAACAGCTGAAATAAATCTGAAAGAAAATGCTAAGCATTAACAACACAAAATTTTCTAGCTAGCTGAGCGGAAGAACCCAAACTATCAAAATCTTGTAGAGGGAGGGAGGGGGGAGAGAGAGAGAGAGAGAGAGATAGTCTTGATCAGTACAAGTGCTCTCTGAGGAACAACTAAATGAAAACTGAATAAAAAAATAAAAAAAATTAGTACAAAAGTGCATCACAAACCTCCTGATATGCATGAAGTGCAGAGGTCAAGGGAAGAACACTGAAGGCACTTGTAACGACCATCTGGGATTTTCTTGTGGCATCCATTGCAGACGACTTGCATATCCAAAAGAAATGAGAATTTTGATATGAATTCTTCATATTCCTGAGGGGTAAAAAATAAAGACAGAAAAATGTATTTAAAATAAAACATGCAACAAAGACAGAAAGGAACGTAAAAGACTAAGGATTAGTTACTTACATTTTATTTATTTGGAAATATATATATATATATATATATATATATATATATTTTAAGACATTTTTATGTTTATACATTGTTTTTATAGATACAAATATTTAAGTAAATGCTCTGTTTATAATAAACAGTATTAAATAACATTTACCAGCCTGAATGTCAGAGAAATTTTCATAGAAAACATTCATCCTCCAACAGGATTCGAACCTGTATCCTATACGGAACCATCATATAGCCTGACATGCCTTTTAACCGATTCGGCCACCGAGGATCATTCGGTTAGCAAGGTCGAATTTACTGTTTTTAAACTTCAATCATCCATGAATCTCTCACGTACATTCATATCTGCTCATGGTGTATCAAATGTAAACAAATGACATCACACATTATGAAATGGACGAAGTGTGACATCATTTTTTTACAAAATATATATATATATATATATATATATATATTTGCATATAAGCATCAAATGTTCATTTTAACAAATTTTGTTAAAATAAATTATGCCTATTATACCTTTTAATAAGATTTTCTTGCTGACAGATTAGTTTCTGTATATTGGTTTTGAAGGTTGTGTAAAAGCATTTGACTTGGATCAGTGATTATCAATAAAATTTTAAGAAATTTAATGAAATACAGAGTCCGTGGTGAAGTTTGCATTTTTAGAATGATTCTGACTTTTGAAGGTTTGTGTTGTCATGTCAATGTGATGTTATTTTTTGACTGATCATGACAAGTGTCATCACTGAGAATTTAAATATACAGGATGAGTCTAGATTCTGAAAAGTCATTTTGTTTATATTTGTCTTGACAATTATTAATTTTCTTACTAAATCTTTTGTCAATGGTTTAATGAAAGATTTTCCAAAAAAACCGATCAATTGTGTGGCCACAAATTCCCATTTCCCGATTTCTTTCTTTAGGGACACATGAAAGGCATTGTTTATCATAAAAAGCCTTGAATCATTTAAGAAATTGAAGGCTCAAATCACTGCAACGTTTGAGGAAACACATATCGAACTCATCAAGTATGTGTGTCACTCTTTGTTTGCTCAGCTGCAATTGTGCATTGATCATAAGGTAAAGCCCTTGCAAGTAAAACAGTTCAGGTCCTTAATAGTCCCCACCAACAAATAAGTTGGTTGGTTGTTTTTGTTTTGCGGCATATCAACCTCTATGGGTTATTTAATGCCGAAATCTAAATATTTTGTACACTATATTATTTTATTTTTAGAGATAAAAATGGTTAAGTAATACAAGTTTTATTAATTAACCCATATCTGGGGAGAGAAGAAGTGGATTCATACCTTTCCCAAGAGTATTTGTGCATAAGTGAATATAATGAATCAAACTGGAATTGGAACTTGACTCTCCAATTTCCAATTCCAAGTCATTATCCATTACATCTAAGCTTACAGCACTTGGTCACCCATGTAGGTACTGACCAGGCTCAATGCTGCTTAACTTTGATTCAGTGTTTTAACATGATGCAGCCATAAACCTCAAAAGGAACAATTCACAGACCCAAATGTCAAAAAGATTCCAATAGTGTCTGTAAAATTTTATTTTCTTCATCATTACAATCCATATTTCTGGGTGCATCCATCATAAAAACTTTAGCATATAAATTTGGATGCTCAAATCAGAATGGTATATTGAGAAAGTTCCAAAACCAAATACAAGACAATAGCCTGGGATTAGAACACACACAACATTAGTCTTGAAGAGAGAATAAAAAATGTCTTATGTGACATGCAACTACAGGATGTCACCTATAATGGCTCTCCACAACTTCTTATCTCTTGTAGCACTAAGCAATGTCTGCCCTCTTACTATCCCTCCCTGTACATGGTCTACCTTCTCAGAATCACTGTTTCCTTGAGTCACTCTTCCCTTCAATGCCCTGTGAGTATGAAAATCTCTAAACCCCCTTTCCTCATTATGTGTCCCAGAAATTTCAACCGTCAACCAAAAATCACATTAGTTAAAATGCTCTTATATTATAGTTATTATAATAATTCAAGGGTAAATTAGAAAGTAAAGGAAATTTTGAAATAACATGGTGGAAACATGGAGGCACTGATGCACAACACATGCACATTGGATGACAAATAGCTAGCTGCATTCTATCGTTCAGTTGAATAGCAGGGAGCAACAAGATCAGACATATGGACAACTACTCAGTGTATCATCAAGGAACAACGCAGTGGAGTACACTTTCTTCTGGGTAGAGAGAGTCAAACCTTCAGAAATCCACTGCTAGATGTTGGTGCAGTGTGGAGCATGCACCATGTATCAACAAAAGAAGAACACTTTAAAAATCGACAAAAGCGGATCTGGTTGCAAAAAAACATTGAGCATGGAGGAACACATCTAGAGGGTTGATGCCTAGATCAGGGAAGACAAATGAATCAGGCTAGCACAAGTGACAGCAATTGTGGGCTAGGGATCCGCACAAGACGTAGTGCATGATGACTTAGGATAACAAGTCGAAACAAGTGATGCAGACAGAAAAAGCTACTTTTTTTCTTTTTTTTTTTTTCAGAAGGAATGAAGAAGCTCATTGAACAATCATCATCATCATCTTGCGGCCTCAGCCGAGATTGAACTCACCAATACTTTGATTGGTGTAGTTCATAATCTTGTCAAATCGCTGAATTCTTGATGCTTCGCTAGGGCTATCAAGTGTGTTTTTATCGTGACACCAACACTAAATGGATTGCCAACCAAGGCTCAGAGAGACTCCATTCACCCTCCTCTAAGAGCAGGACAATACAAGGAGTATATCATGCAGGTTGACTATGCTGAAAAGTGACATATATATTTGTTCTTTATCAGTGGAAATAAAGGTGCTGTATGGAAATTGCCTTTACTTTTTAATTTACTCTTGTATAAATGCTTCCTGGAAGAATTTCATATCAATATTATTGTTTTTTTGCTCCTCATTCCGCTATTATACCGATTTTTAAAGCTATATTGAAATTCTATGCCCCCAAAAAAAGATATCAAAATAAATATCTGTTTAACAATATACATATATAAACTCAATTACATACTTAAATTAAAAAGTTTCTAATCTCACCTTTTTCTCTGGTCCATTTTTCTCTTCAAAAGAATTAAAGTCCTGTTTGTTTGTCTTTTTCAACATCTTAATATGTCGTTCGTACTCTTCAAGTTCAGCTTCTTCTTCAATCACATCGGGCTTGCAATTTTTGGTAATCAAATTATCTACAAAGAAAGCCAAGATAAATTTGAGATAACAATTCAATTTAGTTATTACATTAACAGCAGACAACAAATCCTGAAGACAAGCACATTATTTTTTTAAAATGGGAAACTGAATTGTCTCTAATATGACAAAACACGTAATTTTTAACCTTTAAAAAAAATTTCAAATATATATTTTAAAAAATTTTTTCTGTTGAAATTAACTTCTGATTATCTTCCTACCCATCCCCTCAGCATCCTTTGAAAAATTGAACATGTCAGCATATTTGTCTAAAATCACAATGCATTTGTTGCTTACAAGTTTACTGCAATTGTCAATGATGACCTGTCTAAGTTCTGGTTTATTAAGTCATGAAAAAATAACTCCCCCACATTCACCTTCTAAGCTTAATTTTCTATTTAATATCAAACTGACATTTAATTGGTTGATCAAGACAACCCCACAAATTTATTTTAAATTCTGACCTTGTGTTTTCTCAGCCCCTCACTTTATCTTTCAGAAAAGAGGTAACATTTTGCCTTTGAAATTTTCTTAAAAATCATTTAATCACCTGTAGAGGCACAAAGTTACCGAAACACGAAAGCTATTGTGTAGCAATTTCAACATGTTTTGTTCTGATCTCTTATTACTATCATATATATATATATATATATATACAAATAAGAGAAAAAAACAAATGTAGTAAAAATCCACAGTTCGTAGCATTTACTTTTTTAAAAAGTGCTCAAAGAGCACTGATAGAGCAAAATATTATTATAATATCTTTATTAATAGAGATTATAATGAAGACATTTTACATCACTACACAAAAGCTTTCATGTTTCAATACTATAATTGTACTTCCTCATGCAATGATTGGTAACTGGTGATAAAAATGATTTAAAGCAATTTAAAAACAAAACATTACCTCTTTTCAGAAAGTTAAAGGAGTGGGGTACATCAGGCCAGAATTAATCATTTTTATCACCAGTTACTAAACATCACCTGATGAAGTAGAATCATAGTATTGAAACATGAAAGCTTTTGTATAGCAATGTAAAATGTTTTTATTATAATCTCGATTAATAAAAATATTATAATAAAAAAATATATATATATATATATATATATATATATATATATATATATATGTTGAAAAGCCATTTAATTAACACTAATTTTTTTAAAACCCAGAAACAAAGGAAGAATTAACAATCTTCTTTGATGATTTTCATCTGAATGTAACTGTGGCCATATTTTAATGAAAGTTATTTTACTTCTAAAACAAAATATTTTTAAAGCAGAAGGTTATTTTACTTCTAAAGTAAAATATTTTTAAAGCACGTCCAATTTGTTACTGCAATTGGTCAACAACTATTCTGTTTAGCCTAATTTGAATTTATTTAAAAATCTAATTCCTAAAACACACCAAATTCTGTTAGTAAATGAATATAATAGTTCTATTTTATTACCACATTTCTAAATATACCAAGAATAATTGTTTCATTTTCTCTTTTCTAACAAAAACTTCTGTCATGAGCTACTGTCATGAAAAGTATTTGAACTCAAGTATACGTCAGAAAGGTTTTTCTTATTATTGTCCATTGACTTAACCAGGATACTTACACTCTCCAATTTAGCGCTATTTTCTGCAGTAGCTAACTAAATATTTCTGACAAAAGAACAAAAATTTCATTAAGAATTAATTTCTACAATTTTCAATTTGTCTTAGTAAATTGTGAAAATCAGTTTGCATGTTGCCTGTGAAAACACAGGAAATAAAAAGGAATCACAAGAATTAATGGAAGTATTAGAGAAAGAATAGGAGTGTCATAAAATAAATAAATTGCAAATAATTTTACTATAGAAATAAATTACAAATAGAGAAAAAAAGAGATTGTCAGTGATCAGGAATTAATAGATGCATTATTGATAGAATATAGCTATTATATCTATAATGTTTTTAAATCTAACCAACATTAATTTGATTTAAAAGGAAGTACTTACCACCAATTAAGCACACTAGTCAAGAAGTGTACCTATATATTATTAGAGTTTAAGTGCTAATGTAATGGACAAATTGCTATAAATAGCTTTAATGATTTCCCAAATATTAAAATGTCACCTTCGCGAAATGACCTCTTCACAAAAATCTCAAATATTAGAAAACAGTTTACAGTCAAGGATGCAGTCGATATTGTTTTTTCAGTTTTTAAATTAAAAATAAATTCAACTTACCTTTTGATACTTGAAAAAGGAATGTTGGTAAATCTATTTTATGGATAAATGATAAATCATAGACCTGGAAAAAATTAACAAATTCAATTTTAACAAAATCCTTTAAAAATTTTTAAAATAATGTTTTATCAGACAGAGCATACATTTTATATATATTCAGTACATTTTGGCAGCAACTGTTCTTGTAAACATTAAAAAGATTAGAAGACGTTTTATGCCTATTAAATTTATTAATCTTCTTTTCTCGTGTGCAAATAATATTTTACAAATGTGGCTGTAATAGATGTACGCTACAAAGTTTGGGATTAAATTGATGTAGCTGTCATTGAGAACTACAAAATGGAAAAGTATGTACTCCCTCTCTCTCACATATATATAATAATAATAATGGACTTTCCCGTCGGTTTCGACGTATGAGGATCTGACAGCTTAGTTGAATCAGTTATGAAATTTTGTGCGATAATCTTAAGTGGCCTTTAAGACCCGCTAGTGATTTACAAAGGAGGCCACATATAGAGCAAGAGTGAGGATTGTGAGATTAGATCACTGTTAGATTGGCTGACCTTTTAGATCTTGCTCTCACTTCTTGAAGATGATTCAGACAAGCAGATTGAAAACTGCTGAAATGTGTGTGTGTGTGTGTGTGTGAAGAAGAAACTGAGAAAACATGAAAGACAAGGGGTGGAATATGACGTAAGACCCTGAGAAGCATAGGGCTTGGCTAAGCTAAAGACACATTATATATGAAAGGATCTTCCTATAAATATATAGTTGTAATGGTTGTATAGCATCACTTACCTGCCAATTGATATCAAGTAAATGTAAGAGGTAAGCTTGATAGCAATTAAAGGCAGCCTCCTTCACCCTGAAATAAAAATAATTTGCTTTTTAATGTGGAAAAATAATGTAATTTTTGAAATGGAAATTATAATGTATCAATATGTCTGCTCTTAGGAAAGTTGGTTCACTGTATTTTCCCACACAATTTTTCTCACCAAAATCTATCTTATATATTTATAAGTCTATCATTCATCCATGCATTGAATATTGCTGCCACATCCATTCTGGTGTTTCTGCCATGTATTTAGAGATTCTTGGTAAAATCCAAAGGAGAATCTGCAATGTTAGCGATCCTGAGCTGACATCTCAGCTTCAGTCATTTTCTCACTGCCATAACATAGCTTCATATGCCTTTTCTATAAATATTTTCATAATAATTGTTCTGATGAACATTCCTCTTTGGAATCTTGACTTTGTAAAACACAGCACAGATTGGCAGATAGGACTTACAGTTATATGTAGACATTTCAACTGTAAAATGATGAGACCTATGTTGAAAGTTTCTTCTATTGCACTTCTCACTTGTGAAACTCTCTTCTGACTTCTTGCTTTCCACTTAACTTTAATCTTCAAAAATTTAAATGCAATGTCAATCATTATATTCTGTCTTCTTAATTTCTGTTTTTTAGTATTCTTTCTCATATTTTTTATACTCAGTAGTCACTTGCATCTTAGTGGCTTTATTTCCTTGCTTGGTATGAAATGATTAAAAACAAATTTCAAGCACTTTTAAGCCTCAAGTAACTGACAGAGCTTATGAATTACTAACTGGTATATAAAAGAATGTTTTGTTGTTTTAGAAATGATTCAATTGTTATTGTCAATGTAAAACTTATTCTGGTACTTGGTGAAAAGCCTGTCACACAGAGAATTCTTGCCTAAAGGAAAGTAAAAAGACAATTGGTTAGACAAACCTTGACAGTTCTCTCTTTTTACAAAGCTGAAAGGCATTAATCAATTTCAAAAGAAGATTATAGAAGGATTCTTGGATTTTGGACTCCAATTCCAGACCACAGCCATCCAATGATTCACAATAATGCAATGAGTGATTTTGATAAGACAGCAATTCTTGAAAAAATAAGATGATGGGAATCTGAAAAATAATAGTAAAACTGTTTTCATAAATAATAGAGATCAAAGCAGACATCTTTTCAATTAAAAAATATAAAAAACTTTAAATCATTTTAACTGTTCGGTTAACATGTCACCTTCTTCTTCTTCCCCAAATGCAAAGTGACCAATTACATGACCTTTAATATCCAATCAGTGAAGCCTAGTTTGTACAGAAAACAGTTTTTGTGTAGAAACTGTAAGACAAAAATGATTTCCTGACACACAAGTAAAGCACAGCATGATGTGTTAGATTTGTGAGTAAAGGCATCTTTTGTAACATTCACTAGCTTTCCATTTCAGAGTCATAGAGAAGGCATGTAACATATTTCTATACTTTGTTAGTTTCGTGATGTCAACGAACACTTGGTTGACACTTTTGTAATGTTAACAAATACTCATTGTCACTTTTGTAATGCTTTTTGTAGTAGAGACTTTGTAATCACCAATATAACTATAGTACACTGTTGAACAATACTGGTCTCAGACACCTTCGAATATCACTTGCACTAATAGTACTTGCTTGATAATACTTGATCGAACAGTAACCTGTATAGTGACCTGAATAGGGAAATAGTATAGTAAATATAGTAAAGAATAGCAGTCCGTATAGTAGTAGAGGATAGAGGGGAAATAGTAATCCATATAGTATAGAGGATAGACTAGAATTAGACACACGCTACTGCCCATATATGCATTTCCTCTATGGTCACGTGGTCTACTTAATTCAATAATGGGATCGCCTGTGTTTGCTCACTAGCGATCTATGTTCAAACTCAAATGTCGGCAGTGATACTTTATTCCCATATAACAGTTATCATAATCATTTTCTAAAAATATGAAAATATCATTTATGTTCTTCTGACTTCTCCCAAGCCATATTTATTTATATTTGGACTAATATCCTAATGTTTGTTACCATTATCACAATGATAACAATGAAAACCCAATAGATAGAGAGGTACACTGTAATAATAACATAAAGGGTTAAGCTCCAAATTCTCTAAAAGTTACCCAGGTCTACAGAAGAAGGTTGGAGAGCATAATGGTCGAAACATTGTGGTGATAATAAACAACAAAGATGAAAAGATTAGTTCAAATGTAAATAATAATAACAGTGATGAGTATAGAAATTCATTTTAAATGTTTGGGTAAATATCTGTTTCAATATTAGATACTACAAAGGGCAACCACGTACATTTAGTCAGATACTACAAAGGGCGACTGCGTACATTTAGTCAGATACTGCAAAGGGCGACCGCGTACATTTGGTCAGATACTGCAAAGGGCGACCGCGTACATTTGGTCAGATACTGCAAAGGGCGACTGCGTACATTTGGTCAGATACTGCAAAGGGCGACTGCGTACATTTGGTCAGATACTGCAAAGGGCGACCGCGTACATTTGGTCAGATACTGCAAAGGCGACTCGCGTACATTTGGTCAGATACTGCAAAAGGGCGACGCGTACATTTGGTCAGATACTGCAAAGGGCTTACATGCACATTTGGTCAGATACTGCAAAGGGGCGACTGCGTACATTTGGTCAGATACTGCAACGGGCGACTGCGTACATTTGGTCAGATACTGCAAAGGGCGACCGCGTACATTTGGTAAACACAATATAACCAAGTTGGTAACTTAATGATTTTTATAATCAACAATTTCGGAAGTGACAATTTCTATTTTAATTTACAACCAACTGACCTTTCAATGACCTCACTTCAATTATTTCAGTTTGTTCTGAATATTCTATAAAGAGTAATTAACGCTTAGCCTTCAAACAATTTGTGAAGAGTGTCAATCAGTACAAAGATTTGATATCCCACCTACCTGCAGAATATCTTCATTTGTGCTCATATCAGAAATAAAATCTCCAATGAAATTGTAAATCTCAACAAGCACATGGGCATATTCCGAACGTTCTTTCAGCATGCTTTGCACTCTGCAAGGAAAGAAAAGACAAAATCTTCAATTCTTTGGAATGTTCTAACAAGTAGAAATTAAATTCTGAAAACAAAGGAAACATTAGAATATCAGAAATTAAAGTAAGTGTTACTGAAAGGAAAGCAAAATAATTAAAAATACTTCACATTACACATACAATAATTTATAAAACATATCGTAATATTTACCCTTCATGCCCACAGAAAAATGGTGTGTGTTAAAAAGATGGTTATTCCTTTGACACTGCTACCTATGTATACACTTCTAACTCTCATAGCAATGTTTATTTACAAGTATATAAAAATATGTGAACCAAATACAATGTGATATTTATTATTTACTATTTTATAAAAAAATAAATTTGGAAAAAAAATCTTTATCCAAACTTTTATAAATAATTGCAAACTTATCAAAATATGTAAACCAACTTGAATATTTATGAGTTACTATTTTACTATCTAATAAATAAATAGTATTTAACATCTTTGTTGTCACTTCTCAAGAATAAAGAAAACGCATAACTCCATTTTCATGTGTTTGAGATTTATTAAAATTCTAATCATCATTTTTAAAATAAACATTGTTGAAGGAATCAAAAGTGTATTGAGTAATAGCAGTGTCAAGGGAATAACTGTGCTTTTGAAACACCATTTTTTTTGTGGGTATGAAAGGTTAAATATTGGCAATTGTATAATGTAAATGGATTAAAAGGAAAAATCAATGGTCAGGAATATATTGCAGGTGATTTTACAAGAGAGACAAATTGAAAAATCAAAAAAATATTTTAAATTAAGAAAAAGGATTGTCAGTGGTCAGAAATTCATAACATTACTAACAAAAGTAAACAAATTGCAAATGATTCTTTGAGAGAGACAAATTGAAGATCAAGTGGAAGAAAAATGCTAAAAATGCAGAATTGATGTAAACATTTTATTCAGACAATTAAAACATTGCACATTTTGGTTCAAAACACAAAAGACTCAATAATAATTTCTGAATTAAATTTATCTAACTTTATCCCAAATACCTGAAAAATTGATTTTTATCTTAAATACTTTTCAACTAGAGATTGAACCTTTAAAAATTTTTGATAAAAAAAAAAAACAAATCATCCAATTTAAATTCAATGTCTCATTTCAGAATATCACATCAATAAAAAAATGAAAATAAAAATTTTCATTTTAACTTACTTTTCTATTGTCCAGTTTTCACTTTTCACAAATTCCATGACAAGTGGTAAAGGTTCTGCAGAATTGACTTCACTCTGATGAAAAGAAAAACGTTTTTCACTGTTTGCTTTCTAAAACAAAAACAAAAAAAATAATTTGATAAATTTTACCTGACATAAAAATTTACAAAGTCAGAGGAACACAATATTTAAATTCAAAAAACAAATTACATTTTGACAATATCACCATGTCTTTCATATCAGTTCTTGGGATAATGAGATTACGGCTGTGCCCATCTCCTCTCCAAATAACAATGCAATGGGTTATAGTGGCATGACACAATAACCCTCATATAAACACAAAACAAAACTAGAAACAAAATAAAAACTAATATCCGAGAAATAAATTAACGAGAACATGGCTAGTGGGAAAACTATAACCAAAGAATAATGCCCCTCACTGCGCAATTCTTCTGACTCCCAACTAAATTGGTAAATGAATTTGCACCAGTATCTGTCTATATTTCTGAGATGAGGTATTATGTACACTATTTACATTATTCGGACTATTGTCCTCATCTTTGTCACCATATTTATTACAACGTTTCGGCCTTTCAGTATCTGTCTATATTTCTGACATGAGGTATTATGTAAACTATTTACATTATTCAGACTATTGTCCTCATCTTTGTCGCAATATATATCACAACGTTTCAACTGTTGTATGCTCCAGCCTTCTTCAGGTGGTTGTAATGTCAAACTGAACCCTTTATTTTGCTCGCTGGGGTAGACTGTTCTAGTTCCACATGCCATGTCTAATGGATGTCAGTTATCTCCAGTTAATTTCCCTCAAGGACACATGGCACAGTGGATAAAAGTATTAGTTAGATCCAGTGACAGGACCCAAAGAGTGTGAGTTCAATACCTGGTTAAGGCAGTGGAGAACTTTCAGAGGAGAATTAACAGGAGATAACTGACATCCATTAGAAATGGCACGTGGAACTAGAACAGTCTACCCCAGCGAGCGAAATAAATGGTTCAGTTCGACATTCCAACCACCTAAAGAAGGCCTGAGCATAAAACGTCCGAAACGTTGTGATAAAGATGGCAACAAAGATGAGGACAATAGTCCAAATAATGTAAATAGTGAATTTTCACCAATATAGCATAGGCTATGTGTTTTGCTATCATCTCAAAACTGTTCAAAGTCATGGAGAAGAGCCACTTGAATGAAGAAAATGATTAGGACAATAAAACAATGCAAAATGTGCCATATTCTCCCAATATAGACACCCGGGAAGAATTATTGGAAGAGTGGTGATTCCCTATAACCTCAGGTCTATCTCAAAAAAGTAGATAATAACAATAGGGCGTGGTCTGTAGGCTAGGGACTAATGACAATTGATGGCCATAAATTCTGAATCACAGACTAGTGAAGATTAGAACACCTTCCTCCTTTTCCACATCTCTCATCCATTGTTGTGGCAAAGCTGAATGCTGAACTTTTTTACTTTTTAATCAATTCACCTGAAGCAAAGCAATAAAGCCACTAAGACACAAGGTGCTATTGGGTGTGAAAGAGAATGAAAAGACTTTGGAAAAAATCAGAAACCCAATCCTAAACAGGAAATGAAATAAACCTCTACTCCTGTTCAAAAACTAGAGAGGAGTGTGAACCTGTCAATAGGCAAACCTATCTGCTTCTATTACGAGAACAAAATCAACATGAGTTGCAGAAAAGCTGTCTCAGTTATGCCACCCTGCTGATGTAAAAATCAAATTCCTTCCCAGCCCCTGAATGCATTCCTCCCCCACCAGAAAGAAGATTACCAAAGAGAATCTAGTCATGGAAACAAAAGCACATCCATATACCATTGTTATATTCTTTGAAGGAGAGGTGCTAGCAGTGCCTTCAATTGCAACTTTATCCTGGGTATGACGATAAACTACATCCAACAGCAAGGCCTCTGATCAGGAGGTTTTGAGGAGCGTGGAACCACCTCTTAATTGCTGGCATTCCCAGGTCCACCCTAACCCGGGGTGGTAGCACCTGTTAGAGTCCCAGCTATGGGCAAATAGTTGACACCCAAACTTGTTTAAAAATAGGTTTTAATACCAGAAATACTTTGTAATAAAAAAAAATTATTACCAGCAATAATTTTTGAAGGAAAAATTATTATCAGCAATATTTATAAAAAAAAAAGAAAGTACTAGCAATACAAACAGCTATACATTCTTTGAAAAAAATATTACCAGCTATAGATTTCTTCAAGGAAAAATATTCTCAGAAATAGATTTTAAAGAAAAACATATTACCAACAATAAAAATTTTGTCGGCATTAAATAACCCATTGAGGTTGATCTGCCGTAAAACAAACCAAACCAATCAATTGTAACTTTGTTATTCTACTCCTGCCAAGAGACTATTGATGCAACACATTCTTGAAGGGTGTGATTGACCAATGGGATTTACATTGAATACTGCCTCTCCCCTCTACTTTTTGCTGGGGTTCAGAAATTGTATCATCATGTGGTTTTAAAGAATAACATGGACTCCCTTGACAAGCAGCAGAGCGGAAGACCAGCAAACAAAAGATATGGTGTTCAAATTGAGATGATAGCAGAAGAAAGAAAAGATAAAAGATTGAAGTGTTGGGGGGGGGGGGATAAAGAAGAAAGTAATAAAGAAGAACAAAAAAGAAAAACAAAAGGTGTAAAGAGAGGAGTGTAAACTGGATTACATGGTATCAGCAGCAGCCTCGGTGTGTGCAGGGCAATGTCTGACCTTGATGGACATTTGTCCAAAGTGAACACACACACTAACACAGACAAGATTTGAAGTGGATTCATATATTCCATTTTACATTCTGTTAATCAATTATAATATTAGAGGACACAGAGGAGGTTGTCAGGTTGGGAGCCTTTGTTTATAGACTTAAGATGCCTACCTTTCTTTATTTCTTTCTTTTATTTTTTTTAAAAGATGCACATTGGATAATAGGGACCCAAATTAAACAAATATTTAAAAACCAACTTTTAAAGAACTTTACACACAAGGCAGGTAACAAAAAATTAAAAAAAGAAAGTTGAAAAAAAAAAAAAATTAAGAAAAAAAGGTTCTACTTACTCCTTTAATTTCATTCTGACTGAGTCCTGCAAACTTTAATAAAAACCTGGCTTTTTCTTGACAAACAGTAACTAAAAAGTAAAAGAAAAAGAGTCAACTCTCTAGAAAAAGAATAACTGAGGTAATCTGAGGTTCACAAAGTTAAAAAGGTAAATAGCCCTTATCATTCACTACTTGGAAAACATGATCTTCCTGCTCCATTTCTCAACCATATTGTATTAAGCTAAACTTTGTAAATGCTTGCTGTTTTAAATTTGAAACTTATTGATACCTGAATAAATTTAAAACAATGAGCATTTACCTGAATAATTTGATAATATATAAATTTTTATATATCAAGAAAAGTTTTGAAGGAAGGATGTACGAAAAAGTGGAAAAAGTTTTCAAGAAATTAAATTTTCTTATAACTCACACCTAGCAGTTATTATATTATGTCTCACTTAGGAAACTTGCAATGATGACACTAGATATTCTTCCCAAATGATGCCAACGAACTTCTGACTCACTTTGATTTGAGGCATCGTGCAGAGTCCATTTTGTATTACTGTGGGTGTCTTATTGACTCCACAACAAATTTAGAAAAAATTTTTTTATATGTTTAGGGTATATATTTCTAGCCAATTCCATTTAGATTGTCTTTTTTTGTTTCCATCACATTTGTAATTAAATATCCCATATTGTGATAAAAGTAAATCTATTCACATTATTCGGACTATTGTCCTCATCTTTGTTGCCATATTTATTACAATGTTTCAGCCCTTCAGTATCTGTGTATATTTCTGAGATGAGGTATTATGTACACTATTTACATTATTCAGACTATTGTCCTCATCTTTTTCACCATATTTATTACAATGTTTTGGCCGTTGTACGCTCCGGCCTTCTTCAGGTGGTTAGAATGTCAAACTGAACCCTTTATTTCGCTCACTGGGATAGACTGTCCCAGTTCCACATGCCATGTTTAATGGATGTCAGTTATCTCCTGTTAATCCCCACTCCAAGTTCTCCATTGCCTTAACCGGGTATTGAACTGACACTCTTTGGGTCCTGTCACTGGATCTAACCAACGCCTTTATCCACTGTGTCCTTGGCGACAAAGATGAGGATAATAGTCCAAATAATGTAAATAGTGTACATAATATGTCATCTCAGAAATATAGACAGATACCGAAACGTTGTAATAAATATGGCAACAAAGATGAAGACAATAGTCCAAATAATGTAAATGGTGTACATACTACATCATCTCAGAAATATAGACAGATACTGAAAGGCCGAAACGTTGTAACAAATATTGGCGACAAAGATGAGGACAATAGTCTGAATAATGTAAATAATGTACATAATACCTCATCTCAGAAATATAGACAGATACAAAAGTAGATCTGCTAAGAATGGTGAAACATTGTAAGAACCTGTATGCAAATTTGCTGTGGTTAATCTATCAATTAAAGCACTTTCTAAACATTTTCTAAACTGAAAATTCCCAGTGTCTCTTGTCTATGAATATGTCTAGTCACATTACTGTAAACAAACCTAGTCCAATGAAGTCCTAACGGAGGAACTGTCTGCCTGTTTGTTATCGGACTCCTCCTAGGGTTTGGGAGATAGGCCCCCCAACCCCACAACCATATATATTCTGAAACTACATTACCCAGAGTACTAGGAATTTATATTTCATTTTGATCAAAGGGGGTTTCTGGGGTCACAACCCCCTTCCCATTGAATTTTTTCCCTTTTGATATAAATTAAATTCAAATTTGAACACGGAAATGACTCCCATCCAAAATATAGAAGGAGAAAGCCAGAAGATGGAGGTTACATTGGCAAGATCATTGAGTAATATTAAAATGCATCATTTATCCCCTCAAATTATAACAATGATTTAAATTCAATCAAATTTTGCTTATAAAAAATGTGTGACAAGCAGCAAGGTGTAGTTAATTTGGCTAGTATATATTTTAAAATAAAAAGAGTGCATTCTTTGAACCCCTTTTCTTTTTTTCAATTGTCAGAACCCCATTTAACTGAGATATCAAGATAAAACTAAGAGCAATATGCTCATCTTTTGAGGGAGGCACCCCCCACTTCCAGGCAGCATCATTGTTATTAAATTTAAAGGGGTGGGGAGTCAAAATCAATGCTCAATAAGAGGAGTATCAAGGGAGACTGAGCAATTTTTTTTTTTTTTTTTTTTAATAATCCCACATATGATTAGGATTACCATTTTAAAAATGGCCTTGTGCCATATTCAGTTTGAGTATTTAGATAAGTACTCTTTTCATTCCTCCATTTAACAGACAGGTTTAAATGAAAGTCAATATTCCTTTTAAATTAGCATGCACGTCAATACAAATATTAAAACAAACTTTATGTAAACTTCAATTATTATCCTTGTGAATTGGTGTGAACTATTTATAAAAAGCAAAAATATTTAATAAAAAACTTCCTTAAATGTCAAGAAAGAGTCAGTATACACATGTTAGTTCTTTCAGCCATCTTAATGGGCAATATTGTTCTGTCTATTATTTCAATTTAGAAATTATTGTGCACCCAACTTCTCTCAATATAAGCAGCCATACCAGATTTTTAATTTATTCCAAAGTTTTTGAGGTTCAAAAGTTACTTTTAGGGGAGCCATTGTCACAGCCTCAGCACACAACTGTAATGTCTTGGTTGCATAAGAAAGCAACATCAGGTTGTCTAATGCAGAAAATATTGACCCAAGCTTTTTAGGGGCTTTATTTACAAATTTTTTTTTCCTATTCCAAAGAAATTTATTTGGAGAAAAATTTATTCATACTGTCTGTCATCAATGATAAATCTATTTCACAAAAAAAAAAAAAAATAAAATAAAAAAATATCAACACAATCAAAAATAAAAATAAATAAAACTAAATACAAAAAATCCTTGCCTGGATTTTCAGCATCTGAAGTTGTTCGACTGGATTTGTCAGCTTCAACTGCCATTTTCTGCCTTTGACTCATCTGAAATAGAAATAAACCTTTAAGGACATTGAAATGTCATACGGAGGAACTTCATATTATATAAAGAATATTAAATATATCAAGTGCAACTGATTAGAATTGTCCCAAGGACTTTGTTATTGTTACAAACATGTCATCCACGTAATATTTTAAAATGGAACATTAAATATTATGAGAAAGAAAGGCCATTGTTTTATCACTAATAATCAAACTGATTATCTACAAGCATAGAAATCATTAAATATAAGAGGATTATTTCTGCATAGGATCAGACTATCTGTGCCTTCCTTTTTACTTTTTTTTACAATGTTGTTCACCCTATACAAGGCTCGGGAGCCACTCGAGGCAGAGGGTTACAGAGTAAGAGGCATAATTTATGCGGATATGTGGGGAAGATCAGTTAACCCTACACTTGAAGAGGTTAAGATTGTAATCATCGAGGATGCATCTTCTTGCGAGTTGCTTCTATAGAGCAGCAGCTTGTGGAAGAAGCTGCTGCTAGAGGGGAACTTATATCACACCAATGGAATACAAAAGGAATGAGGGTTGTTTGCTACAATGACAGTGACATGCCAGGTCTTAGCCATAAAAGTAAGAACTGGTGAAACTAAAGAATTCATCTGAACACTTTCCATAGAAATAGCAATAGAGCAGCAGGAGGTTTGCAACATTTCATCTGTGAGGAAAGGGGTTGTAGGGTGGAAAATAATTTGTCACCTACAATACTGTGACACTTTTTGTTGTCACTGGAAAGTGAAGACTGGACAGCTCCTGCCCATATATGGCAGAACTACTCCATTTTCAGCCTGATTTGAGGTAGAGTATAGTGTGAGGAGTCAGGTACTTAAAGGGGCAGTACAGGGAACTGACCATTTTTCCAGCATCTATAGTGATTGATCGTATGCCGAGTTTAAATCCCAATTGGTGCTCAAGGCATGGAGCCTCCCCGAGGCAATATCTGTTCATCACAGTTAGTGATAGTTCTGGATCCAATTGGTGATGATGGAATATCACTAGTTTGAGTTTATGAGCATCAAAGTGTAATGACCTCTTTCATGGTTGACTGATTGGTTAGGTTTTATAGCACATCAACCCAGAGGGTTATATAATGCCAGATCTTGTTTATATGTATATATTATGTGTATGTTTGGGAAAAAAATAGGTTGTAATAATTATATATATATATATATATATCCAAATGAAGAGAAAGAACAAATAACTTTAGAATGCACGGTTCTCTGGCATTTACTTTTTTAAAAAGTGCTCAATACAAATATATATATATATATATATATATATATATATATATATATATATATATATATATTGTGATGTACCCACGATTTCATTAACCATATAGGCGTAAGGCTAAAAAGCACCGCAAAGAAAAATCCCAAATTCTAGTTGAAAATTAGTTAGATATAAAAAAATAAATAAATAAATAAAAATAGATAAAATCCAATGCTTTCAACTTGCTAATATGTCCTATGGTCAGCCATACCCTCCTCTTCTCTTCACAAATTCTTTCCCTCTTTACCTACTCTTCCACCCACAAGCCACGGGCCTGTGAACTTTGAAGCGACCCAACGCGAAAATGACCTGGTTCCAAAATCCCACAGCTATCAGTCAGTTGACCATAAGTAAATTCCAGGCACCATCAGGCTCTCCTGCTGCGATTCACATGATCAGACCTCGTTGAATTTTTGGCCATAACACAAATGCTGCATGATATGTGCCCCATCCTCCTGTGTGCCCAGTCAAGGATGAAGAGAACCCATGTGACTGTCTTTGGGGACAGCAAAAATCTAAAAAACGATTTTCAGTTTCCGTCTGACTAGTGGCAGATGAACATCACTGGGCAAATCGCCCAGATTCCAAATAGACTGCCCACTGAGATGAAGAAGACAGCAAAGTCTGTCAACTAGAGATGAAAAGACTGCTATGAAACTGAATCGACCCAACGAAACAACTGTACGAGATTCTGTGGACCCCGAACACTTGTGAAAGAAAAGGAATCCAGGAAAATTGCCGGCCGACCAAAATATTGTTTTAGGATAAGAACTCTCGCTTCGGCAAATCAGAATTTTGTGTGGAAATATCAACTCGACTGACAGATAAGTTGATTCTCTTGGATTGATCTTTTTCTTTATATATGTATTCACTCGCGCCTTCTGTTCTTTCATGGTCCCCTTTCCCCTTTGTTAAATGAATTTTCTTTTTCCTTTCTTTACCTGTTTATATATTTATAAATAAATGTTTTATTTTGAAATCCATTGTCTTGTGTCTGTTCTTTGTTGACTCTCTTGTGTCGCTTCCATTCCTGAGTGATCACAGAGAAAAGATCCTGTTTTCTCTTTTTTTTTACCCGTGGTTCACCTATATGCTACAAGTTCGTAACAATATATACACACAAACACATATATATATAACATTTATAACTGTTTTGGTTATTTTGTGTATAGCGGTTAAGAAAAAGTTTATGATATTGGCCAGTTTTGGGGGTTTATATCTTTTGGTATAGTTTTGCAACTTTCAAAAAGGACAGGATGTCGTCAATGCTTGAATCTTTGAAGAGATCATTTAAATTACTTGCTTTGTAGAATTGTTTCTTTATTTGAGTAAGAACATCAGATTCTATGAGAATGTGTTAACAGTGTAGGTGGGGGTGGCAGGTTGTGCATTTTGGTTGTGGTTCATGTTTAAGTATAAATGAGTGCATAAATTTGGTATGACCAATACGGTGTAGTGATATTGTAACCTCTTCCCCGTCAAGTTTTCCTAAAGGTTGCCCTCTTTCAAGGATAAGTGTGTAGTATGTATACAAAAATGTGCAACACACAAAATATACATGGCTACATCTTGCCTTTTGTTATTTTGCATAGATATATCCACCATTGTCTTGTACATTGATATATCCACCATTGTCTTGTACATAGATATATCCACCATTGTCTTGTACATAGATATATCCACCATTGTCTTGTACATAGATATACCCACCATTGTCTTGTACATAGATATACCCACCATTGTCTTGTACATAGATATACCCACCATTGTCTTGTACATAGATATACCCACCATTGTCTTGTACATAGATATATCCACCATTGTCTTGTACATAGATATACCCACCATTGTCTTGTACATAGATATACCCACCATTGTCTTGTACATAGACACTAATGTGAGTCATGCACAGAAGACAAAACTCACTTGCAATGGTCTGCAAGATGAGCATACTAATAATCATCCACTGGAAAGGATTCAATTTTGAAGTCTAAAATCAATATAGGCTAACCTTTGTAAATCTACTTTGAACTAAAAAAATATATTATATGAATGTGACAGAATTGGCCATGATCATCTAGGACAACCACATAGTCAAGTAAGTTGTAAATAATTTCATCTGTGCCTGGAACAACCAGTAGTTTTAGGACAACCAACAGTAAAATCATTGTTTTTTTCTAGGAATATGTTCAAAAATAAAGAATAAGTCTAATCCGAACCATGTGGAATATTTATAAAATTATGTAAAGACAACTGTTTGGATAATGATTAGAAAAACAACCGCAATATGGTTACAAAGTACTAAAATGTAGTGAAGAAGGTTCATTTACCAAAGGTTTTCGAATGGATTCTGCAGAGTTGAAAGCGGTGTAAATACTGTCTGGAATTTTCCAAGTGTCTTTCTGGTCAACTGAAGAGAGAAAAACAAATTATGAAACCAGGTACAATAATAAACCAGGTACAATAAATAAATTATGAAACCAGGTACAATAAATCTTTTCAATGAAAAACTTTAATAAGTTAGTTTTTGACCAAGAAAATCTTTTATTAATACTGCAACATTAAATACACCAGCATTTGACTGATTTTTCATTTATTTTACTTCGGAAGAAACTTAGAAATAGAGTAAAATCTTAGCAACATTTTTCCAAAATTTGATAAAATTTTATTAATGAAAAGTTTTTCTTCCTTTTATGCTTAAAACTTCTCGTATTTGAGGTCATTTTTTTTAAAGTTTATATGATAGAGTATTTTTGTGTTATTCATAAGGACTTTTCATATTTCTTGACTTTTGTAATCATAGGGTTGATCTGAATGCAGAATCTACACTGTCTCTATCAATGGCAGCCGTCAGCAATTCTGGTATAGTCATACCTGTCCACTGTTTGACATTGTCCAAATAGTTTTTGCATTGGCATCCTCTCCTATGTCCACCTAAAATGGTGCCTTGCTTGATGGTCTTGCACAGGCTGCCATACCTTGTAACGTGCCCAAACCACACCATTTTTCTCCATTTAACAGTGACAAGAAGAGATTCCTGGTGGCCCACAAACCTTTCAACCCTTTTTCATACAAACTTATTGGTTTTATGTTTCAAATAGAAGATGCCAAGGAGTTTTCTCATGCATTTGTCCTCAAACGCTTGAATCCTTCTGTTTCTGCCAACAGTGTCGACATTTCACATCCATATAGGAGAATGGAGACTACCAGCAATTTGTACAATCTGTACTTTGTTTGAAAGCTGATTTTGCTCCTCCATATTCTTGTCAAGTTGGTCATCACTGCCATGGCTGCAGCAATCCATGTGCATATTTTTGAGTTGCAAGTACCATCTTTAGACAAGATTGCTCCAGGGTATTTAAAACTGGACACTTCCACCAGTGAATTCCCGTTCATGTTAATGTTGACACAGGTGCTATTGTTTGCGCTATTCACCATTACTTTAGATTTCTCAAAGTTGACCTCCATTTCCTGATTTTCAACAAGGTTTTGGTCAAGTCCTGGAGCTCATTGTTACTATGTGCTATGAAGTTAATGTCATCTGCAAAATATAGGTTACAGACAGGTCTACCACCAATAGAGATTGAAGGATCATCGTCGTTCAGTGTTTCTTGCATGATTCTCCTGAAAAATAGGTTGAACATTGTGGGTGAAAGCAAGCATTCCTGTCCCACACTGACAGTTGTCTGGAAGAATCCGCCCATTTGTTTTCCCAGAATTGCACTGGTGGCATCTTTATATAAGGCCTGGATGACTTGGATAATTCCTTTATTTACATTGAATTCCCTAAGGATTTGCCAAAGACCATCATGCCATACTTAATTGAATTATTATCAGATAAATGGCAAATAAAATAATTTACTAAAGAAAGACTAAGTGTAATTGGATGGTTGAATGCCAAAAAGCATCCGAACAAAATTAAAAAGATTCTAAAGTTGTACTTGTTTCTCTTGCATTTTGATCCCAAATTTGAAATAATTTTGGCAAGCAACATTAGTATCTACAGTATCAGTGCAATAATTTTGCCTAAGCACAAAGATATTTCTGTAAAAGTGATAGTACATGTGTCAAGAACACTTTTATCAGCCGAGAAGAATTATAGCCAGATAGAGAAAGAGGCTTTGGAAACAATTTTTACTGTGAAAAAATTTCACAAGTTCATCCAGGGTAGAAGATTCACTCTATAGATGGACTACTGTCCATTGTTATCTATTTTCGGGTTGAAAAACGCTATCCTACACATACAGTGAATCGACTACAGCAATGAGGAACAATTCTGTTGAATTACAATTTTAAAATGGAATTCCTGCCATCAAAAAAGCTAAGTCATGCAGATGGTTTATCAAGACTCATACCTAAATTATGTGAAGGTAATTTCTGTACTGGTATTTTATAAAAATAATAGAAAACTAAATAAAAAACAGTAAGAAAAATAAAACTGTCAATTCCACTCACTGTATGATTCCAGTTCTTCCCGAAGATCCTGGCTGTGCCAAAGAATAGCAGCAAAAACAGCAGTAATTGCTTTATCAAATTCAATGCCACCAATTTGTTGTGGCTTGCAATGATCACGACATCTGGCAAAATAGAAAAAAAATGATTTAGATAAACAATTATTATTCACTATACTGAAATTATCATGACAAAGCTAAAAAGTGAGAGAGAGCAAGTTCAAAAAGGGAGAGAGAAAGAGAGAGTTCAAAAAGGGAGAGAGAAAGAGAGAAAACAAGAGAGAGAGAGAGAAAACAAGAGAGAGAGAGAGAAAACAAGAGAGAGAGAGAAAACAAGAGAGCGAGAGAGAGAGAGAGAGAAAACAAGAGAGAGAGAATTCAAGAAAAAGAAAGAGAGAGTTCAAGAAAAAGAAAGAAGAGAGTTCAAGAAAAAGAAAGAGAGAGTTCAAGAAAAAAAAAGAGAGAGTTCAAGAAAAAAAAAAGAGAGTTCAAGAAAAAAAGAGAGAGTTCAAGAAAGATAGAGTAAAATAACAGGGAGAAAGAGAATTGAGAGACAGAGTTAAAAAAAAGAAAGAGAGAGAGCATAAACATAAAGAAAGTTAGAAAAAAAACTGAAGGAAAAGAGAAAATTAAAAAGAGAAAATGAAAAAATAAGTGTAGACAAAAGGGAGAGAAAACGAATGGCAGAATTCAGTCAACCAAGCCAGGAAGCAGATGAAGATTTTAGCTAACTTGTTACTCTGGGCAAAATATAATAATTAAATGTTAAACAATTACCATATCTCTTGTCATAAAACAAACAGGAAGTTGCTTTGCAAAAATAGCTTCTGTAATTTTGATATCAGTTCTTATTCCAAGAGTTGTTCAAACAAGTGAACTCATTTCTGTCTAGCATTTTTTTTTAAATCGTTATTACACCATGCAAGTAGAGTAAGGCCACTAAGATTCAAGGAGTTACAGAGTGTGGAAGAATTAAAAACAGAAACATTAATAATGAGTGGAAAAAGAAAAGAGTAATCAGGAAAAAAATTGTAGTAACGACTGATGTTGCATTTAAATTTTTGCAGATTAAAGTTGGCTTGAAAGTATGGAGGGTGGGAATTTCACAAGCGAAAAGTGCAAGAAAAGAATCTGTTAATATAGAACTTACAGCTACATCTAGCCAGTTGAACTGTCAATTGATTATATCTCAACGCCAGTCTAATATTGCACTTAAATTAAAAAGTTTAGGTACCATAGTGTAGAGCTCATCTGAACAATTACCATGAAAGTATTTATAGAAAAGGCACAGAGAGTCAACCTTACAGTGGTGGGAAAGTGACTGAAGCCAAGATGTCAGGTCAGGACCAATACTGCAGATTCTTCTTTGGATCTCTAGGTAAATAGCAGGGACACTGGGTTATATGTGGTAGCAATATTCTAAGCATGGATAAATGGTAGACTTATAGATATGTAAGATACATTCTTGATTGAAAAATTGTCTCGCATGGCAGTGAACTGACATTCTTAGCAGCTGATCTAGCAATGGATTCAATATAGTCTTTTCACTTCATGTCATCTGAGAGCATTAGCCTAAGAAGGTGCAATGAGTCACTTCCCTGGAGGATAGCATCAGCCATGCTGATGGAAGGCAGGGAGGGGTCTCTCAGATGATTAATGGAGAGAAATTTAGTTTTGGAGGCATTAAAATTAACAAGCCATCTTTTGTCCCAGTTAACAACAGACTTGAGGTTGTTTTGGACACCGGCTGCCATTTTGTCCTTGTCGGACTGATCAGCCTTACTATCAAGGAATAAATGGTTGTGTCATCAGCGCAGATGCCAAGTTAAGAGATGATGTCATCAGGAAGGTCATTAATGAAAATTAAATACAGAGTAAGACCAAGGATAGATCTCTGGGGAACACCCACATTAGTAGAAAAGGATGTAGACGAGTGGCCATTCAAGATAATTTTCATTTCGCAATTTGATAGGAAACACTGAATCAGTTCAAAAATGTGCCCAAAGATGCTGTAACTTTTCAGCTTGTGGAGAAGACTTGTATGCCAAACCCTGTTAAAGGTTTTCAAGATGTCCAAAGCTACAGCTCAGGCTTCACTGATTTTATCTAGAACATGATAAACTCTTTCCACAATTATCGTCAGTACATCAGCAGTTGACCTGGATAAATGAAAGCCATATTGTTTGTCTAAGAAAAGGCCCTATGATGAGAGATGATGAATCAATTCAGCATTGACATTTGGTTGATACAATGTTTTAGCCAACTGATTCTTTGATTCTGGTTGATAAAGAGTCATTCAGATTTCAAAATACTTTTTTATTTCTTTGGTCATTCCCATAATACTTTATTAACACATTATAATAACAAACAAAAGCAATAAAAAAGAATGAGATCAATAAAGTGAACAACTCTTCATAATCAGTGCATATGTGAAGCCATGAAGGTTATGATTTGGAATAAGTCAGCAGAATAAAGTCATTGACAGGAGAATGCAATATCACTCGCATCTTATTGTAGAAAATAATGAAACTGATGTAGAAAAACCAAAACAAAAGTTTTATTCCCAGAAAAATTAAAAAGAAAAGAATGACTATTCTTTACTTATTTGCAGCTGAAATGAATTTAAATCTTCCGAATTTTTACATTTCTGACTTTTGATGTTAAAGTCCTACTTAATCAAAGAGTAATTATATATTTACTTTTGCAGTAAGTCAGCTCCAAGTCCTGGATGACCATCCATCATATCATTGAGCAATTGGAGAACATCTGGATTGACATCTGTGAACTGAGAAAGAAAAAAAAAGAGATTAGATTAGATTACATATATATATATATATATATATATATATATATATATATATATATATATATATATATATACACACACACAGTGTAATTGATAAATTGTAGTCTAAATTACAAAAATCAAAACACTGAAAAATATCTTAAAAATACTAAAGAGTAATTTATTCAATTCAGCCACTTCTGAACTTCCAGACGACTTCAGAATCTCTTGCAACTCTTCTGGATAGTCTCCATGTTTAAGTTGGTGAACGCTGCCGTAATCCTTGCCTTCAATACATCTTTGGTCTTACAAGGAGTTTTGTTGGTCTCTCACTCAAGTGCACCCTATACATAATAATCAAGAGGGCTGTAGTCTGGAGAGTTAAGTGGCCAGATGTAAAGGGTGACGTGGTCGAAGAAATAGTCTGACAGCTATGACCGAGTTCTCCTGGTTGTCTGCATGGTGCAGAGTTCTGTTGTCAGACATGGAGTCTTCCAGCAGCCACCCTTTCAATCCAGGGCAACACTACCTCCTCAAGGAACTTGATATATATCACCATGTTGAGTCTGAGGCCCTCACAAACAAATTCGAGAGTTCTTTTCTTATCAAAATGATCAGAGTGAGTTTTCCTATACCTTCATAATAACCATTAGACTCATCCAACTCTTTCCTATTCTCCTGCAATGTCCTCAGATTGACACCCAAACACTGAAATGTTTGTATTGGAGATTCCAGCATGAATGCCAAGCAGTACAGCATGCAGTTTCCAAATTTATTTATTAATTTGGACTTTATATTCCAATGGTTTTAAAACTCATTGAGTGATCAAATTTATCTTCCCTATTTTTTGATCATTAGCCCACACTAACTTGTTACCTCAAATGAACATTATTATTATTATTATTATTAGCCAAAAAAACATAAAATAAACTAGAACAAATTTTTGTCATTCATTTTTCTCTTTTAAAATTTACCAGAGTAGAGTAATGGATAACGGCTCAGATTGAAGAATCAGAGAGCCAAGTTTGAATTCTAGTCAAATCCATTACATTCACTTACATGCTAATACCCTTAGGAAAGGTATGAATCCTCTTCTTCTCCTCCCAGCTATGGGTAAATTGTAGGGTAGACCAGGTTCTATAGACTTAGTTGGCAACTGGTCTACAGCAGAAAGAAATGGCAACCTACTGCAGGAAAAAAATCTGCCTCATCACTAATTTATCAAAAGATACATGATCACCTACACGTGTATCACGCATGGTACATTATTGAATCAGAAAGCCAAGTTTGTATTCTAGTCGAATTCATTACATTCACTTACGTGCTAATAACCTTGGGAAAGGTATGAATCCTTGTCTTCTCCCCCCAGCTATGGATAAATAGAGGAATAGTCCGGGTTCTACAGCCTTGGATGGAAACTGGTCTACAGCAGAAAGAAATGGCAACCTACTGCAGGAAAAAAATCTGCCTCGTCAGTCATGTATCGAAAAACACATGATTGCCTAAACGTGTATCACACATAGCACATAACTGACTGTTTACTAGATGTCCAACATCAGCTATCAATTGGAGTACTCAGTTTGGCAACCATTTGGTTAGAAGGAAAATAATTCAAATTTGTGTGTGAATTATATTTCTAACAGAATATTTTTTTTTTAAATAATGTTGGGAGACATGAATATTCTATTTCTCCATTTAAGAAGTGATTTTTTTCTGGTCTTCTTTGCAACATTTTTTACCATTTCACCTAAAAGCTGTAAGCACATGCACCCTCTACTGTCATCACAGCAGTTAAATTAGTTATTAATTCAGTGTTCTGAAGTCTGAACAGGTACTACACCTATGTATGCACAAAAGACGTGGCATAAAAACCTTCCCTAAATTATGCAAAGACAAAATCTAACTCCAGTGTGTTTGTGTTTCCAAGATTTTCTTAAAAAAGTCTTTTTGAGAAAATCCTGGAAACACAGACAAACAACTCACCTTTATTCTTAGATTGAAGGTCTGATTTCATTCTATCTTGTCACAGAGGTTGAGCGTGTGTGTGTGTGTGTGAGAGAGTGAGTGAGTGCCTGTGTGTGAGAAAGAGGTAAGAGTTGAAATAATCCTGAAGGAAAGCATTGTGAGTGAGTAAGTATATCCGAGAGAGAGTGAGTGAATGTGACTGTGTAAGTGAGAGAGAGAAGTAAGAGTTGAAATAATCCTGAAGGAAAGCATTAAGATTAAAGAGTCCCAAGAAAGGGATATAAAAAATGGAAGAGACAGGAGAAAGAAAAAAAAAAAAAAACTTACACAACTTCCTGAGAGTGTTCTTTGGAGGACAGGACTGGTATATCCCCCTCTAAAAATGGTCGTCCACAATGCATTGTCCCAAAGGTCTTCCGTGTTGTCATCCATAAACAAGCTGATTGGATCTTTGGCAGCCACTAATCATGAATACAACAAAATAATAGACAATCTGTGTCACTATAAGACTATGATATTTTTATCATTATCAGAGTGAATAAGTTTTGCTATATTTGTCTAACCCAGCGTTTCTCAACCTGGGTTCCTCAGAACCCTAAAGTTTCACAAAAGGTCCCCAAGGGTTCCACAAGAACTTTATCAAATGACTCTGAAAGTAACATTTTCTTAACCTATTTATTGGTACACAGGCCATTTTGCTTTGATTTACCTGATGTCTTTCCAACATTGCCAGTAAATGATAAATAAAATAAAAAATAATGCAGCAATTGTCAGTTTTCGTTCTGTTTACATTTATATTATAGGTATATGATATTGGTTTATTTTTTATTTTTGAATTTAAAATTTTTTGTGTGAATGAAAACTCCCTGATGAAGTATTATAAACAAACAGTATGAATTTTATTTAGCATTACCAAAATATTTGACAAAGAAGTATTAATTTTTCCTTAAACCAGTTATTCAAAAATATATCCTATGATATTTACCACGTGAACTACAATGAAAATAAAATGAGAAAGATATGGTATATAATTTTGTTTTTTTGCAAGGGTTTCCTTGAGACATGTAATTTATTTTAAGGGTTACGCAAGGGTAAAAACGTTGAGAAACGTTGGTCAAACCCATTAATGTCCACCATAAAATCCAAAATAAAAATCCAGTATTAACTATAGGGGTTTGGTTTATTTTTTTTATTTTTACAGCATATCAACTTCAATGGGTTATTTAATGCCAACAAGATTTTTATTGCTAGTAATATTTTTTTTTTCAAAAAATGTATTGCTGGCAATAATTTTATCTTCAAAAAATCATTGCTGGTAAAAAAAAAACTATTTTTACACTTTCATAGTGTTTTCACCCCAGTTTGGGGGTCAACTATTTACCCATAGCTGGGACCCTAACAAGTGCTACCACCTCGGGTCAAGGTGGACCTGTGAACACCAGCAATTAAGAGGTGGTTCCACACTCCTTAAAACCTCCTGATCAGAGGCCTTGTTGTTGGATGTAGTTTATCGTCTTACCCAGGACACAACTATAGGTGTAGTTGTAGTCTTATTTAAACATGAATAGAGAGGAGAGTACAACCTCCCCTAGACAAGAACCTGGAAGATTTGTCTATATTCAGTTTGTGTGAATACTTGATTGATTTGGTTTGTTTTGTTTTATGGCATATCAACCGCAATGGGTCATTTAATGCCGACAACTTTTTTTCCCTGGTAATATTTTTGTTTTGTCAAAAATCTATTTGTGTTAATATTTTTTTCCTCAAAAATGTATAGCTGGTAATATTATTTTTTTCAAAAACATATTGCTGGTAATAGTTTTTTTTCTTCAAAAATTTATTTCTGGGAATAATTTTTTTACAAAGTATTTCTTGTATTAAAACCTATTTTTACACTTTTAAAATGCTTTTTACCTCAATTTCGGGGTTAACTATTTGCCCATAGCTGGGACCCTAACAGGTGCTATCACCCCGGGTCAAGATGGACCTGGGAACACCTGCAATTAAGATGTTGTTCCACACTCCTCAAAGCCTCCTGATCAGAGGCCTTACTGTTGGATGTAGTTTATCGTTTTACCCAGGACGGGTGTGAATACTTGAGTATCAACTACTATGGTTCATGACTTTACAACAAGAGGCTCATAAAAATCTGGTATTAATTATAGATTTCTATCCATAGCCAATTAAGGCTTACCTACACCCCAAAAAATGGGATGGTGTGCATTAATGAGTTAATAAATCCTCCCTGTGATATCACAATTTACTTGAACAGCCAATTAGTAACATTGTTGACCAAGTACTTATAGTTAGAGAAATATAGAAAGAAAATTAAAATTCAGAAATAAAATGTTCACTCCATCCTTTTTACTTATTTTTATAATAATGATTATTGTAATTATTTAAAAATAAAAAAAATTATTGCCCCATTACCTATTAAATTAGTCAACAGTTGAATACAAGATTTATGAAAAGTTCTTTAGAAAATTGTTTTTTTAAAGCAAACTTTTATCTTTTATTGTGGCTTGTCTAATTAAATTACTAAAAAAATAATTTTTTTAGATATTAAAAGAATTTTTAATATAAAAAAAATTAAAAAATCTAAAAACAAGTATAGAAAAAAAAATTTAAATATAATTTTAAATGAAAAATTTTAAGAGGATTTTAATTTTTAAAAACTTACCTGGATTAGCAGTGAGAACAGATCCACACAATTGCCCAAATAATTTTGTAAGCAGCAGCAGCATGTCATAGGGCCAGGTAAGAACTGTGTCAGCACTACCTCGTGCCACTACCTGAAAACAAAATACAAGAATACAGGTGAGATAGAATTTAAAGAATATCAGAAAATATTCCAAACCAAAACCTATATAATTGTTAGAAAGCATAACCTTAATAATAGATACTTAATAGTAGAAACCTAATGATAGGGACTTAATAGTAGGGACCTATCATCAATACTGCACCCATTTATGAACCAAATTCGATGGATTAGATTATTATGTATTAATCCTTAGTGCCAAAGGTTGGTGCTAGAGCCCAGGGGAAAAAATAAAAATGGGCAGGATTTTAAATGCTGAGTTTTAAGACAACTCAGCTCTTCCCACTTGGAAGATCTGGGGCAGCACAATCTTTCTAATCCATTTACACACATTTGTCCTAGTGGTGTACAAAAACAAGTAAATATCTATAGCTCTTTTCCACTGCACTATATATATATATATATATATATATATATGAAAATTTCTCTGATTTAACCAGTAGAGAAGACAATATTTATGAATAAAAATGACAATAGGAAAACTAGTAATTGCTGTCGCGTTTTGTCCAATATGGACTTTATCAAAGCAAAATACAAAACGAATTTAATTGAACAAGGTAACTAATAAAAAAAAAAAAAAACAATGTTCCTAGCAACTTTTTTCCCCATTTCACCTTTCTTAATGAAATTACTGCTCTCACAAACAAATGTACACAACAGATTCATTAAATCAAAAGAAAATGGTTGAATACATCAACACAGATATAATGACAATATTCTCCACAAGTGACAAATACTGACGTTATTTTCAGTTAACAATATGAAAATAGCTTTTCTCTACATTCCAGTTGCTAAGAACATTGTTTTTTTTTTTGTTTTTATTAGTTACCTTATTCAATTAAATTCATTTCGTATTTTTCTTTGATAAAGTCCACATTGGACAAAACGCGTCAGCAATTACTAGTTTTCCTATTGTCATTTTTATTCATAAATATATATATATATATATATATATATATATATGAGGCACAGTGGAGTAGTGGATAGTGGCTCGGATTGAAGAATTTGAGGAATTGGAGAGCAGAGTTAGAATTCCAGTTGAATCCATTACATTTACTTACGTGCTAATACCCTTGGAAAAGGTATTAATCCACTTCTTCACCCTCTAGCTATAGGTAAATAGCAGTACAGACTGGGTTATATAGCCTAGGATGCCAACTAGTCTAGGAGAAGGAAAACTCTGAATTCAAAACCTGCGAAGGGTCGTTTGGGGACCTTGTGGCACATAGTGTACCAGATGTCTGTATTGGCCCTTCAAAAGTGTGGTTGGTTCTGCACAAAGCCTTCACCACTATCATCAAATCATATGTGCTGGTGTCTGGGCTGTCGATTTCTAGGAAATGAGCTGTGTGACCCCATACATCAAATACGATGGGAGAGTCCACCATATATATATATATATATATATATATATATATATATATATGATTGTGATTGCTACATCTTAATCAGATGAAAGCTGCCTCCTCACATCACTTGTAATGGCTTCTGTATTGTTTTGGCATTCACGACCCCCTAACATGACTCTTGAGACCAGCATTTGATTTCATAGATATCAGGCATATATGACATAATCTCTATATCCTTGATAGGATTGAATGAATCTGCATATCCAACAACTCACCTTTCTACCAACATGTGCCTTCTCACATTAGATGATGATCTGCAAACTTTGTTGCAACAACACAAGTATTGTTAACAGGACAATGAGCAGGCTGCATCTCATATATATATATATATATATATATATATATATATACGAATATAGGGTTGGTATAGATGGAATAAAATTCTGATAACAAAAACCACTATTTTAAAAAAGTGCTCAATACAAAGTAGAGCAAATAATATTTATTCAAAAATTATAGCATAAGCATGTTATAACATCACTACAAAAATAGCCATTTTGTTTCAACACTTCTGGTGTCTTATCAAATGATAGTGTTGATTGCGAAATAAAGTTTTTTTAAAAATTCAAAACCCATTCAAATTCCCTCAATAGAGGAATCCTTGCTACATTAACCTATGACAACCAATCAGAATACTAATATCTGAAAAGTTTAGTTTAGTTTAACATTACATTAGATCAACTAATGGTTTGTATTTAGAATACACTGTCACATTTTTTGAATTTTCATATACTTGTATTCTGATGGGTCGTCATAGGTTAAGTAATAAGGTTTCCCTTATTGTGGGGGTTTGATTTGGTTTTGAATTTTCAAAAAAAACTCTATTTTGCAATCAACACCATCACTTGATAAGACACAAGAAGTGTTGAAACAAAATGGCTATTTTTGTAGTGATGTTATAACATGCTTATGTTATAATTTTTGAATATTATATAATTAAATAAGATACATTTTGTTTCTCAGTATATACCATGCTAATTGATAGTGGAGCATGTTATTTAACAAGGCATGACTTTACTTAAGCCATCAGCCTTTAGAAGTAAGGAGACAACACAGGCATCTATTTTGGCAATATCAGTCAGTTAAGTGCCATACATGATCACCCAATATATGTATCATGTATGGCACAACATGATACATGCTTGGGTGATTATGTCTCTTTAGATTCATGACTAACTAAGCACAAGATTTTCCCAAGGTAGAGTGGTTGCCAACCAAGGCTATATGATTCAGTCTGTCTTGCTATTTAATTCATAGCTGAAGGGGAGAAAAGATGGATTCATATCTTTCCCAAGGATAATTGTGCATAAGTAAATGTAACAAATCTGACTGGAATTTGAACTCAGCTCTCTGATTTCTCATCCTGAGCCAATAACCTTTACACCACCTGCACATCCAATATAACTGACTCATTAATGCCCACCGTCAAGTCCAGTATTAATTATAAAAATTAAAATCCAATATTATTAATAATAGGTTTATAAAAATCTTCTATTAATTATAGGATTTTCATAACTATATCCCATTAATGGCCATTATCCAAAAAATGGGGTTGTGGGCATTAAAGGGGTTAACAGAATATACACACACACACACACACACACACACACACACAGTGATAAAAAAATAACAATGTTGTGTCAATTTTTTCTGCTGATCACTAACCTGTTCAATTTTTCTCAATCTGTTAACATATGCAATAACAATTAAATATTTGACAGAAGCACAGTGGAGCAATGGTTAGCAGCTCAGATTGAGAAACCAGAGAGCTGAGTTCAAATCCCAGTCAAGTTCATTACATTCACTAATGTATGGATACCTTTGGGAAAGGTAATGAAATCATCTCTTCTCCCTCAGCTGAATTTAAACCAGACCACACTATCTTGAAAGTGTGTATACAAGAGGCTAAGGATCACTTGTGAATCTAAACGCCCACTAAAACTTCTACTATTAGCACGTCCTCAGATGCGGCATTTAAAAAAAAAAAAAAAAAATAGCCCAATGTTCCATCGTTCATCAGGATCTAACTAAACCTGATATTGGTTAACTAAATCACAAAATGCATACAAACTGGTTACTGTAGTTAATTTTTGCCGTAGGTTTTGGTTGACTAAGAGTAGAAAATTTAATCAAGTCTTAATTAAGAATTCTCAAATAAAACACAAAATGTAACTTTGAAATGTTTTCATTTGTTTTCTATAGTGAAATAAAATGATATTTTTGAATATTAATCAAAAATAGATTTTTCTTTTATTCAGATAAAGTAGAATATTTTGATGAAAACAGAAATAAACATCAAAATATTTAAAATTTTGAATATGTAATTCTTGTTTGTAAATTAAATACTGCTCACCTATATACTATCAGAAATAATACGCTATAGACAAGATGTTTACTTACATCAGAGATAGTCTGCTTAAAAATATAAGACTAGGTACAAAAGTACACAGAATCACTGGAACAAGGATATAAATATGCACAAGGTTCAAGCTTAATATTAACTTTAAATGCAAATCCCGTTTTGCTATGTATATTTATCAATACTTACCTGATTCATCCTTCATGTTTTTGTTCATAGTTTTGCTTCTATTAACAAAATAAAGGGGGAGGATGATAAAAAGAAGAAGCAATAGATTTTCTTACCTTGAATTTATATCCCCATTCAGTATTGCTACTGTCTGATTTGAATGTGAAATGTAATGAGGGACCGGCAAAAATGAAGACATCAGGCCACCCATCTAAGCCGACTTTATGGGCAAATCGGAAAGATTCACCTGTAGCATCTTTGAATTGTAGATAATCATACCTGAAATGGTAAAAGTAAAGTCATCACATTTAACAGAGTCCAACATTGAACCAGACAATCCGCGTTTAGAGAATTAAATACAAAGTCGCTGAGGTAGTTTTTATAATTATCATTGGTAACATGCATGAGTTTGAACCCAAGTAAAAGACATAATCTTGAATGCTGATTTTTAAGGCAAACAAGTTATCCCTTTTAGAAGATTGAAGCAACACAATCATCTTACATAATTATTTACCTCCTACCATTTGATTAATTAAATTCAGAAAATATTGCATAATAGCGTAATTTCTAGTGTTCACTTTAAGAAAATCAAATGTGAGAGCAATTAGTGAAATATAATAAAAACATGATACAGATGATGGTGGACAAAAACAAGCACTACTAGTCAGATGAATTTAATTAAAAAGGTTTATTTGTTTTATATTTTCAATATAAACCTGCTAAAAAGAAATATTTCAAATTTTGGTTTTATTTTATTTAGTTGGTTGATTTTGTTTAGCAGAATATCAACCTCCATGGGTTATTTAATGCTGAAATCTAAATAATTTGAACACAATTTTATGGCTTCAACTAAATATATTTTGAACACAATTGTATTCCTTCAGCTACAGATAAAATTTATTGCTGATCATGTATTGTTGGTCTGTCTTTACATAAAACTGTATTGCTGGTATTTTTACTATAAAAATGTATTTTTATACTTTCATTGTGTTTTTTGTTTTGGGGGCTAACTATTTGCCCACAGCTGTGACCCTAACAAGTGCTACCAGACTGGGTCGGGGTGGACCTGAGAACAAAAGCAAATTAAGAGGTGGTACGACACTCCTCAAAAACCTCCAATCTCCCAATCAGAGGCCTTGCTGCTGAATGTTGTTTATCATAACCCAAGACTTTATTTTGATAAGACACACTAATTTTCTATTACACACTGGTGACAGATACTTATTTTTTTTTTTTTATTGTACTTCATGTGGACATAAAAAATTTCAGGTTCTAAACCTGTCTTCACATCTTTTCTTGCCTTGATCATAAGCAACAATTTTTCATCATAATACTAAACAAAATCTTTTATATGATATATCCCTTCAAGACGTGGGCAATCATGGCTGTCCACAACTTCCTATCCTTTGTAGCTTAGTAAGTTTTGCCACTTTTTTTTTTTTTATCTCTCCCAGTCCCTGTTCTGCCATCAATTTATACAAACTCATTAAGTAGATTATTCACTGCTATCCTCTGCCCTTCTTGCCTTCAATGTCCTGTGAGTGTCAAATTCTCCAAGCCGTCTTTCCTCATATATCTTAGTACTTTCAACTGTCACTTTCTGATTCTAAGTATAAATATCATTTTTTCTTTCCATTTTCCTTAAAACTTCCTCATTACTTGCATGTTAAGTCCATGGGATTCTTAGCATCCTTCTGTAGAACTATATTTCCGTCATTTCAAGTCTCTTCTTTATCTACAAGATGATTATGAAGCATTCACTACCATATAGGAGGACCAATATTGCATAACAGTTCAGTACTCTTTTCTATGTTTCTTATGAAATTTTCTTATTTTTTAATACTTTGCTTAGCTTTTGGAATGCATTTTTCACTATTCACATATACCTTTGGATTTTGATGTCACATGTGGGTCTATTCTTGTTGAATATCTGTCTATATCTTTGAGATGAGGTATTATGATTACTTGCATTATTTACATTATTCAGACTGTTATCCTCATTATCTGTCTATATTTCTGATATGAGGTATTATGTACATTATTTACATTATTATCATTTACATTGTCCTCATCTTTGTCGCCATATTTATTACATTTCAGCCGTTGTACACTTCAGGCCTTCGCTCACTGGGGTAGTTCCACATGCCATGTTTAATGGATGTCAGTTATCAGTTATCTCCTGTTAATATTCCCTCTGAAATTCTCCACTGCCTTAACTGGGTATTGAACTCACACTCTTTGGGTCCTGTCACTGGATCTAACCAATGCCTTTATCCACTGTGCTATGTGTCCTTGAGGACATCTGTGTATGAATTTCTGGGTATTATTATTAGTATATTATAAACCTAATATTTTCAGCATCCATTTTTACCAGTGCTCATATTGCAATTTTGCTCTTATCATTTCATGTTTTTACCAGTGCAACTTGGTTGTTATTATCGCTTTACTCTGGCACTCCTCATTACTGGTTCCCATATTGTATTCATTTCTATGCTTGGTCGGCTCAGGAGATTTTTGTGGCCTAGCATATGTGCTGATTCCTTAAGTTTACGAATTTTCCAATCCAAGCAGGGAAGGGAGATAATCCCAGTATTCGTTTTTATTTCTATTTCTCAATTCTAATCATATAAACAATAGAACAGGTTGATTTTTTTTTTTTTTTTTTTTTTTTTTTTAGAAAATCAACATTAACTTCAGTGTGGAAGCTGGGGTTTGATGTGATAAGTAGTTACACCAAAAATTAGATTCATAGACTTTACCAATTTTTGAGCATCTAGTTTTAAAGACCATATAAAAAAAATATGCAGAAATACCTAATATCCTCAGGTTTTTGCTTACAAACTGACTTCAAAATTTCACAATTTCAAGATTAAATCCAAATAAAGTTGATATCTTGAATGGAAAATATATTCAAAGCAGAATTCTAATTATGAAAAAATATACATTTTTTTTTTGCTGTATTCAGTAAGTAGAAACAAACTGTGTAAAAAAAAATTGTAAAAAAAAAAGCTATTTAATGAATAAGATTTGTTAAATCATAATAAAAACAAAATGACAGATAAAAATGTATATAATACCATAATACTACTGGGCACAAATTATAAGATAAAGTGTTTTAAATTTGCATTGTTTATTGAAAATGACACTAAAATGACAGTACTGTATAACATATTACATCATAATATAGCTAAATTGTTCAGTATAATTTCCCTTTGAAGTAAATGAAGGTCTTATTTGAAATGACTTAGTAATAATATGCTTGTGCCATGCATCTTGTCCATATACAATTGCTGTGCTATAAATAAAACTTTCACTGATCACCAGAATGAAATTCCAACATGACAATTTTGAACCTAAACTTAATTTTTAAACTTGTTTCTTCAAAAGACTCAATTAGATTCAATTTCAGTGAAACTTATGTCTTTTGCATCCTCAGAAATGTAGACATTTATTTTAGTCTGGTGCAAAACGCCAAATAAAAGATGAGCCACTTGTCAGGTTTAAAATCTTGGCTTTTATAAGCATTCAAATACTACACACTGGTAAAGTAGGGAATATATACCTACCACAGGTATATTTATTTATCTGACACAAGGCCTCAGTAGTGGAGCACCCAGTAAGGATGAAAATCACATCACTAACATTAAGTCAGCAAAATAAACTTGTTAAAAATCACACAAAAATAAATAAAAGGCAGTTTTGTTTTCTGGCATAATTGGTGACCAGATGCTTACCTACTTTCTGTTTCACAGCGACTGTCAAAAGACACGACAATTTTGGAAGCCCCAGGACAATGGAAACTCTATAAAAAAAAAAGACAAGAAAAAAACAAGCAGATCAAACAAGTTTCAAGCAATCCAAACCTAGTGAAAGAATAGGTACTGACTAAATCAACTTAAAAACCAACAAAAAGCTTTTTAAAGAAAAACAAGGTTAATTAAGAGATGCAATACAATGAATAGATTTACTGTTATATTCAGATCATTACATAATCTATAGAGATTATTTTATATAAATCATTTCTCTCAATCTGATTCATGCAAATGTGCATCCATTTTAAGATGTAGTATGTGATTCATGCCAGTAAAGAGGAGAGGTTTGAATCAAATTTAATGTCAATTAAGAATCTTTGATCTAAAAGGAGTTGATCTGTGGTGACTGTTAGGACAGATGTCATAACAATGGAGATAATTCACTCTGTAAATAGGAACTAAGTTATGCCCCTTGATCAGAACTCTCTAGGACAACAAAGAAAAGGGATTTCAAGATGGCGGTCACGCATCCTTACATGTCATGTGTTAAACTCTCAATCTACTGGTAATCACATGTCATGTTTTACAAAATGTATAAAGGTTCAAATTTTGTGTTCGTTCTTATTTGACACATATATGTACACCCAAAAACACAACGGTGACCCCAAAACTATATCATCAATACTGTAATGCACTTGGAAGCAGTGGAGAGAGGAATATGGAGAAGAGGCCAAAAATAGAAACTAAGCATGCCACCCTATCTGACCTTAATTAACAACAGATCATTGAAGTTGAAAGAAGATTATACCAAAGCAAATAGGAAGTCACTAGTAAGAACAGAAAAAGAAAATGGTGCTTTCTTGACGCTGTTCATCAGTTTTTTTTGTTTATTTTTTGTTTTCTTGGTTTTCCTTACCATCTCTGATTATGAGAAGAAAAAAAAAAAAGATTGCTATGTACACAACTGAGAGTCAAATTACAAGATTTAATCTTGTTGCAGAAATATAAAACCAACGATAACCATAGCTAATGAAGACAAAAGACAAGGAGTTGATTAAGGATATAAACCTTAAAATATTGTAGAGAAACTATATCTGACCCTTATTTAAATGAAAAACATGAAATCATTTTAATCAAAGATAATAATTTATTTCAAGGAATTATAATTTATGTCAGAAAAAAAAAACTCATTAAATTTGGAAGCATGGAATAAAATTAATTATCAGAACATAAAACAGAATTAACAAAATAAAATTTAAATTCAAATAGAGCTCACTTTATACCAATGATTCCCACCAGTGGGGCATGGTAATATTTTGGTGATGCATGTATAGGATGTGCACCCTTTGGCTTACAACAGAATAAGGGGGCAATTCAAGAATGAGTTATTAACAGTGAATTGTTTTGAGTCTGAGCCTCATTTTGCCCTAATTCTTTAAAAAAAAAAATATTGTAACTATCTTTCAATTCCTAGTTTTCCATGTTGTCCACAAACCCTGGATAGTCATCAGAAACCAATTACAAAACAGGATTGACTGACTGATTATTGATTGTTTTTTATGAATTATCAATTTTTTTTTTTACAGGTTACTTGAAGCCAGAATGTATTTTTAAATTGTAAGAATTTTTGGGATATAATTATTTACTGATACAAATCCTACTAATTCACAGGTGGATTCATGCCTTTCCCAAGGGTATTTGCACATAAGTGAATATAACAAACTCAACTGGAATTAGAACTTGGTTCTCTGATTTCCAATTCCAAGCCATTATCCATTACACCACCCGCACATCCAAGCATAAGCACCTGGTATTCATTCCCAAATGGTCACCCATCTAGGTACTGACCAGGCTCAATATTACTTAACTTTAGTGATCATATGAGAACCACTGTTTCAACAAGGTATGGCTGTAAGTCTACAAAACAAGAATCTACTAAATATTTAGAAAAAAAAAAAAATTGTTGTAGATATAAAGAAAAAAGTGATTTGGTTAATTCAGAGTAAAACAAAAATGAATGAGTAAACAAACCTGAGAAATGTGTTGATTATTTTCATAATGATGAGGTGATTCAACTTCCCATTCTTTCAATACAACTTCGTCTTTATCACTGTGTAACCAAAAATTATGTGAAAGCTGGAAAAAGAAAAAGAAAAAAAATTAATCTCACCTGAGCACTGCTTTTTCTATTAATGTTTTTTTTTTTTCAAATGATTTTATTAATTTCCATATTTCACACTCACATATCACCTTGTCGTACCTATGAAAATTTAATGGCTTTCCTATTTGAATTTTATTTTCCTTCTTTTTCTCACTGAAAAGGTTATTTCTTTCTTGCCTTATTTCTTTCAATTTCTCACTGAAACCAAGTAGCATCTCCAATATGTCTTTTCCGTATTTCCACATGATAAAAATTGAATAGTCAATTATTTATGAGGTATTGGTAGGGCATAATGTACATGTATACTGCATATAAACCACAGGTTGGCTCTGTGGGTGTTGAACAAACACAAATATGCTTGAGTTAGCATCTGCAATAGGGATTGACTAGCCACCTTAATAAGCGGGTATCCTCGAATATGAGTGGCCAGCTATTATATATATATATATATATATATATATATATATATATATATATATATATATATCTCAAAATAAAAAGAAAGAACAGTCAGATTTATAATCTATAATTCTTTAGCATTTATTTTTAAAAACAATGCTCGATACACAGTAAAGCATAATATTATTATTTAATATGTATTCATTGCGACACAGAAATTAACGTTTTGAAACCAAAACCTAAATTTTAAATTAAACTTAAATTTTGAAGTTCAGTTTTACTTTCAAGCGATGCTGAATAACTTTCGTTTTTTTTAAACTATTTTATTTTTGATAAAATAGTAAATATTGAATTATGCAAATTATTTTTATAATAAATTATTTTTAAGGAAAATATGAGACAATGTCTACAAAAAACTGCTATTTCATTTCTTTGATTTAATAAATTTTTATTTTTCACAAACTTAATAATATATAACTTTTCATGTAGGCACAAAGGACATGGGTTATTTAAAATGTACATGTTCTCATTTTTTATTAGTTTCCATTTACTTTGGCTGTTTTATTTGTTTCTTCAAAATGCCAAAAATATTTGGATAGGGATATTTGTTTGTGATACTTAATATTATTGAAGGAAGTCAGATGTTAGCTCCATCTTAATTTAAATTCATTTTTAGTACATACAATATAAAATTTCACAGTATTAGGATTCTCAATAGATGACATCGTGCATTGGTAAACTACAGATTCTATGAGACATTTATTATTCAAAGGACAATTTTCAAGATTCCTACACTTACATCATTTTTCTTTACTATTGTTTATTGTTATTTCTGGATCACAGTTTCTTTGATTCTGGCTGAAGTATTTATTTAAAATTTTATTATTATGTTTTTTTATATTTTTTTTTCTAAATTTTCAGTTAAACTATAACTTAATTTTTACAATTTTCAGTAAATAAAAATGATTTAAGGAAATCAGCATGGTTGATGTTAATCTCCAAGAGAGTAATACATTGTGCCTTCTTGACCTCACATTTTCCAGATATAAAGTGGAGTGATTATATTGAATCAATTGCTACATTTGCTGCTAGGAAGATTGTTAGAAAAGTGTTAAGATCAGATGCTTAAATCAGAAAAAAAAAAAAAAGGAAGAGTTCAACTTAAGATTAGATTTTTTTTACTTACATTGGGAAAGAATTCTGGCAGTTCTAAGGACATGTGATAGAGTTGCAGTAAGATGGGCTTAAAATGTTGTAGCAGTAGACAGCGAGACGCAGGATCCAGCACTTCAGTAATGTTGCTTAAAAGAATTAACTGCAATACAAAAACAGAATTTCATTAAAAATTTCACATAAATAATCAAATCCAAGCTTGAAGAATTCAATTAAAAAGTCTATGAACAAAACAATCACATTTTATATATCAAGAGAAAATTTAAAATTCTTATGTGATTGGCATGACAATATCACTGAAGTTTTGCCTGTTGTTAACAGTACCCCCAATAGAATCCCCAAACAAATTATTGATGATAATGGGTATTTATCTTGACTGAAAAGCCTAATGCTAAAATAATCTTCAGAACAGATATTTTTTTTTTGTATTATTTTAGAACATTTTCAGAACAAACCATTGTTCAGTTCACACTCTTCCCCAGTCTTTTGAACAGGAGTAGAGGATTATCCCTTGTGTCCTGTTTAGGATTGGGTGAAAATAAAAAAACTGACATCTCATTTTAGCAGATATATTTACCAAAATTACACAAAAATATCTTGAAATACTAAAGAGTCAAATTATTCAATAAAATCGCCATTGGCTTCAACCACAGCCTCCAGATAACCTTGAAACTCTTGCAACTCTTCTGAACAGTCTCCTTGTTTAAGTTGGTGAATTCTGCCATAATCCTTGCCTTCAGTTCATCTTGGTACAAGGAGTTTTGTTGGTCTCTCGATCAACTTTACCCCACATATAATAATCAAGGGGGTTGCAGTCTGGAGAGTTAGGTGGCCAGATGTAAGAGGCGATGTGGTCACAGAAATTGTCTGACAGCCATGACTGGGTTTTCCTGCTTGTATGGCATGGTGCAGAGTCCTGTTGCCAGACAGAGGATCTTCCAGCAGCCACCCTCTTGACCCAGGGCATCACTATCTCCTAAAGGAACTTGATATATGCCTTTGTGTTGAGTCTGAAGCCCTCACCAACAAATTCGGAAGTTCTTTTCTTATCAGAACAATCTGAGTGAGTTTTCCAAGCTACCATACTTTTGTAATCACCATAAGACGTAAACTTATCCTACACTTTCTGAATCTTCTGCACTGTACTCAGATTGACACCCAAACACTCTGGAATATTCGTATTGAAGCCTCCAATGCGAATGCCAAGTGATACAGCATACAGTTTCCAAGTTTTTGACAGAGTAAATTGCATCATGGTGTTCTTTTTTCACAGATGGTGTCCAACTGACCCTTCTACAGTGTTTAGTCAACAAAATCTAAAATAAACAACATGCATGTGCAAACTTAAAAAAATATAAGATGGTGACAATTTACCCATAGCACCCTGTATATTCCTAATGCTTGTTCTTTCCTACTAATATAAGCCCATACAGTAACTCTCTACCTTGAGTGGCCCTTGGGCCATGTATCTGGTGAACATAGGTAAAAAAAAAATAAATAAATAAATAATAATCAGAGCCATTCAAATTTTACATTAAGTAATATTAATATTTTTACATTAAATAAAAAAAAAAAGATGTATTTCCCAGTCGTATATATTTAATTCCATGACTGAAATATTAGCAGATTAGAAATCTGACAAATTTGATAAAAATTTGAAATAATTCTAATTTAAAGCAGTGATTCTCAACATTGGGACCTTAGGCTCACAAATGGGCCTGAGAAATTTTTTAAATGGGCCTGAAGTTGACCAGTTTCCTAATTGGCTTGACTGATAGGGATGTGGATTTGTATGTTGAGTCATTACACTATGTTAGCTATCTAATTCAGCCTTTTATATGATGTAATCTCAGTACTTAGCTGTTAAAAGTATTTCCAAGACTATAAACCTTCCTGGAGCTGAGCCACAAGCTTAAAAATGTTCTGTTTACTAGCAGCGGTGGGACTAGTATGTCATTGCCATACAAACAAAATCAGATGAGTGATTAATGTAAACAATATGTAGTGCCATTATGTGGGGGACGTATGGTCAATGTGTTGTTACTTGATAATGACATTTTTTTTTTAAATTTCTTTCCAAGCTGCGGTGCATTGTAAGCCAGAAAATATGGTAATACTAATACTGTGAACAGATATAAACAAGAGGGGAGGGTAGCATATGATGAATCTAGTGGGAAATTAAAGAGGAAAGCTTATCTTGTTAGAATAGGGGTGGGCAAACATTTTTCATGGAAGGCTGCAGCATTTTCAGTGTGAAAGGGGGTCATATCATAAAAATATCACAAGATCCACAATGGAAATATAAGTAATAATTTGTTAGTTGTAGAATTTTTTGCTTATTAGGCTCGTTTTGTGAATAAACTGCACAAATGGACAAGAAATTAGTTTCATATTTAATTTAGTTTTTACTGTTAAATGGATTTGTGCAGAGATGAAAAACATTTTACAATGATAAGGAATACTCAATAAATCTTATGAGATGTTTATAGAGAAGTGTAAAATGAGGTCATATGTTTATGTCCCATTGGAGTACAGACAGATACCTAGATCCCTTCTCATTTTATACTTTGAGTATATGTGTTGAGGACTAGCAATGGCACAGTGTGGGATGAAAAACTTTTTAGTAATAAGGAATACTGGATAAATTTTGTGAGATGTGTTTATCTCTAGTAGAAATCTTGAAATGAGTTTATTGAGAATTGGGGTCTGCTATTTAATATCTATGATTTCCATCATGGTTTCCTTCATTGCTGTTTTCTGAGATCATCATAGTATGTGTTCATCTCAAAAAAAAAAAAAAAAAAAAAAAAAAAACGTCATTGATCATGGCAACACAAGCATCTCAGATGAGATCGAGTGCTTCCATTAAACCCACTTGATCATTAAATTCACCTAACACTTGTCCTCAGATCAATAAGCAAAAAGAGTCAATTTACTTTAAAAAAGACATGATTGATTTGTTTTCTATAGCTTATCAACCCTTTGCAGGTTATTCAAAGCTAGAAAATATTTTTAAATTGGTAAAATTTGTTTTTTTAGGGGATAATAATAATTCAGTGATACAAGTCTTACTAATTAACCCATAGCTGGGGGTAGAAGATGTGACTTCATACCTTTCCCAAAGGTATTTGCATGTAAATGACTATAACAAACCCAACAGGAATTGGAACTTGTCTCTTTGATTAACAATTCCAAGCCATTATCCATTACACCACCTGCACATCCAAGCTTACAACACCTGGTATTCCCAAGTGGTCACCCATCTAGGCACTGATCATTGTTTAAATCCGGTGATTGTATCAAAAACAGCGTTTCAATATGATGTGGCTGTAAGCCCCCTAACTTTAAAAAAAAAAATTTTTTTTAAAATACAAAATGAAAAAATAATATATATATATATATATATATATATATATATATATATATATATATATATATATTTGATAAAATAAGAAAAAATCTGTTTATTCAAGTCCAACTCAAGAAAATGTAACAGTGAACAAAATTTAAATCAAAACAACTTACCAACTGCCTGAATGGTATCGATGGAAACAATTTATCTAATCTTGGTAATACTTCCTTCTGTTAAAAGAAAGTAAAAACAGGCTTTGTTTTAAAAGTCTATATAAATTTTGATAGAAAAATACTAAATGACTTACATGGAATGGGTGATAAAAAGCAAAAACATATATGGTGAGATTATCCATATTCCCATCCAGTAAACATTTGGCATTCATTGACTGAACAAGTAACATTATTGTTTGTTGGAATTTAATAAAATCTTTCTCTTAAAATAATTTCTCAGGAAAACTGGTTTCTCAAGTCCACTATTATTGCTCTGTCTAGTACTGATAACAACTTTCTTCCCAATCTTCTGTTTAAAATAGTATGGAAAGTCAACTGGATTATATCATTATTTTATTTTCTAGTTGTTATTATTGAAAGTCTTCAAGTGATTTGGCTTCTGTTATTGGGCAAATTTCTTTGTTTCAGATTCTATAGTGCCAGTCTATAAAATTTGATGAAGGAGAGTCCCCTCTAAGACCTACATGCTTCTTTTGCTCAGATCTATTTTACATCATTGATCTGAGAAAACAGTTGCATAGAATTGACAATTTAGACATTTCTGAACAAGGCTGATGTCATGCTTGACATCCATATGAGAGTCTTGAGCTAATAAGGCTATTTAAGAACATGACTTGAATGAGTTCTTAGATTAATCTTTTAGTTTTGCAGTATCTTGCAGTGTTGAACAAGATTAGCCAGAGCACAGCCTATTCTATGTACAATCTCCTTATACTAAACTTGTTACAACTGATCCAGACACCACAGTATTAAAAAAGATAGTGAAAAGAAGCAATAAAGTTTTTACAAATAGAGAACAAGTTATCATAAAATCTCTCTTCAGTGTTTATGTTCCTCTCTGTTTGAACCTGCAATAAATATTTCTTTCTTTCTTGAGACATTTTCTTTCATTCAACAGACTGAGACTGCCAAACTGTCGATTGCACGTGTCTCCATGTATGTAACCAAATGTTCAATGCAACTGTTTTTTTTTCTGACTGCATTGAAGAAAAATAAGAAAAAAAATACATTCTTATTTGCTATTCTCCCTTCACCTAAGAGAAACTCAATTTTCAAGACACCTACTGATGACAGACTCTTTTCTTTACTAAGGTACCAGCTAAAAATAAGCTATTAGTTTATTTTTAAATCCATCTTTTCATCATTGCTGCCATGATCTTAAAGATGTGACAACATGAATATTGTAATCCAACTTACAACACATCATTGCACTAGATTTTACTATCGAATACTAACAAGTATAGGCTTTGACATAAACTTAAACAGTATGGTTAGCCAATTGTCATAAAATTAGAGAACCTCTAGCTTTATTAAAACATTTTATCCTTTCTTTAAAAGAAGGGAAAGCAAAAATTAAGCATTAAGTGACTATTGTATGAAACAAACTGTCATCTCCAGTCACTTTACCATTACTGTAACATGGCTTCCCTGTGCCTTTTCTATAAATATTTTCATGGTAATCTCTTTAGTTCCTTGAGTTCATGAATTTAAGTGTAGTACTAGATTGGCAGTTAGGTCTCACTGATGAAATTGCTAATTGTAACCACAAGTTCTATGCTGATATTTTCTTCACCCACACTTCTTAATTGTGGAAATCTCTTCTGGTTTCTTGCTTTCTTGTCAGCTACAATCATCAAAAATGTAAATACATCAACCTTCTGTCTCCTTGAACCCTGGTCTTTTACTGTCCTCTCTCAGGTTCTTTCACTCTCAGTAACCCTTTGTGTCTTAGTGGATTTTATCACCTTGCTTGGGGTGAAATGATTACAAAAAAATGGTAGAATTGGCATACAGCATTTTAAATTGGTTTGCACCTGTGATTCTCACACAGGAAGCACTTTGTTCTCAAGAGAGTAATTTTTTATCTACTAGGAAGAATTTTAACCAATGGGAAGGAATTTTAATCTTATATATAAGTTTGAAATATGAGGAGGGGGGGATGAAAAGTTCTTGACACACTTCCCAAATCTGACCAAACATTAGATGTGTTTGTAGAAGGGCTTCTTTGTCAGGCTGTCAACTTTTCAAAAGCTGATTGCGAAACAGTTACTAGGAGACATTTCAAAACAAAATAACAGTTTTGTTGAATTTCTCATCACGAGGAGGAATTGAAGAAATATCACAAAGGGAGGAATGTAACCAAAGCCTGAGAACCACCATTTTCCACAATTTGTTAATATTTTTGTTGAGATTTAAGACATTTTACAAAAATGAACACCAGAGATTTGACCTTGAAAAGGGTTTTTGAAAGCAATGAAATAATTTCCAAAGAGTTAACAAAAGGAAAATTTATAGAATTTTAGTGACATTTAAATTCATTACACTGTAAAATTTGTTTTTGTTTTCTGTAGACAATGTTTATTGTAATAAGCATATAAATATTATTCTTTTAATACATTTCATAAAAATACCTGAGAAATTATGCAATTCCATCCAGTTGTACTGAAAGACTACTTACCAGAGTTTCATGATCTTTTGTTAAAAGGAACTGAAATGATTCATTCACTTTTTGAGCACTAGTCACAGAATCTAAGGAAGAAAAAAAAAAAAAGGTTTTTTAGGAAAAGAATCCATGGATTAATTGTTAAATATTGATAAGACCTTTTAGGAATGCCATAAGTCTGAGAAAGAAAATGACATCCAAAAACATTTCCTAAGAAAGGCTTTAAAATTCTTACAAGAAAATATTTGATGATTCAATTTTCTACCAACAAGAAGTATCTAAATCAAGATGGATAATTTTGTATCTGTCTATATTTCTGAGATGAGGTATTATGTACATTATTTACATTATTCGGACTATTGTCCTCATCTTTATCGCCATATTTATTACAACGTTTCGGCCGTTGTACCCTCTGGCCTTCTTCAGGTGGTTGGAATGTTGGACCGAACCCTTTATTTCGCTCACTGGGGTAGACTGTTCTAGTTCCACATGCCATGTCTAATGGATGTCAGTTATCTCTTGTTAATTTCCCTCTGAAAGTTCTCCACTGCCTTAGCCATGTATTGAAGTCACACTCTTTGGGTCCTGTCACTGGATCTAACTAACGCCTTTATCCACTGTGCCATGTGTCGTTGAGGCAGTGGAGAACTTTCAGAGGGAAATTAACAGGAGATAAATGATAACTGACATCCAAAAGTTTTCTTTTTTTTTTTTAAATTTAAATACCATTCAAAGTTACGAATAATAAATTTAAAAGAACATTGGTTTTGATGCCAGGAAGAGATTGTTGAGGTTTCTAGGGCATATAATGAGAAAAGAGGGCTTGGAACAACTGATACTCAAAAATTGGCAAAAGCTATGAAAATCATTTTCTGAGTCACTACCTATCACATCAAACCCCAGCATTCACACAGAGTATAATGTTGATTTTCTTTAAAAAAAAAAAAAAAGTGAAAAATCAAGCTACCCTAATGAACAGGCCACCTTCCGAGACCAAACAATACAACAAAATCACATTTTGGACCCCCACAATGTCACACAAGCAGAGCTTGACAGAAAACAAGATAGCCAGATTTCAAGCTGGATGATCAAGACTAATACATGAATAGCAAAGATGGCAAGGTCTATGGAATGCTAACATTCACCCAAATAAACTTTCACAGGCTGAAAAAGAAAGTCTTTCTTTTAAACAGAGACTAAAAAAGATAAACTTACATCTGAGGACAATGTCTTTTGCTGTTGCCTTTGACAGTTCTGAGGTAGAATTTAAATGTTGCCAACACCAATAGATAAGGGATGTTTGAAGAGCACTAAACAGATTATGCAATGGTACAAGTTGTTCATTAATTGACTTCATGTTCACAACTCCACATAGGTCATGGCAGATCACAGATATCAAATTCTCAAGCAAAGCTAACGATTTGCTAGAGTTAAAATTCTGAAAATAAAACCAGAGACACAAAAATAATGATTTTATTCAAAGGTGGGAGAAACAGTGGATAATAATTTAAATAATATAATAAAAGAATTTGTCATGATTGAATTTGGAAACTTGCTCATTTCATATCAAAAATGTTTATATGAAGAGGGGTACTGAAAAGTTCTTGACCTCACCCACTACCCAAAGTTTGACCAAATGACCAAACAGAATTTTTTTTGTGAATCCCTTCTTGGTCAGATCAAGCACTTTTCAGCACCTCTTTATACTCTGACACAAAAATGTCACAGCTATTTTTGTTTTAAGTTAGAGAGTATAATATCTGTTCTATAAATAATACAGATATTTGTTTGCTTTTAATACAAATGAATATCCAGGAGTACAAAATCATTTGTACTAATAGATATCCTTAAGATTTAATGAGTATCCCTAAGAATTTTTGAATCCAAAATAACTGACAATATTCATTCATAAAAGTCCTTCAGTTGTTCATTCTCAGCATTACAATTCTTTATGTAATTAACAATAGAATTATTGAATTCATTATCTTGGTTATGTCCTACCTGCAGTATAGTACCCTTTTTGCCACATGTAGTATAAAAGGTAAACTTAAGCAACTCAGCAATCGTTTCCTAATGAGCATAAATTTGCAGATATTGAAAAACTGCTTTTCTGTACACAAACAAAAAATGTAAAAACATTTAAAAAATATTGCACTTTGGTTCTTAACCTTTACCACGCTTCAGGCAACAATTGTCACCATAGAATTCTCTCCCTTTGATACTCTAGGTGCATTCTGTCACCTTGAGACGGTTGTTATAAATAAACACTTGCCAACTGTTATTTCCGGTATTTTAAGCTGGAAATCACCTGCTACTTCTTTGGAACAAGGTAAAACATCCATTTTCCAACGTCATTTTGAATTCTTCTAGAATCTACACGAGGTGTGACACCAATTAAACCCACGTTAATTCTTTTGCAATTTTTTGTAAACAAAAATGGCCATATCAATATCCAACAAAACATTTATTCAGAAGTTTTTCTTTGATTAACACTAATGATGATTTTGAAGGCTTTACTCAAGTGGATATTGATGGTGAAGTGATCAAAAATGATAACCACACTAGTGACATGAAGGAAAGCGATGATGACCACTGGCAGCTACTATCATCTATGCCTGACTAATTTTATGGAAGCTACTGGCAACCATATATATATATATATATATATATATATATATCTGATGGCCTTTCTGAAGGTGAATTATTTTGTCTATTTATAAATGATGAAATATTAACTTTATTCATCAACAAGACAAATATGAGTCAGTTGAAAGAAAGAACAAACAAATGCTGGTGTCTTCTCATATGTAAACACAAGGAAACACGTCACTTTTTTGACAAAATGAAAGCCTTAGTGATTTTGCTTCTTATTGCATTCCCAGAACTCCACAAGGAGTAATAAAAGTTAAAATTCCTCAAATTATTTATGTATTTCTTAAATGTATTTTTTATTTCACGTTTTTTATTTTGAGTTTCAATTTTTGCTTTCAACATCAAAACATGCATGTAAAATGTAATGCATTACATCAAAATATTCATTTTTTTATTAGTGTACAAAAATTAAAATCTATAGGTACAATACAAAGAAAGTTATAATTTTAAAATAGTAGGTGTTCATGTTTTTGCACCCCACCCCCGCCAAAAAAAAATGCAGTGACAGGTGGGGAACAATTCTAAAAAGAAATTAGTGTGTTAAAAGTTAAAGTTAAAAACTAAGCATAATGAATAATATCAAGGCACCTCATTTTTATTCTAAAGATTTTGGCAAAATGCAGATGGAAGACATGATGTTTTCAATAATAATTATCTTTGTCTCAGTAACCAAACACATATGACTGTTTATTGTTTTCATCATTCAAGGATGGTAATAGATGGAAAAGTTAAACTCACCTCAGCAGTCTCAAGATTACCATTTGGCAAAGAGAGCAAACTCATTGGCTCAGCAGTTGTGTAGAATTGACAAAGTGATTGAAACACTAACTGAATAGAAGGCTTCTCAACTAATTTCTGGAAATTGATAAAATAAAGTCATTATAAAAACAATACCAAAACACAAAATTAAATAGTTAAAAGTGCATGTAAACAATAATTATTAGATATATAATTCATTGTAAATGCAATAATGTAAGCACTTGTTTTCAGATGAAGGTTTTAAATCAAACTAATTTGATTTTAATGCAAATAACATGTTAAAAAAATTGATATCTGCAAAAGTTCCCATTATCTGCTCCACATAATAGTCAAAGATTTCTTAAATCAACACATACCCCTACATCATCCATTAAGCAAAGAAGTTTCCCTCCTCGAGATTCTTTGTCTGGAAAGAACACTGCAGCACCTGCAAATAAACAAAAAACAACTGTTAATTAAGTAAAGAAAAATGACTACATTATTTAAGAAAAATTATTATTATCTACATAAAAGTTAGCTATTTATCTAAATCAGGTTAGGATTTACAAATGCATGAAAACTTTCATTCATTTTTAAGATTAAATTCAGCCACACCAAAGATATAAAGGATCTAGTATTTCTGGCATCATGTCTTTATCTTCATTAGATATTACCATTAGGTCTTCATCTCTTAAATATATTTCTCTAATTCTCATCTCTAGTCTTTCTGTCATCTTTTTTCAGACTTCGACAAATTGTATTAATTTTAACAACCTTCTCCCACTAACCTAAACTGATTAATTTAGTGCATTTAACTCCATGTATCTGTTATAAAATAATGGTGAACTTATTTTGCAAACCATATACTAGTATATTTCAGTCAATTCTCATTGGAAGTCACAGTTTAAAAAATGTCTACTTTAGCAATTTTGGCAATTTGCAGAAGCAATAAAATAAACAGTTTAAATCCATTCTAAACCATTTGACTTTCCACTTTATTGCATATTTAAAATCCTTATTTATAAAATACCTCATAACATTTCTGTCTGAATGTCTATTTTGACAAAACTGTATTTTCCTTTTAACGTCTGCATGCATATTTTGCAAAACAGGTTTGTATTAATTTAATAGAAATGCTTCTTGAAAATATTCTTTCCAGTTTTATCGTCTACAAATCTTTTTCTCAGCTATTAAATACTTTAATTCCCAACAATTATTCTGTTGTGATCATTCACACACATAATTTTTAATATTTCTGATTCAAACAAATCATCAGATTACAATAGAAAACAGAAACCTTCCCTTTGGCAATTATTTAAATCTCTTGAAAACAAAATCAAGTCAGTAGAATCATTTTACAGTGACGTCTACATTTGGCAAATTAAACATCAGTATTTCTACATTAGTAATCCCAACAAAAGAATTTCTAGATCCAAAGTTGGAGAAATAAATAAAGAAGTTACATGGAAATTTGAATTCTAATTCAACCTGGAGTTGACTAACAATTGGATAAGATTCAATATTACAAACTACAAACCCCATATCCAGTAGAGATGGGTGGTTTAACCGAAAAACCAACTTTTTTTCAGTTTCATCTTCACACTGTGAAACCACATCAAAATTTTTTACGAAACTGAAATTGTTCGGTTTAGAGTGCTATCACTACTGAGTGACCATATCCAAAGAAAAACTATTGAAAAAGACTTTCAGATGTCAATAAAATTAAATTTCATCAACATTTATACCATTGTAAGAGAAAAAGATTGAACAAAAATATGTTAAAAACATAATTGACTAGTTTTAGAAAATAAATGTGAAATCTATTTTTTTACAAAAGAAATGAAGAAAAAAAGGAAAATACAGCATGATGTAGTGAAATCTATTTGCTTGTTTTCAAAAAAAAAAAAAAATGTGGTAAAATTAAGTTAACAACAAAATAGCAAGTAAAAATATAGTTGCCAGTTTTGTCTTAAATGTTAAATTTTATGAAGTCGGACTTTCTTGTAAGGGTTTTCTAGTAAGCCAATACACCAATCACAAAATAAAGTTGAAAAAGAAAAAAATTACTAAAGATTTTTTTTATAAATAAATTTGTTTTTTATCTAGGGAATGCAGCTAAATTAGATATTAAAGATAATTAAAATAATTCTTAATTTCACTTTTAAAATCTCTATATTTACAGATATGCGAGTCTATAAGGGTTTTCTACAAATAAAATTATGTTTCTATCTAGCAAATACACCTAAAAACTATCCTTTTTTAACCACTTTCCATGCCTTAATACACACTTATTTTCTATGACAGGCCATAAGTGTAAAAATACAAATTATTATCAGCATTTCTAGATATAAATGGGAGAATTCGTTGCCTCTAAATAAAATCATTAATCACTTGAAAACAAGTGTGTCAGTGCCAGTTGAAAGTTCTTTTACCACACATTTATTACTATCAGTTGCTTTTTTTTTTGCTTTTTTTGCTTACTTTATAATTTTTGAAGGAATTCGCTTTCACGGGTCAGAGAAGAAATGAACATCTTCCTGGTTGTAGTTTATGGTGTCTTCTAATTGGGTGTACAATTTCAAGAATATTAATAAAGATTGGTCACTTTGATTTTGTGAAACAAAGTAACATGTAAAATTTAATCCAGAAAAAAAAAAAAAAATATTTTGCATTTTTAGCTTTTCAAAGCAAAATACCATTTTAACTCACTGTAAAAAAGTAATTCAATGAATAAAAGCACATACAAATTACATATTTAGAAAGATTATTTTATTTTCTTTCCAGCCATATTAATATTTTTAAGATTGAACCAGAGATACATGAGAAATTGCGAGTTGAACAGACTAAGTTGCAAATTTATCAATCTCAAACAAAATCAGATATCGACTGGAAATGCTATCATTACACAAGAAAATGAATGGCTTCCTTAGAAAGCAAAAATATTAAATTAAAAACCAAAAACCCGAATTGAAAATCGCAGTATCACGGAGAAAAAAAAAAAAAAGAAAGAAAAAAGGAAACTGATACCAAAACATAAATTACCAAACTGACCAACTCTAATATCCAGAAATATTTACCTTATTCTTGAAATGCAAGCAACTTGCATCTCAAGTTAAAAAAATAAAAAAATTTTTTTCCTTACATTATTTACATCATTTGGACATATCCTCATATTCACAACGTTTCGGTCATTGTATGCTACTACCTTCTTCAGGTGAATGGAATTTCAAACCGAACCCTTTATTTTGTCCACCACAGTAAATTGTTCTAGTTCCACATGCCATGCTTTTTCCGGATGTCTCAGTTATTTCCCTTTAACTCAACTCTCTAAGTTTTAGCTCACCACTGCTGTGGCCTGTAATTGAACTCACAATTCTTTGGGTCTAGTCATTGGAACTAACCAACATCTTTATCCATTGAGCCAGTGGACGAAATAAAGCGTTTGGTTTGAAATTCCTATCACTTTAAGAAGGCCAGAGTGTACAACAGCAGAAACGTTGTGAATATGGCAATGAAGATGAGGATAACAGTCCAAATAATGTAAATAATGTAAGTAATTATAATACCTCACCTCAAAGATATAGACAGAAAATTTTTTTTTTGTTTACATAAACTCATGTGAATAACTAGATAAATTACAAGGAAACATTTCCGTAACAGGATATGGCTTGTCCAAACAACCTAAAATGTTTAAATAAGAGTTTTATCAAATGCTTAATCAATAATAATAATATATGAAAAAAAAAAAAAATCCTCCAGATGACAAGTTTCAAAATGTTTTTTTTACAGGTTAAGAAATTTCAAGGTATGAGCAAATTGGACCGTACCCCTTATCAACATTTAAAAATTTAATTTAAAAAAAAATGTTCAATTTTAAGTGTGCTTAATCTATAGTAAAATGGGGAATAAATTTATTATTTCTAGTTACAGTGTATACTCAGTACAATTCCATCAAATTAACACTTATCACCTTCCATACTGTCAATACTTTTTAATTCAAACCTATTTTTGAAGAAATCTAACTCTTTAACCTGAAAGACATGTATATACATTGAACCAGTGTCTCCCTCTACTGACAGAACCACCAAAATTAGTACAATCCTCAAATACGTAGTATTATAATCAAATTTTTACATAACTTAAAACATAAATTACAAGGTTGAAAATTGCAGTTTTCAACCAGTCATAGGGAATCCATTTTAAATATTTAAAAAGGTTGACTTAATTTGCATAATTTTCAAATGAATCTTGAAATGAGAGTTCATTAACTTTCAGAAAATATAAAGTTTATTGGAATTCCTTTTGACAAAGTTTCAAAGACTTAAGAGACAAATACTGGCTAAATTTGGTCTCCAAATGAGAAGGTTAATTCCAAATTCAAAAAAACTCCCATAAAATAGAAAAAAAAAATGTGTTACCATCAAATATAAGCTGCCAAGCAATTTTGTGAATTTTATTTTGGCCAGGTTTGGGATTATCCAGAATTTCACAAAGAAAGTTGAATAGCTGGTCAATTAAAATCTGCAAAAAACAAAGAAAATATTGAAGAAATGAAAATTATTTTCAAATCACAACTTAAAACAAATTTGATATATTTTTTAAAAGTATAAATCTATATTTACAACACCAACCTTGTACAGTAATTTCAATCTAATGAGAGAAACAAAGATAAAAAGAAAATTTTGCTAAGCAGTTAATTTTGTACTAGTAAAATCAACAAAAGACAATCTCACATAAATATTTATTTATCCCCAAACAGCACTAAAGTTCTCATAGGACAATGGCTGTTTGCAATCGTCTCTTATTAAGGGTCTCGGACTGATTTTTCAATAAGAAAACAGAGTTGTCAGAAAATTATTTAATTTCCATAAACTTAAAAGTGTAATTTTGTCTATAGTGTCTAAGTAACTGAAAGGATGCATTATAGCCAGGCGTTTTGAATTAAAGAAACCATAAAACGTTTTAACTTAAACAATACAAAAAAAGTACAAGTGATTTGTAAAAATGGAGGTGCTATGCAAAAAAGAACATTCCCAGTTTGTATTTCCCCATTTATTATTTATATTCGTGATATAGTAACAATTTAATAGATGGATGGAACAGAATAGCTGCAAGAAAGGAATGACAAACAATGAATTGTTCTGAAAGAGACTTTTTATACAAATACCTACATACTTGTCACTGATTTGTTCCACACAAAGAAATTGTAACATATGAATACAACAAGCAGTGTGAGAAAGGTAAAAAGAGAGAGGGTCTTACTTGTAATAATTTTCCACATATTGGTGGTGTCTTTTATTATGCCAGGTGAGATCATGTGAATTCCTCTGTTCACCCTAATGCTATGGGCTTGTCACATCTGTCTTCACCACAGCCTACATAGCAACTAGCGTGGATAAACATGTTTTACCATGAGGGGGTGATAAATAGCAACTGGCCTTCGACACACCATAAAATGACTTCACTCCCCAGCAATCACGTGACCCTTGTGACTAAGGGAGACAATCGTCCTACAGTAACTTTGTGCTTTGACTTGGGTGAAAAGTGAGTGCAGGGCATTTTTCAAGGGAAATAATTATTAAATGTTAATTAAAGAGTACTACCCCTTATTTATTTATTATTTGCATTAAAAATCTGTAAACAAAAAATAAAATAAAAGCCACTCCTTTCACACATAATACACAGAAAATAACATTATCTACAAGAAAATAAATTCAGTGATAATCTTTTTTTCTTTCCATCAAATTTTCTCTTGAAAGGCCACATGGTTGTCTAGTCAACATAAAATATTCAAATAATTGTAGATAATTCAGATATACTTAGAAAAATTGGTAAATTTGCAGTATAAGCAACAAAAGACCCCCGTATTAAGAATATACCATTCTGGTGTGAAATTGCCTGGTTATTTTAAAAATGACATTAAAACATTGTGCTCGATTAACATTTAGAAGTTATGGACAATGTAAATTTGACTTCTTTCTTGTCATGTACACAGAACATCCACCATTATTGGCTTTGTTTATATACGTTTACCTCAAGTCGTCATGCAGCACATAAGCTTCACTTGTCTTGATTACTGCACAATGCACGAAATTTGAAATGAATGCACAAAATAATGTGCCAAAAAACATAAAATCCAACAATTAAAATAAAATTACGTGCCTGAAAAGTAAAAAAAAAGGATTTTTTCCTTTTTTTTTTTAAACAATATTTTTTTTATTTGTTGTGAAATTTTCTTGAATTTAAAGCTTCCAAAATTACATTTTAGTGCGAGATTCTGTTTCATTAGCTATAAGGACAATAAAGAAAAAGATACCATTCATTTAAAACTTCATTTTAAAAAATAAGTGCATTTTAAAAGTAACATCTGCGAAAATCGTGCAGTAATCAAGACGAGTAAGATACAAAAAGCTGTAAAATAAAGGCCGTTAAATAAGTAAGCTTCTGTGCATTATGACTAGAGGAAAATGTATATAAACTATGCCAGTAATGGTGGCTGGACAACATGAATGAGATCGAACTTAAATTGATGATAAATTGAAAACGGTAACAGAGCACAATGTTTTAATGTCATTTTCGAAATAACCACGCAATTTCACACCAGAATGGCACATTCTCAATACTGGGGACTTTTGGTGCTTATACTGCAAATTTATCGAAAAATTAGCTTTGTTCAACATAGAAGTACACAAAAAGGAAATTTGTTTGAGAATTGCACCAATGATTTACTAAAAGTAGCTTACTGCCCATCATTCTAGGCAAAGCATTGTACCATTTACCAACCTTAGTTTACTCTGGCACAAGGCCCACAGTTTTTCATCCTATGTTAAAGTACTTACCTTTTGATCATCATTCAAAGAAGTCATCACAGGTAAAAGGCAGTGTAACAGGTGAATCATAGAACTCACTTTATCATAATTTTCCCTGTACGAAGAGGAACGAAAAAAACAAATTTACACAAACAAAAGATTAGACATGCATGAATTCAAAGAGTTTAAGACAGCATTCAGTTATTTTGAATTCAGAGATTAAATATTTTCATTATTAATTTGCAAACAGTTTTATTTCTCCTTGTTTATCAGATTTAAGTTAAATATAATCTAGCTGCTAAGATAGCATAAAGTAGAAATACTTTGTTTAATAGATAAAGATGAAAAGAAATGGTTAAAGAATGAATAAGACTTTTTAGCTATCAATATTAAAAAAAGAGAGAAGCAGAGATCAAGCAAAGCATAATTTTACTTTTCATTTGATTTTTCTATCACAAGATATTTTAAAAAGATCTCATCACTGGCATGCCAAGACAGATGACTGAAGAGTTGGCTGAGCAAGCACATGGGCAATCCACTTTTCAAAAATGACTTGCCTAAATAATGACAGCAACATTGTTGCACATTTTGTCAGACATCAAAAAGTTTTCCATTTTTGTTACTGCTGTAGAATTTAATAAATCCAAAGACATTGCTTTTCAAAGAAAGTTTATAGAAAAATTTCATCTTGCCTGAACAAAAATGAAAACAAGTAAATCAGGCGTAAAATATATTAATATGAAGCAACTAAAAAGATTTCAGAAGCTTCACAATATTTTTTGACCAGTTTCTGCCATAGACAAACTATCTTTGTATGCCACCAATTTAGTGTCAAAAATGAGAACTTATATTAGTCTACATATTACATTTCCTACAAAGTCTCCTCCTATTTATATTCCTTCATGTCTTGGCTATGAATATTTCATGGATCATTTCTGTCTGAATTTCTGGAATGTGGAGTTATCATTATTTACACTCTTTACATGCAGACTAAAGATGAGGACAAATTTAAATAGTGTATATAATTCATGGGTCATGTCTTGCAATCTATTTTGAAATTTCCTGCTTCATGTATAATATTGTTATTTTATTTTTGAAGTCGTAATAAATCTTTTAAATTTAGATAAATTCTTTTCAATCAGTATTTAGATAAATTATTTTCAGTCACTAGATAGAATTATTATAGGAAATAATTAGGATACTGGAGGAGTTTTGAAATATTTTCAGTGTATTTCTTTTCATCATATAAATATTAAGAGCTGCAAATTGTAAGTGTTCCTAAGTAGAAACCTATAATTATTCCAGATATTATTTTGTTATTGTGGTGTGAATAGAAGTTTATGAGATCATACTTGTTAGTGAATATTCTGCTGTACAAACTAGCTGGTTTGCATAAAAAGAAAAGCATTTTAAACAGACAATGAAGACTTATAGATTTTGTTTTTCTTTTACAGGAATTAAAATATTTATCCTTGGCAGTAAATATTTTAAATATGTACGATAAAAAAAAACTACTTCATCTTATAATTTCAAAATAGCTTACTAGAAGATAATTACAAGATGACTCACTGTTCTTATCAGTAAGAATACAGAATGAGAAAAAAAAATGTAGAAATTAAGTTTTTATTTTTCAATCATTGATCAATAAAACATTTTCTCTACCTCATGATCTAAGATTACTGTGAACATTTCTGTAAGAAATCAACTATAAAAGGTATTACTTACACACCCATATAAGTAGTGATTACATGCCAAATTTCATGAACTGGAACCTCATCTATTTCCAGAACTTCCAGACGATTTGACTTCTTTGTGTTCAACTGAATGAAAAAAGAAATAGCATATTTAAAAAATTATCTTCACAAAGCAAATGTAATTTCTGCAAATTTATCATTTTCATTGTTTCAATCAATGTTTCAGCCAATGTTATCTGTTTCCTTCTTCAAAATGAAAGCCACATCCAATAATCTCATTTCCTTTATCATATTTTTTCTCTTTTTCTAATTTTTAACATCACTCAAAATAGGAGAATTCCCAGTTAAGTCATTGGGTATGTGAATTGCTCAAAACTAAAGCCAAGAGTTAAGAAAAGACCAATTGAAACAATATAAAGAATTTTATTCAAAGTGCCATAAAGATCAATCAAATGGGACAAATAATAGAAATTGGCTGGAAAACACAGCAGACAACAACATGACGAGAAAGACAACAAAATTTGAACAATTTATAGCATACTAGGTTCAGCTAACAAGTTTAAAAATCCTTAGCTGCTAAGATTGAAAATTATTTTAGCAAAAACTCCAGATTAGTTACAAAATCTTTTGAATATTTTAAAAATATAACATGGTTAGTTCAAGGTCTTTGACTGACACAGCAATTAATATGAAATGCAAAACGTTTCCAAAGTTATATTGCTTTTTATTTCTGATTTTGCACTTTTGGCTTTAATAGTCAAAGACTATTGAGTGTTGTGATAAAAAAGCAATGATGGAATCAAACTTATAATAATAATAATAATAATAACGGTGGTAATGATAACAGATTATACAGAAACATTTGGCATTGAGTGAACAATTAGTTTTAATATCAGGTGAAATTTAAATGAAAACCAAAATGTTAACATTGCACCATCACCGAGCAAACCTTGAATTTTCACCTAATTTGAAGAACGGATGTTCTCTCAGGAGTATCCCAGGCCTTGAGAGCCTACTTGGACTTAAGCTTATCTTTAATCCATCTTTGATTCTACTTTCCTTGAATTAAGAAAGTTAATCATAGATTTGAACAGGTTAAGATTCTACTGATTGGGGAAACATTCTCTTGGGAGTTGGTTCCTGTTATAGTGGAACACACCTATTCTATAGTTAATAGACTCTCCCACCTATAATATGGAGGAGTAGTAAGAGTAACGAGGGAGTCGCTTAGTGGGGTGGTCAGTCAGTCGATGCCGGATGACCGTGAGTCGAATACTAAAGTATCAGCAACCACAACTAGATTACTCTGCGTAACGTAACGTTTTGTAAGTCAAACCTATTTTAGGACCGACTTAGTACAAATACAAGCCTCCACTGTGAAATCAGTCCACAAAAGTTCCACAGAGCAGTGGTTCACAGGAAGAAGTTGTTCAAGTGGAACTTGTCACAGATAGAATACAGAGAGAATGTGGGCAGTTTGCTACAATGCAAGTGACATGGTGGGTCCTAGCCATGAAATTTAAACCTGGTGGAGCCAAAGAATGTAATTTTTCTGAGCACTTTCCATGAAAGTAGTAATAGAGCAGTGAAAGGTTTGCCACATCCCGTTTGTGAAAGAGAGGTTGGAAGGTGGAAAATAATTTGTCACCCACAAGGACTTGGAGTCACTTTTGGACTATTGAGGCTGAAAAGTGCGGTCTGTGTAGCTCCCGTCCAAATATGACAACAGTACTCCATTCTTGGCCTGATCAGCTCTTGTCAAGAGTGAGGGCAGCACATGGAGTCAGGTACTTACCAGAGTGATACAGAGAACTGACCATTTTTCTTGCTGGCTCATATGTAAGAGTTCTACTTGAGTTCAGGTGTGAGTTTATGGCCCAATAGTTTCTTAAGGCACAGTGCCTCTTGATTGAGATATTGAAAAAAAAACAAAAGAGGAAATGACTTACCTGAACTTGTGCCAAGTCAATGAGGAAATTGAGAACTAACATTTGAATCTCTTCTCCTGTCAAGCAAGTTTGCTTCAAATTAGATATGGTGACAGGCTGAAAATTTAAATCAGAAATAAAAATCAAACTCTTGAGAAGAAAAAGAAATATTCATAGCTCATAATCAACAACTTTCCATCAATAAAGATTACCGTAATTTCTACTTAGGAAACAAAGGATAAACCTTTCCTCCTGTTCAAAAAAGCAGGAACAAGTATGAACCAGACAATAAGTGAACATATGTTTGTATGTATGATGGACTTTCATAAGTCAAAATCAACAGAAGAATCTAACAGTTCAAAATCATGGTTTCATTCTTATGTGTCTCTTGTAAGAGTCTAATCTAGCAGAGAATCTCAATCCCTGTCCACAATCTAATAAATGTTATCAGTCATTGCAGCTCTGATGTTTATTCTTCATTTCTGAACAGCTCTCTAGCCTCTCAGATAAGGATATTGGCTTGTCCCTGAAGACATCAAGTTGACCAATGTGTGTCTGCCAGAGGGTCCATGATTCTGGTCCATACAAAAGGTCAGTGTAGCTTTCCAAAAGACTTAAGAATTCAGTTGACTTTCTCATTGTCTTGGGATTTATGGGCATTGACAATGTTTTCTAAGGATTTAAATAACTTCACATAGTGCCATCAATTAGGAGAGGAGCAGTTGATATTTGTGAATAGGCTGCTTCTTTTTTTTTTTTTGGCCCCTGAGCTGTTAGGAAAAAAGGTTGTTTTTATGTTAATGGTTAAAGGCCTTGCTTGCAAATGAAAAGTGGTTGATGAGATCTTTAGGATTCCTTGCTTGACACTGATATGTGTAGCATCATCATCAAAATTATCATGAATTATGTTGTGTGCTGTCAAACGTTTTCTTTTTTAAACATTGGTGGCGAAAAAGAACACAACTTGTAAGAAATTCAAATTTGGCAGATTTTCCTCAGGTTAACCACAGGTATACTGAAGCATGATTAAAAATAAAAAAAAACACAACACAAAATTGTTTTGTACAACTGATTATGCAAAAGGAATCCATGTTCCCTATCAGAAATGAACGAAGCTTTCATTCCTTCAGGAAACAAGAGGATGATTCTCAGTTTGGTTTGTTTGACAGCATACCAACTTCAATGGGTTATTTAATGCTGACAAGGTTTTTATTGCTGGTAATATTTTATTTTCCAAGAATGTACTGCAGGTAATAATTTTTCCAAAAAAGTATTATTGGTATTAAAACCTATTTTTATACTTTCATAGTGTTTTAATCACTTTTGGGAGGTTAACTATTTTCCCATAGCTGGGAGCCTGATAGATGCTACCACTCCAGGTAAGGGTGGACCTGGGAACACCAGCAATTAAGACGTGGTTGCATGCTCCTCAAAACATCCTGATCAAAGGCCTTGCTGTCGGATGTAGTGTATTGTCTTACCCAGGATGCAGATGTAGTTTATCATTATAACCAGGATGGCGTAGCTCAGTTCACTGTGTCAAAAGTTCACTCTGCCAAGGAACAAAATGTCAGTCCCTGATCCTCTTCCCAGGATCAGTATACTGTCTGCCTAAATTAGAATTTTTTTCATTTTACTATGCTTTTCAGACAGCTGAACAGTGGCATAATGGATATGTCACTTGCCTGCTTACCACCAGGTCAAATATTCAAAATCAGGGCAAGATTCACTTGTTAATTTTATACATAAATAATAGTTAATTTTAGCCATAAATAACTAACAGATTTTATTTTGTGAAGAAATAAATATAAAATAAGATTTTTTTGTTAAAAAATATTAATTAAATATTTGTTAAATGGTAATAACTACCGTCAGAAAAATATCTGGTTCTTGAGTTTTTATCACATTTTTAAAAAGTACATTTTAAAACCTTCCTTTAAAATATACTTAAAACTTCAGTTTAGATTATTTCTAAAATAAATAAAAAATGAAGTGAAAACTACTAAAAAATGAAAAAAAAAAAAGAAAGTTGTGATAAAAATGCAAGAGGAAAAAATAGTCCAATATTAATAAGGAAAAAACTTTCTCACAAATTCAAATAACGGAAGACAATTAAAAAACAAAAGAGATTAATTATGTACCAACCAAATTAGTTTCTGAAAATACAACACTTTGATGGAAGCCAAAAAAACGAATTCCTCGCACTCCCAATCTTCCACTGTTATCACTTCGAGGTTCCAAAAATTTCACGAGCACATACTGACAAAAAAAAAAAAAGATTCATTATATTGTTATGCCCAATGAGCACAAAGAATTCACAAACCAGAGATCATTATTGGGCATTTAAATGAGTCAAGAAATTTGCAACAGCTACAATATACTAAAAAGTAAAAAATAAACAAAGTGAAGATCTTATTAGAGGTAAAAAAAAAAAAAAAAGAAAGACATTTAAAAAAAAAAAAAAGGGGACAGAAAATTCATTTACTGTGTTCTCTTCTCAACTACTGTTAAAAAATCACTTTATAAAGATGACTTACTTATTTTTCAAACTAATTCCATTATTTATAAAGTGTCAGTATGAAGCCGAGACTACATGGAAAGGACCACTCATCTATTAAAGAGAATTGCTCAACCTGTGCCAGTATGGATAAGGAAAGATCAGCATAAGTGTTCTGTTACATTCAGTTCTGTAATCTCCAAACGTTAATAATCAACAATGCACATTGACTTACCATGAGGATTCATTTTCTTAAAATCTCATTTTCACTTTAATCTCAATGTTCTAGAGACAATTTTTATTAAATCAAGACAGTCTTCTTTATGTAAATAAAAAGAATGGTTGCTGGGTCACAATGTGATCTGTTTATAACATGGATATACATGCATTAATATATTTTTTCATTGTGTGCAGTATTTTAATTTTTCATTCAAACCTTGATATAGAGGAATAAAGTGTCACTGCTGATACTTGAATTTGAACATATATCACCAGTAAGTAAACACAGGCAATCTCATTATTGAATTAAGTGGACCATAGAGGAAACGCATATATAGGAAGTCGCGTGACATCTAGATTGAAGTAGAGTTTGTAGTCTATCCTCTATTACTATACGGACCGCTATTCTCCACTCTATTCGCTATACTATTTCTCTATTTGGATCACTATATAGATTACTGTTTGAACAAGTATTATCAAGCAAGTACTATTAGTGCAAGTGATATTCAAAGGCTTCTGACACCAGTATTGTTCAACAGCATACTATAGTCATATTGGTGATTACAAAGTTTCTACTACAACGAGCATTACGAAAGTGACAACAAGTATTCGTTGACATCACAAAAATGAGAGAGAAATGAAAACAGGTCAGCTGTTTTTAATAATTTTTTTTTCATATTCTCATTTATTTTGATTGTATTTTCCTTTGTCAAATTTTCCTTTCCTTTTTTAGATATGTGCCTGTTTTTGTAGCAGTGAATAATAAATAAGTTTCCACCCAACAAAAAGGACATTATTATGCAAACGGTGTCTTGATTAATTAGATGTTTTATTTATAAATATAAAATTTATTTTAAATAAACAAAAGAACTATATTTTTAAATAAGAAACTCAAACTCATTTCATTCATCTTAATTTCAATTGTTTTTCAACAATTGTTTAAAAGTAAAATGAAAATAAAGAATAAACTGACATAAAATTGCAATAAAAAGCAACTGAAATTAAGACAAAAGAAATAACAGACAAAAAATGAATAACAAGTGACAAAATGTCATGTATGAAATTCAGGAATAATATTACACTATCTATATAGAAAAATAATTTGAAAATGTAGAAGTGGATACAATACAGTATGTTACATGTAACCTCAATCATTGGGGAAAGTATACATAACAAACAGTAGAGAAGTATATATTTCTTTTTTAAACTTTATATGATGATTGATCAATAAGTAATACCTGTTCAAAAGATTTAATAGTAGAAGTAGAGAAAGCCTACAAAAATGTTGAACACAAAAATCTCAGGATTCCAAACAGTTCCCAACGTAATCTTAATCTGCTTACATCAAGTGCAACATTTACATAAACATTCCCTAATTCCCTGTCAATGTTTACAGTACTTTCTCCTTCCAAAAAACCAAAATTCTATGACCACTTTTGCTTTTTACTTAAAAATTGAAATCCAGGACTGCCTTCTCACTCCTGCTGAAGGAATCCATCCCCAATTGACCATGTCTTCAGGGGTGCAGCCGTACTCACTACACTTAGCAAATTGCAGGTTGGTAAGACTGTTTAACCTATAGTTGAAGGTTTTGAATTTAAAGCTGTCCTTCTCTTAGACTGGTTGCCACTCAAGATTATGGGATCCAGTCTGTCCAGCTATTTACCCATTGGATTCATACCTTTCTCAAGGGCATTTACACATAAATGAATCTAACAAATTCAAACTCAGCTCCAAAAGGGGGTAAATATTTTGAAAAAGAATTAGAGAGAGGAAAAAAAAAAAGACGGTAATCCTACCAATTTTCATCTAAGCTAAAAAAAGATTTAAAAATAAAAATGCTTTAAAATTAGGACAGGCATTACTCTTTGACTAACGTCAGGAGATTTGCTTACCTTTCCTTCTGGATACCAAACAACAGGAATTTCTAATTCATCCCTGAAATTAAAAAATATTTATATTCAAACACTTTACATGAATATTTACAATGATTTACAATTTCTGTAGATAATTTCTGCCTTCCTAGAAAGACAACAGGATCATTATACACAGACCACACAATTTCAGGCATCCATCTATCTTGAGTGATAGGGGTAGCATGCTGATCAGTCTGAATCAAAAAGTGATGAGACAGGCACGACCTCTCCAGGGTGCAAGTCTGGGTGATAGTGTACAGAGACCGTAAAAGATGAATACAGACCCCGCCCCCAAAGCATCAAATCAAATAGATTCACTTCAGGCAGGGGATAACTCAAGGTCGCATTAAACATACATTTTAAATTAATATTTGATCAGTGAGAGATGGAAAAGGAAAATAATATCTTACCAATCATCATCAAATTCAAATACGGCTACAGGATCATCTTCAGAAGAAGGCACAAAAAGTTCTTCACTGGAAAAGGAAAGAAAAAAAAAACAATTCCTATTCATTGGACATTCAAAGACAAAGATCATATGAGTTTGTACAATGGTTTTGTTGTTGGACCGTTATTACATGTACGATGGTTTTGTTTTTGGACTGTTATTACATGTGCGATGGTTTTGTTTTTGGACTGCAATTACATGTGCGATGGTTTTGTTTTTGGACTGTTATTACATGTGCGATGGTTTTGTTTTTGGACTGTTATTACATGTGCGATGGTTTTGTTTTTGGACTGCTATTACATGTGCGATGGTTTTGTTTTTGGACTGCTATTACATGTGCGATGGTTTTGTTTTTGGACTGCTATTACATGTACGATGGTTTTGTTTTTGGACTGTTATTACATGTGTGATGGTTTTGTTTTTTGTCTGCTATTACATGTGGGATGTAATGTAATAGATAACAGCTCGGCATGAGAAATTGGTAAGCCAAGTTCAAATTCCAGTAGGGTTCGTTACATAACCTTGGAAAAGCTATGAATCTATCTCTTCCAAAGAGTGTGAGTTCAATACCCAGTTAAGGCAGTGGAGAACTTGGAGAGGGGAATTAACAGGAGATAACTGACAACTGACATCCATTAAACATGGCACATGAAACGAGAACAGTCTACCCCAGTGAACGAAATAAAAGGTTCAGTTTGACATTCCAACCACCTGAAGAAAGCCGGAGCATACAATGGCCGAAACATTGTAATAAATATGTCGACAAAGATGAGGACAATAGTCTGAATAATGTAAACAGTGTACATAATACCTCATCTCAGAAATATAGACCGATTTTACATGAGGTGTAGCATTGATTAAACCCACGTTAATTCTTTCGATTTTTTGTAAACAAAAATGGCCATGTCAATATCAAACAAAGCCTTTATTCAGGAGTTTTTCTTTGATGATGATTTTGAAGGCTTTACTCGAGTGGATATTGATGGTGAAGTGGTTGGAGATGATAACCATCTAGTGACATGGAGGAAAGTGATGATGACCACTAGTGGCTGCTATAATTACCATGCCTGAGTAATTTTATGTAAGTTACTAGTGTCCATCGATATACCTGATGGCCTTTCTGAAGGTGAATTATTTTGTCTATTTATAAATGACGAAATACTAACTTTATTCATCAATGACACAAATAAATATGAGTCAAGTGATAGAAAGAGCAAACAAACGCTAATGTCTTCTCGTATGTAAACACGGGGTGACATGTCACCTTTTTGACAAAATAAAAGCCTTTTTAGCGATTTTGCTTCTTATTGAACCCCCAGATCTCTGCAAGGAGTAATAAAAGTTAAAGTACATTGAATTATTTACGTATTTCTTAATGTATTTGTTTTTTTATTTCGCATTTCAATTTTTTTGTTTTCAACGTCAAAACATGCATGCAAAATGTAACGCATTACATACTGCATTGCATCAAAATATTACGCATTCATTTTTTTTATTAGTGTACAAAAATTAAAATCTATACACACAATAGAAAGAAAGTTATAACAATTTTAAAACAGTAAATGTTCATGTTTCTGCACCCTCAAAAAAAATGCAGTGGCAGGGGGAACATTTTTAGAAAGAAATTAGTGTGGTAAAGCTTAATATAGGCCAGCTTTCAGATATGCTCCATGTTGTCTCAAAAAAAAAAAAAAAAAAAAAACATCCACTCATTTACTCTTCCATTCCCCTTTGGTCAAAATGAATGTCACTTAGAAATTTTCAAAGAAACCATTCACCGACTAAACAGAAAAACTAGAGATTGATATAAGACCACACTTTCCTCTTCTATCTAGAGGTAACTATGCCACATTTAATTGGCATGAAGCATTGAAATTTTGGATGTTTATTTTAGTTAATGGTTAACAAGTTTGACTCACAGATCAATTCATTCAGGTAATTTCAATCTTCACTGAGTGCCACAAACTTATGGCCTTGTGCAAGACTAAACCAATTTTAGTAAATACCAACAATTCATCAAAAAAACAAATGAATTCTCAGTTCCAATTTCCCAATAGAAAACTGAAAAATAAATCTAAGCAATCAATCTGAAGCTTGTTCACTAAAAGATATTTTCATTCAATTAGATGAATAATAAAAATAATTCTTTAGAAATTGCTCTCAAGTAAAAATCTGCAATAGAAAATTATTAAGGAAACAATAAATCCAACTTACGTGTTGTAAGTTTTTGACTGAGTTCGCGTCCAGTCATCAAACTTTTTAAAACGATTCACATGCTTCTCAAGGTTGAATTTTTCTCTGAAAGTTAATAAAAGTAGATATATAAAAAAAAAAAAAAAAAAAAAACAGAAGTTAAAAAGGAAAAAAAAAAAAAAAAACGAAATTTTGAAAAAGCAGTCACCATAAAAATTCACAAGTGGCATAAAATGATTACCGAGAATTACATCTAATGACTGAAAGAGTCATGTTTAGTGCCAGGGTTTGAGGTTCAACTACTAAACTGGGCCTGGGCACCTCGAGGTGGTGTAATGGTTAGCAAGCTTGTCTCGCTAGAACTATTACAACTGAGTAGTGAGTTCGATCCTCACTAGGTGCCCCGTACTTTCGGCCTTGTGCCACATCTGAGCTACGCTTGGAAAATCACTACTAAACTGGGCCTCCCCACTTCAAAGACTGAAACAACCAATTTGGTCTTCTAAGCTTAGTAATTATCAAAAGTCAGTATTTTGAAGACTGAGGCTTTTTCAAAATTCAAAGTAGAAAATCTTTACATTTTTTTTTCTTATTTCACCCCAAACAAAGCAATAAAGCCACTAGGATGCAAGAGGTTACTCAGTGTTAGAGAATGTGAGAAAAACTTCTATTTAGGAGGGAGGACAATAAAAGAAAAAGAATTAAGAAGACAGAAGATAATGATTGACACTGCATTGAAATTTCTGAAGATCAAAGTTGACTGTGAAACAAGAAGCCAGAAGAGAGTTCCACAAGCAAGAAGTGCAGGAGAAGAAACTGTTAGCATAGAACTTATGGTTACATTTAGCTATTTCAACTGTAAAATGATGAAAACTTGCTGGTGGGAAGATGACTGAAGCTGAGATGCCAGGTCAGGACAAATAACATTGCAGATTCTTCTTTGGATTTTATCAAGAATCTCTAAAAATATAGCAGATTCACCAGACCAGATGTAGCAGCAATATTCAAAGCAAGGACAAATGGTAAATTTATAAATATGTAAGATAGATTCTTGCAAGAAAAATTATCTAGTACAACACAGTGAACCAACTTTCCTAGCAATGACCAATATGGAATAATCCTCCTACCCATATTCTTGAAGCCATTAAGATTTTTGCTATACAAAGCCTTCTGTTTGAATTTGTTCAGTCAAACTAATGTCCACATCTTTTGGTTGTAGAGTCAGAATCTTTCAGTTATAATGCATGAAACATTTTACTTTAATATCAAAATTAAGGGTGTTTTTTTGTTTTTTATATGCCATGTTCCTTTAGTAGCAATCATGGTTTTCAACAACACTTGTTCCTTCATGATCTTCCTTTGCCTTTGTAATAAAAGGGTGGGGAATACAAATTATTCAAATATTTTTGCTTGGCATTCTTCTCTGCTTTACTCTGATGCTCTCTCCCATTTTATAATGGCCTGGTTGGATGATTTTCAGATTATCACATAACATGACAGACATAAATTAACACCTACAGGATATGTTGAGGAATATAAAATAAAAGAACAATGAGTATTGCCTGGTTGCAGAAGTAGTTGCATATTCCCCACCAATAACAGCAGTCAGTGTTCAAGCCTAAGTTAAAAATCAGGTTTGGTTTGGTTTGTTGTGTTTTACGGCATATCAACCTCATTGGGTTATTCAATGCCAACAACTTTTTTTCTTGGTAATATTTTGTTTTTGTCAAAAATCTATTTCTGGTAATATTTTCTTCCTCAAAAATGTATAGCTGGTAATATTATTTTAAAAAATGTATTACTGGTAATATTTTTTTTCAAAAACGTATTGCTGGTAATATTTTTTTTCAAAAATATATTGCTGGTAAAAGTTTTTTTTTTCTTCAAAAATTTATTTCTGGTAATAATTTTTTACAAAGTATTTCTGGTATTAAAACCTATTTTTACACTTTTATAATGCTTTTTACCTCAGTTTCAGGGTTAAAAATTTGCCCATAGCCGGGACCCTAACAAGGTCAAGGTGGACCTGGGAACACCTGCAATTAAGAGGTGGTTCCATGCTCCTCAAAATCTCCTGATCAGAGGCCTTGCTGTTGGACGTAGTTTATCATCATACCCAGAATGTGGATGTAGTTTACCGTCATACCCGGGACGATTAAAAATCAGGATTGGTACACACAGACACACACTTTTAGAATAAATACTGACTGACATGCCAAAACATCATAGGATAGGTGCCTAGTATCATGTAGGGACCGCTTTAGCTTAGCTAAGTGCAGTGACTTGACATGGCATCAAATGTAACAGTGTTTGGAAGACCTCTGAAAAGATGTTGACCCCTATATTTATAAATGCAAGACTACATGCTAACAAACATCTGCACAGCATCCAATAAATGCTTGATTGGGCTAATATCACACAAACATGGCGGCCACATCAGTCATTGGAAGTTTCCAGAATGTTCCTTAAACCAATTTTAGGCAACATGAGCAAATGATGAGACAGTGCATTATTCTACTTGCATAATCTCCTGTTGTTGAAAGACATGGAGGAGTCTATGAATGCATGCAAATAGCCATGAAACAGTGTAATGTAGCAGTGTTTATGTCAATGATATATTTAAACAGATGAACAGACCCACATGAACATATCGTATTGCGAAACCACCACCAGTCTAAATAGTGCTTTGTTGAAAACTGAGATCAATGGCTTCATTGTGTCTGTGCTCAAATTCTACCCTCAACCAGAAACAACTGGAATCATGACTCATAAAATTACCAGTCCCCCAGCATTCAATTTGTGATGTCATGAGCCCAGGTGAAGTGCTGTGCTCAGTGCTAACAGGAGCAACCCAGTGGCTCTTCTGCTCTCATAACCCATGAAGCTAAAGAACATTGAACTAATCTGTTAGATATGCATCTGATACTTCCTGCATTCAATGTAGATTTGATTTGAGCCAGTCTCATTTGTCTGTTACCACACTAGACAATACTAGCCAAACACCTCTAGTCACAATCATTAATGACCTGTACACATCAAGTATTCCTGGTACATATGCGAAACCAAGATCAAGGGTTGTCAAACATCCCCATCCATTATACCCCGTTCAAAATCCAATGATTCACATCACCTTGTCATAAGCAACCTAGCTGACTCTCCAGATATCAGATATGAGAGCAGAAGAACCACTGGGTTGCTCCTGTTAACACCTACCATTACCCTGCTATGGCAGTGCCACTGTTAACCTATCAGTTTTGGCATATCAGTGTATATATCAAAAAGAAATGTCCACAAAAGATGTAAACAGCATTTGTGAGGCTACTTACTCATCACGATAGACAAACACCAGGCCTCGTCGAGCTCCTCGATCACCAGAGACAACCTGAAAGAAAAATATCAAATATTAAATTCTCCCCAAGACAAAGATTTGGTTTAAAATTTCATTGAATAATACAAAATCTTATTTGATATAAATAAGGCTGGCTGTTATTTTTTTATTCAAACACAAATATATCCCAGTAATAATAAAGCTGTTTTGTTCATGAACATACAACCAAACTTTAACCAACTGAACAAATCACCCCACATTGTGTTTTGATTCCAGTTTAGGTCAGTTTGAACAAAAACTGAAAAAAGGGTCCAATGTACATTCATAAGAGAATAACAGCTGAAATGAATGCCATGGCAAGAAATGAAAGTGCAAATCCTATTTCCAATGTATATTGGTTATTTATTCAGAGTTACTTGGTACGGTCTAAGAGTAGGTAGGTGACACTTAGGACATCTTTGCTGATACCTTCACTCTCTATAGACTAGCATACTAGATCTTACCTTTGATCAGTGAGAATGTGGCTCTCCTCTATGACCCCTCTACCCATCCCTACATCACAATGTGTAGCTAGTGGCTAACCAACAGGTGGGTTGAGACTACTACCAATTCTAACTGTGACTCGGGACTTTCTAAATTTCCAGTCAAGTGGCACTTGATCCCAAATGTTTTAATTTATTTTCTTCTGAAATGCTTGAATGCAGTTTTTAATGAATAAGCAACCTTTTGTAATATTCAAAATTTATTACGGTATCTTGACAAAATGGGTATCTTGTGTTTTTGTAATGCAACTCTTAAGAAATACATGAATTTGTGTGAGGATGAGTGTGAGGATGAGTGTGGAATATCATACAAACTTTTACTCAGTGTCACAGAAAATGCTAATCATAGACACATAGGTTCAGACAAGCTTAGTTCCACTAGTTCAGACCTTCACAGCTAGAACATGCCAGGCTGCAGGAAATTATCCTCATTCCCTTTGTATTCTTTTCATAAGGAATAAATTCCATTTCCCTTCAGACACTTTCTTCTCCAGAAATGTTACTTTGTGGAACAGACTCCTGAAAGGATGCTTCCTCAACCACTATAATCTTGACTTCTTCAAGTCTAGGAACAACAGATATTTACCCGACATATCCTCATAATATGCACCCCTTTCCTCCTCTCTTATGCCCTTACAACAATCTCACTCAGTAACCCTCTATCTTGAGTGGCTCTTGGGCCTTGTATTGGGTGAACAAAAAAATAATAAATAAAAAAAGCTAGATGTTTTCACTGCTTGTCATAAAACACCAGATAATTCAAAGTCAGATAAAATCATTTAACATTTGACTTTGTATGTGTTCTAATCATAGCCAGATCCCTTTGTTTCACAGCCTTCCCACCCCCAATTCTTTGTGTTATAGTGGAACAACCTATCACACCCCTACAGTGATTGGTCAGTCTAAAGAAACGTGAATGTGAGAAAATAAAAGACATGACAAACTATTGTAGTGGCAGGTGAAACACTACAGACCTCAGTGACGTATCTCCCGTTTTCCTTGTTATTATTAATTACGAACTCTTACTCATTGTACTTTCCATACAATAAAAACCGTGTTATTTGTTTTACCTAATTCCTGTGTTTAGCGTAATCCTTCCACTCGAAATTACCTAGTTGCTTATATCATATTATCCACGATATAACACTTTGTCTGCCTCAAAGACTAATATTCTCATCTCCAAAGCAAAGTTTCTAAAAAAAAAAAAACACCATTGTATCTTCATTTTGGTACAGTTCCTTCTCCAAAAGACTAACTTAATCTCAACAACAGTATAATCAGAATTATAAGAACAAAGACACAATTCTACCTTCTCCAATCTCTCTTGAGATGGCAAAATTAGGAATTGTCACTTCCTATTATCCAACCTAATACAACAGTAAAATAGATACAATATGCACCTGCTGTATTTGATAGCATATAAGATGCATTTTGTTTTAAATAAAAAATAAAAATGTCTCAAAAAATATCTCTACATCTTGTATATAAAAGGTGAGGCTTCCTGTAGAATAATCTTATACTCAACACTTATATCTTAATACTCTACTAAGTTTCTGAAAGACATCTTTCACTATTTCCATATACCTTGAGATTTTTTATACACATTTTCCATCTACATTGTTCAGATAGATGAATTTCTTGACCTGGTTGATTTTGACATCCCCAATATGTAGCTCACACGTCTAATTTTGCTGACAACTATGTATTCTGTCTTCTTACAGTTAATAATGCTTTCTTCTTGCTTTCTACAACTACCTTGTCTAAGAGTTCATTCAGTCTACTTGATTTTTCCAACACAAGTGTCATCCATGTTTAGAATTATATCTGCTGATAATAAATCCTGATAGGTCTTCAAGTTCTCTGAGGATCATTTCAGTATATAAGCTGAATAAATCTAGTGGAGAAAAAAAAAAAAAAAACAACATACTCCCCTATTTTTGTGTGTTCACTGAATTTATTCTCTCTCTGGTTGATTGTTCCCAGTACATGTTATATTCAACAGTATACTAAAACCTTTTTTCCTGAATATACTCTGTTTAAATAGGAGAGAATATCTGTCAAATATAGCACTTAAATCGGTTAATCCTATCAAATCAGGTATTGACATTTCATTTGGCCAAACCTAATATATACACAGAAATGTTGGGTTTGACAATTTCAAAAAGTAAATCTCATTAGCTTAAAAGTGCTTCAGCCAGAAATGGCAAAATCTCATTTGATACAGGTGAGAGTAATAAAATGTCGATCTAAGTAAATTCTTTTTTTCAATAATTCTAACAGAAAATAATCACCCTTAAATATAGAATCCCCCACCCACTCCATACTCACAAAAAATCCTCAAAGAGGAAAGAAGTCATGGTTGCAGATTCAACCAATCAATGGCTCCTCTCAGAAAAACTAAACTTACTTTGATCCTTAATTTGGTCAGTCGTACATAGTCAGGTGCTTCAAAGAACATGTTCACCTGGGTCTTTCCTTCTTCTGTGAAATATACTGAAAGTACGAAAAAACAGTGCAGGTAAAGATAATTTCATAGAAGACAAAATTCCAAAAATTATACATATATATAAATGTCTACCTCAACTGTATACTACTAAAGTCTCCACCTGAACTCTGAAATTCTATTTACTTATCATTTATTTTATTTTTTTTTTCTTCTCAATAGGAGTAGATAAATTCACCTATCATCTGCTTCACACCCCCTCTCTAGATTTTTGAACAGGAGTAAAAGTTTATCCCTTGTTCTCTGTTTAGGATTGGGTTTCCAGTTCCTTCTAAAGTCTTTTTATTCTCTGTCACTCCCAGTAACCACTTTCATCTTAGTGGCATTATCGCCTTTCTTGGAGTGAATTGATTAAAATAAAAAGTAAAAATAAATAAATTATGTGTGTGTGTGTGTGTGTGTGTTTATGTATGGATGTCATCATCTATGCTGATGACACAACTATTTACTTCTGTCTTAATACTAAATCTGATCATTATTTACATTATTCAAGCTATTGTCCTCATCTTTGTCGCCATTGTACGCTCCGGCCTTCTTCAGATGGTTGGAATGTTGAACTGAACCCTTTATTTCTCTCAATGGGGAAGATTGTTCTAGTTCCACATGTCATGTTTAATGGATGTCAGTTATCAATTATCTCCTGTAAATTTCCCTCTGAAAGTTCTCCACTGCCTTAACCAGGTTAATCTATCTTATATATTTATAAATCTACCACTGCTGTGACTAGACCCAAAGAGATGTGAATTCAATACCAGTCCACAGCTGTGGTGAACCAAAAACTAGGAGAGTTGAGTTAAAGGGAAATAACCAAGACATTCGGAAGAGGCATGGCACGTGGAAGTAGAACAATCTACTCCAAAAGAATGAAATAAAGAGTTTGGTTCAAAATTCCAATCACCTGAAAGATTGTGAATATGGTCTTCTAGCTTCTGTGAACATTAGAAATAAAGAAAAGTCTTAATGGTTTGAACATCGAAATGTAAATGACAAGTATTACTATGATCTCGAAATAAATATATATATATATATATATATATATATATATATATTTTTTACATGAAAGTATTGGTAGTCATTACTAAGTTTGTGATATGTCCCAGAAAGGGACATATTTGTTCAAAGTAGCAAAGTGGTTGTTGACTACTGTAACCGGGTAGGACAATCTAGCAGGTAACCGTAATGGACTGGTCCTCGTCGTAGTGGTAGGCAATAGGCATAGTCAATAGGCGTGGCCAATAAGCATTGTCCCCGTACCTCCACATCAGTCTGTATTTATGGCTGACACCAGCCAATCATATTACTGTGAGGGGGAACCCAGGTGTATGCATATTCATTACATCAATTTGTTTTTTTTTTACTTCTATTTATTTCTATCTTAATTTTAGTTTCTTTTAATCATAACTATTCAGATTGTTCTTCTGAGATCATAAGTAATCTTATCTTTTGCATGTTTTAAACATTACCGATTAGTAAAGAGCATAGCCAACATTGCAACTGACATGATTTTACAGTCATTACATTTGAATTAAACTAACCAAACGTCAATTAGCATCTTCTGTCTTCCTGAATGTTGTGCCTTTATTATCCTTCTCTTAACTCTCAGTCTTCTCCTTCTATTACACTCCTTGTAATACCCTGCATCCTAGTGGCATTGTCATGTTGCTTGGAGTGAAACAATTAAAATAAATAAATTCTATATAACAATAAGAGAATCTGAGAAAAAAAAATCAAAATAAAGGATAATAAAAAGGATATTTCTTTCCTTTTTTAAAGCAAATCTTTGTAATGTAAGTGCTCAATATAAAGGGATAGAGTATTATATCTGTTGTAGCCTAGGGAGAGGTTACCAAATAGAATAATCACACAAAGGTTGGTAATGAACAATAATACTTAGGACAAGAACAACACATAAGATTCACCAGCAGTGCATAGAAGTAGTCAACTACTAGAAGTGAGTCAAGTGAATTCTACAATGAATCTCCAACTGCAGACCAACATACAGTATTTACTACTGTATTTTTGTGAATGGAGACATATCCATTATCATCCGTAGGTATGCTACAACAGTTTTGCAGATATTATATTCGCATAATAGTAAAAGTGTTAAATTTATACAAATCATACTTTTCCTTCCTATTTTAAACATTATTGTTGTGTGATATTATCTCCAAGGTTTGTCCTTCTGTTACATATTCCAGATGTTACTAGATAATTGATTCTTTGATGGATACCACTTAAATGGTTGAACTCTTCATTTAGAATTTCACAATCATTACTGATGACTTTTGCTTAGTAATGAAAGCAATAATTTATCCCTGGCAGAGAAATTGTGGATCAAACTAAAATTCAAATATAACGCTATCTGTAAATTTATATATAGTGCTTCAAAAAATCAATTGATCTAGCTATATCTGGAAGATAATGCTTTTAAGGCTAAGAGTTTTTGAAATTAATGTGCTTTATCAAATCAAAGATAACCAATAAAATGTTCACTGATCTGTCCCTATTCTGAGTTTCATAAAGATGTAGAGCACCAAGAGCAGAACATCTTGTTGAACCTTCATACGTCAAAAACTACTGGAGTGTCAATAACTTCCAGCTAAGTGACCATTATACTGACGGTTAGTCATGATAACTGGACATGAGAATGATACATAGACATCAAATAAGACAAAAGATAAGTTGATAAAGAATATTATCTGGAAACATAAGGATCAACAAAGCAAAACAAAATGACATGGTGAGATTATTTAAGAATCAACCCTGACTGCACCTCAATAAATAAGCCAAGTCATAAGAAACTCTTACTCCACACTACTTTATATCAACTGAAGTGTAAGAATTTGTCTGCAAAGACATTCTCTAGAAAGAATTCAACTTACCCTGAAGGTTCCAATGATTGCCCAAGACATTGTTAGGGGCAGATTTTTCATCCATTTGACCACCATCACAACCACAAAGAGGCAGGACCAAACTATTTGCTGCAAAAAAAGAACATCATGTGACATCAGAGAAAAAAAAAATTACTTTTCTTCATTGTTCTTTTTAATTCAACAGTTCAACCTCAGTAATAATATTACCTAAAGAATTAAGCAAATTTCCTAAAAAAAATTAAGCAAATTTCCTAAAGAATTAAGCAAAACAGAAATTATAAAATAAAGACATTAAATCATTTTAATATTGATGAAAGGATGACGCTTCATTAATGGCTAAAGAAAATTAATTTCTTCAGATTTCAATAAATTATATTTTGGATCATGGAGCAACTAAGAAAAGTCATTTTAAAAAAATTCAGTTATCACTGGAGAAATATTGTAAACAATTTGTCCAACTTGTGACAAAGTATTTTCTTTGTTCTATGCACCAATTACCCACAAAAAACAAAAAAAAATCACATTAGTATTTACAAATGGATGGGTACATATGCCTCAGATAAAAAATGTCACTTTTGGGCAATCTTACCTAAAATCTGAGTAAGGACTGTGCACTCTGTGAAAAGGGTCTTTCTCTCTTTTATATATATATATATATATATATATATATATATATATATATATATAAGCAAATATATGAATATAGATCCAATAGTATGAAAGAAAATATATGGAAAAACAAAAATCCGAATATGCAATTATGCTGTTTTAATGTTAATTTAATGTCGACATCAGACGTTTCGGTCTAGTAGACCTTCTTCAGGACATAGTTATTAAAACATAATTAACATTAGACAATATTCAAGTCAACATGAAAAGACAATGGACATAAGAGTAACACTAATCAAAACAGAATAACTGAATTTTTTTTTTTTTTCAGTTATTCTGTTTTGATTAGTCTTAACAGCATAATCGCATATTCGGATTTTTGTTTATATATATATATATATATATATATATATATTTCACCTCTTCATTATACAAAAACCCACGAACTGAATCTCTTACCACCTTAATTTTAAAAGTGAATACTCACTTAGATATAAAATAGTACAGTAAAATCACAAATTAATGGTCTCAGAACCAACGGACTACAGAGTTAATGGACAAAATCCTCAGAAATGATAGTGTCTGGCTGCAACTCAAAACGCCCATGCATAGTGACCAAAGTCCGTTAGTTCAAGAATTGGCCGCTGTTTTTCTGGTGCAATCAACAGCCAGAGACTGGTAGTTTCAGGAATAACCGACCGCTGTTGTTTACTTGAGCATTTGCATACACACATGCATCGTCTCTCAAACATTTTATACTGATTTTAGTACAGCATACAGTATTGTTTTTTGTCAAGCATCCAACTGTGTGTGTAATTTATTTTAAGTTACGATATAGTAAATTAAAAACTCAATACATATATACTGTATTTAAATTTATTTACAATAATTTTGTACTAAACAGGGTATTTTTAGGCTATGAACAAAATGCCTCAAATTAACAAACGGCTTTAACAGATGACCCTCCCCACTATTAGTTCGTTAAATTGACATTACACTGTAGTTATAAAAAATTTCATAAAGAAAGCACACAAGAATTCATCTTCTCATTCCCTTTACCTTAAAGAACTCAATAATGTAAAACTAGTTAACAATATTTTTCCTAAGTACATCATTGACTACCAGATCAAACTATTTCTTTCTAATAGCAATGCTGAACATACTGATAAATGAAATAACATTAACATCTTCTACAAAAGCCAAATACATGTTAACTATAAGCAAGACAAATTTTCTCTTAGAAATCTCAAAGAAATACACAACCCCAGTCGACCTGAATAAAAAAATTAAATTAATTATTTATTACAAAAAATTTAAAACAGCTAACTTTATCATCAAAAATAAAAACACACCAGCAAAAAAAAAAACAAGAAAGAACCAATATTATTTACAACTTCAAATGCCACTTAAGGAACTAACCAAACCAAACTCATACTACTACAAGCCTATCTAGACTACTCACGTTACACCTACCTGAACATAGATCAATTAGAAATAATTTAAACACACAAAAATCTACTAAACTCCATCTAATACATACTAGTAGAAAATACAAGTATAATAGCTTCATCCACATGTATAAAAAGATTAAAAATAATGGAAGCTCTAATAATAAAAAAGGAAAAGCTAACACTCAATAACATTAACTACAAACATGGCCACAAGGTGCTGACCATGTTTGGAAAATAAAAAATCATCCTTGAAAAAGGCTAAAAGAAGTGCTGAAAGCACTCGGATATGCAGAACTTTTGGATAATTTTTACACATTTTATGCCCAGATAAGAAAACAAAAGAAAAATTAAATAAAAAGCTTAATCACAGTACCTTGTCAGTAATCTTTATTGAAACATGTATAAAAGAGGAATTGCTGCCCAAATACACAATTGTCATATATATATATATATATATATATATATATATATATATATATATATAATCGACTCTCCCGTCAAGGGGTTCGACGTATGAGGGTCAGGCGATAAGTCCCCAGGAAACCAACATCCCGACACGGCACATGAGATTTGATTATAGTGGTGAAGGCCTTGTGCAGGACCAGCCACACTTTTTGGAGGGACGAATACAGAAACCTGGTGCACCGAATGCATGCCACAAGGTTCCCAAACGACCCTCCGCAGGTTTTGAATTCAGAGTTGTCCTTCTCCTAGGCCAGTTGCCATCCAAGGCTATAGAACCCAGTCTGTCCTGCTATTTTACCCATAGCTGGAGGGAGATGAAGAGGATACATACCTTTCCCAAGGGTATTAGCACGTAAGTGAATGTAATGGATTCGACTGGAATTCGAACTCGGCTCTGCAATTCCTCAATCCAAGCCGTTATCCACTGCTCCACCGTGTGTGTATATATATATATATATATATATATATATATATATACACACACACAAAGAATGAGATGGGTAAGTTGTCACCATCTTATATTTTTAATTTTGTCCATGCACATTGTTTGTTCTTGATTTTATCATCTGCCCAATATAGTAGCATCAGGTAGGTACCTTCTGTGAGAAAAAGAGCACCATGATGCAATTCACTGTCAGAAATTTGGAAAACAACATGCTGTAGTGCTTGGCATTTGTGCAGGAAACTCCAATACAAAAAGTGTGTCAATCTGAAGACATTGCAGAGGATTCCGAAAGAGTTGGATGAGTCTAATGGTGATTATCAAGGTATAATGTTCTGATAAGAAAAGAATTCCTGAATTTGTTGGTGAGTGCCTCAACCTCAACACACAGAGGCCTACATTAATTGCCTTGAGGAGGTAGTGCTGCCCTGGGTCAAGAAGGTGGTTGCGTAAAGACTATGTCTGGCAACACGACACTGCACCATGCCATACATGCAAGAGAATCCAGTCATGGCTGTCAGACAATTTCTGCAACCACATCACCCCTTTCATCTGGCCACCTAACTCCCCAGACTGCAATCCCATTGATTATTATGTGTGGAGTGCAATTGTATGGGAGACCAACAAAATTTGTTGTAAGACCAAAGTTGAACAGAAGGCAAGAGTTATGGCAGCATACACCAACTTAAACAAGGAGACTGCCCAGAAGACTTGCAAGAGATTCTAAAGTCATCTGGAGATTGTGGATGAAGTCAATGGTGATTTTATTGAATAAATTGACTCTTTAGTATTTCAAGATATTTTTGTGCAATTTTGGAAAATATATCTGTTAAAATGAAATGTTAATGAATGTCCTTTATTAATGAGCTATATTATGGTGATTTACTAAGCATAGCTTAGTTGTGGCACAAGGTCAAAAGTATGGGGTACCCAATGAGGCTTGAACTCAATACTCAGTTGTAATTGATCTATTGAGACAAGCTTGCTTACCATTACACCACGTCAAAGTCCTCATATGATATAATGTGAAAATTATCCAAAATTTTAACTCAACAGATCTCCCTAAATTAAGACATCTGTCAAGGTTAACTATGAAGGTGACAGCTTTGTACAGCTTCTGTCTAGCAAGATAAAGTCATTTTGGAGAAGGTTTTTCCCCTCAATTCAGGGTTCCCACATTCTGTGTAAAAAATTCCAGGATTGAAACTGACATGCATGGAGTGTGTGAACACACACACGCACACACAAAGTGAATGGTCATCAGTTTCCAAAACACATTGTGATTTACCTTTTAATTTGATAAATGAGATGTTCAAAGAAAAGCTACAGCTGATTCCAATAATTCATGTTACATGGATCATTTGAAAGCAATGAAGAAATCCAAGTGATGTTCCACATTTTGTGTATTATTCTGGTTATGCAACACATTTTGTGTAGCATTCTACACAGTTTGGAGTTCTACTACATTTGAAAATTTTAAATTAAACACTTTAACTCTTACTATCTAGATGACTTGTGGTTTGTGAATGTCACAAAAATTCTTGATTGCTGCACATTTCCTGTGAGGTTAAGTATAATGGCTTCAATGAACAGAACTACAAATAGAAATGTTCATAAAAAGATCACACATTTTAGCTACCCTCTACTAATGGATTTTGTTGCAGATGATAAGATTTTTTCAGTTCATCTAGTTTAGCATTCAGCTCCTATTCCATTTTTGATATCTCTATGGACTTGTCCTTTGCAAAAAAAGGAAGCAATGGTTTACCACTGATATTTTATTAGAAACTGTTCAATGTCTTCCAAAACACACAAAAATCTGCAGTTTCACTGGAAATAAAACATCATTCACATTTGACAGCACCACAGAAGAACTTGGTCTGGGGATATTTTTGTTTCTTTTTTTAATTATGTTCACAAATTTGATGACATCTCGGAGTCATTCACATATTTGTACATTTTCTAGCCATCTATGACAGAAATACAAAAGTAAAGGAACAGGGTTGCCAGATTGAACTTTTAATATAAAGCCAAATAAGTTTTAATATATTTCATCACTTTTTCACACTTACAAAAGGTAGAGATAGAGGTCATTATTAAACTGCAAACTTTAAAAATAACATTCTTTTTATTTTTTCAAAGATGTATTTTCTGTCCTATCTTAAGCCACATTTTCTATCACCGTTCCCATTCACATTTTCTTGGAGTCAAATTTGATTCTCAAACTTTTGGCAACAATTTAGACAAACATAGCTTACACACAGATACACAGTGACAAGGGATGTGTAAAGTATCTATTTTTTTCAACATGAACTCACCCACCACTGACAAGAGATCTAAAAGAGTTTTTACTTTTGAAATTGACATGTGAATAAAATTTCTTCAATTGTTCAAATTTTAAAAAACAAATTTAAATTTTTCGAGATGTATTTTATTATTGTATAATTTATTATTTTCCTTTCAACTACAAATTCAATGAGTGTGAATTAATTTATCTTTGACATAAATGTTTACTTGTCTCTGATGCCCTTTTATCTTTGCTTTTCCTCTTTTCATGTTGAGTGAGTGTAGAAACTAGAAGACACACCATATTCTTTCTCCCTTTCTTTCTCGTCACTTAGATGAGAAAATAAAATAAAATAAAATAACTATGAGGTCATGAACTCTTTCTAATCAAGGAAACACAACACCAATGCCAAATATTACTGACAACTAAAAAAAACATTTTGTTTAAAAGACAATTTTAGCTTGTAAAAAAAAAAAAGCTAGATTTTGGGGATTTTGCATTTTAACTTTTATGAATTGAGAAAAAGGATGTGTGGGCAGACCAATTTAGAAAATTCCAGGACTTTTCAAGGAGCTTTTGGGCTATTGCTGTTTTTTCATAACTTTTCAAGCCCTAGAAAATGTCCTGTCAATTTTCCAAGACTTTTCAGGTACGAACATTTCCAATTACACACAATTTTATTCACCAGACATCATGGCATGCCAGTCATGATATTTTGTCAAGGTATCTGGGGATGGGATATAGCACAAAGAAAATTGGATTCATGACTTTCCTAAGGATATTTATGCTAAGTGAAATTTTTATATATATATATATATATATATATATATATATATATAAAACTATAGATCAAGTATGGATAGCAATCCGACAAAATGATAGGAAAATTAACAAGTAGGAAACAGATCTTAATTAAAGCTTCATCAGAGATCAAAATAGAAAGGATAAAAATGATTAAAAGCAAAGAGACAATTAATTGTATGTCGTGTTAAGCTATTTCATTACATAGATATGTGTCACAGGTATTGAAGTAACAAATAATATTTAAATATGTGTGGCAAACATTCTCAACACTAAAGTGTGTAAAAGTTAGTAAGATTCAGTAGGATATTTTGATTGAATATGTGTCATGTCTAAGGAAGTAACATAATATTCAAATAAGTGTAAAAAAACATTATGTAAAAGGTTAGTGAGACGCTGCAGGATATTCTGAAGAGATAAGTTAGATTCATGAAAAATAGATCTGTAGAAAAATGATAATGTAATGTAGTTTTTTTAACTTATGAATGTTTTAAAAGTTACAAACCTTGCTTCTCCCAAGCCAAATTTCTGGATTTGATCATCTTTATCATGAGTTGAGAGCAAGGCATTGAGAGGTCAGGGAAGTCTGTTAAAAAATTAAAATAAAAAGAACATTTAAAAATGTATTAAAAATATTCTTAGATGTGACAGAATAGAAAAGTCATGGAATATTTTTTATGCATTATTTTTTTAACAGTAAAAAATATCTTTTAAAAGATTCCAAAGATACTTTTTCTGTTTTGAAATTACAAAATTTTAAAAAGAATCTATCAACTGAAAATGTTAATATAAAATAAATCAAAACACCAGAAAGGAAGATTTTAGTTAAAAAAAAATTATATATATATATATATATATATATATATATATATATATATATATATATATATATATATATATATATGTATGTGTGATGTCACACATTATGAAATGGACAAAGACCGACAATTATTTTAAGACATTTTTATGTTTATACATTCTTTTTTATAGATACAAATATTTAAGTAAATGATCTGTTTTTATAATAAACAGTATTAATAACATTTACCAGCCTGAATGTCTGAGAAATTTTCATAGAAAATATTTGTTCTCTGACAGGAATTGAACATGTATCCTATACGGAACCATCATTTAGCCTGACATGCCTTAACTGATCAACCCATGGAGATATGAATGTACGCGAGAGATTCATGGAAGATTGAAGTTTAAAAACAGTAAAATCAATCTTGCTAATCAAACGATTCTCCGTGGCTCAAAGAGTTCATGTTGGTTGTTTGGCCGTATTTTAAATGGATTTGGGTGAAGTTGCTACAATTTGTTATGTGTGTATTGTTGGTAATTTTTTTTTTATATAAAAAGGTATTGCTGGTATTTTTACTATAAAAATGAATTTTTTTTCATTCAGTGTTTTGTTTGGAGGTTCCCTATTTGCCATATAGCTGGGACCCTAACAGGGGCTACCACCCTGGGTCAGGGTGAACCTGGGAACAACAGCTATTAAGAGTGTTTCCACACTCCTCAAAACCTCCAATCTCCTGATCAGCAGCCTCGCTGCTAGATGTAGTTTATCATCATACCCAGGACTATTATATATAGGATGACATATATTTAGGCATATATTGTTGAATGTAACAGACAATGAGTGATGGTTCCATGTTTTTTTATCAACTTTTCTTGCAAACAAAATTTTATGTTCAATGGAAATTTATAAAAAATTTTAAGTCCCATTTAATATAAAGCTTTTGATACAAAACCAAGGATTGATAATTAAAAAACAACCATTTTTCATTATCTGTTACATTAAATATATATATATATATATATATATATATATATATATATATATTATATATATATATAACAACCCTTATTCCCCCATAGCTAAACACTACAATCAATCAGGACACACATTAGAAAACTGCAAATGTTTATTAATAGATTCGATTTTACTTCCACATTCACACGCAGAAAAAAAAAAAAACATATTGGATTTTAAAATTAAATACACATAAATTAGGGTTGAATAGGGACTTAGGTGTTTTAAATCTTTATAAATATTTCAATAGCTAAGCAATTTCTTTAGATATAGTAAAAAAATATTTTTTAAAATATTTATGACAGATTTAAGTTAGGAATATCTGAACAGTGACGTTCCATATCACGTGACGTCCGCGTCTCGCGAAGGACGCTACTTGCCAACAAACAGTAATTTTAATTTATTTGTAACAAACAGTTATTTCTGATGAAAAATTGAGGACAATTTGAAATATCAAATATATATATAAATAAATAAATACTTTCATAAAATAAAACATTATAATTTTTAATTTGAAACTTTTCTATATATACATATTAAGAAAGTATACGTGGCTCATTCATTATATATATATATATATATATATATATATATATATATATATATGTATGTGTGTGTGTGTGTGTGGGTGTGTGTGTTCAAAATTTGGTATATCTAAAAGCAGAGAGTTTTAGCATGGGAGATAGAGTGGTTATATATATATATATATATATATATATATATATATATATATTGTGTGGATATAAGAATAAACACAGCATGGTAACTGTCAGTTTCAGTTTTCAATGTGTTCCTCAGATCACGTTATATATATATATATATATATCTCAGAGGCAACTCTAGGTCATCAATGTTTATCCAGCTCATTACAATCTTCAACAAATTATGATATTGGTATAACTTAAATTGATTAATGGATTCCTTTACTCTAACTAAAGTATTTTTTATATAAGTATTTTTAAAAATCTCTGTGCATGAAATTAAAAAATAAAAAAATTCATTTTTGGTATTTTAATATTAATTGTAATAATTCTATAAAAAACATTTCAAAAAATTTTTCCAGACCTGTTAGAAAAAAAAAGAGTGAAGACAAAGCCAGATATGTTTTTTTAAAAATAACATGTGTATTTCAAGTGAATATATATATATATATATATATATATATACTAGCAGTAGAGCCCGGCGTTGCCCAGGGATGTAACAGTAAGAGATAGATCAAGTATCGACCATCATAAAGACTGAAAAATAAAATTGACAAAGATTGTTTAAGGTTGACGGACACGCATGTCTTAATTAGTTTGATTTTTTTTTTGTTTTTTTTTTTTACGAATTGTTCAAACCTAAACTCAAACAAAAACATTGTTTTCAATCGTTATGAGTCTACCGATTGAATAGAATTTTATTATAAACAATTGTCTTGTAAATGGAATTTTTAAAGCATTCTGAATGTAAAAATAAAGAAAAAAGTGTGCAAGAAAATAAGAAACACTACCTGCCAAAAAAAAAAGTGAAGTTTTGTTGAAATTGGTTTGAAAAATGTAGGAAACCGATCGCATATATAAACGTAACACACACACACACAACCTGGGTTTTATAATAAGTATAACTCGATATGAGTTGTCCCCTTTCATTCTCGTGATGCCTCTTAATCGTGTTTTCAAATTGATTTTTTAAAAAAAACAATTGTGTCTTTCCAATTTTTGGGTGCTGTCAGAACCACCGCAAGGCAATTTTACGTAGTCCTGTGAAGTTTTGTTGGAATCAGTTGAAAAATGTAGGAAATCGATCCAATATATAATATATACACACACACAACCTGGGTTTTATAATAAGTAAGATATATGTGTGTGTGTGTGTGTTCTCTCTGCCTGTGATTGTTATTGTATGTTTATGATCAGTACTGCTGACTGATATCATATTTCCTCCACACTACCACAGTCATGCTCCCCATCCCAACCCACCAGTCAATGAGTTAAGGCTTCACTTTGATTTTCACAGAATTTAAGGTCGGGCTAAATTTAATTTGCCCTTTTTCAAAAGATTACACTCTACTAAAAACCTTATAGTGTACAGAATTAATTATTTAAAATGAACATTTGAACACAATAGGTTGAAATAAAAATATGTTTTTTGAAAAACAGAGCATACAACTCATTAGAGATTTTTAGAAGATTATTTATAAAATTAAAGCAAGAAATACATTGCCTATTAAGTACATCTCCAGCTTCTATCAGGCTCAGACCTACTCAGCCTGACTAGTGACATTAATTTTATTTCATTCCGTTTTTACTTACTTTCTTTGTTTTCTTTCTTTCTTCTCTATTATGAACAATATGAACAAAATGTATTTCAGTCAATATTTTAATTATTTTATTTAATTATTTTTAATTAATTAATTCTGGATTCAGCTGAAGTCAAAAATGAAAATGATGCACTACGAAAGATTTTTGTGACTTTGAAATAGACATACTTGAATGTTGACTCACTCAGTCTAAGTCAGACAAGCCTGAACCCCAGGGTCACCACTGATTATATATATATAATTTTGAGCCGAATAATAACTCATGTAATTGATGACATCTACCCTGAATCACAGTGTGGCTTTCATGCAGGTCACGGCACCATTGATATGATTTTCTCCTTACGACGGGTTGCTGAGAAAGTTCGTGAGAAGAATAAAGAGTTGTATATGGTGTTCGTTGACCTCACGAAGGCGTTTGACACAGTGAACCGTGCTGCCCTGTGGAAGGTTTTGAGGAAATTGGGAATACCAGAAAATATGTTAAAGGTCATTATCTCTTTCCATGATGGGATGAAGGCTGAGCTGGTGTCAAATGGTGAAACATCAGATTACTTTTCTGTGACGAATGGCATAAAGCAAGCTTGTGTTATGGCCCCTGTTCTTTTTGCCCTCTACTTTTCTGTCATGGGGAAACATACATTTGCAGGAGTGGAAGACGACATTAAACTTCAGTTTAGAACAAGTGGGGGCCTTTTCAATCACCAGAGATTCAAAGCCAAATCTCTGACAAGGATCAGCATAATCCGTGATCTTCTGTTTGCAGATGATGCTGCGCTAGTTGCAACTTCTTTTGAAGAAGCTCAACGCCTGATGGACAAACTCTCTGCTGCTGGCAAAGCATTCGGTCTTACCATCAGCATCTCAAAAACAGAAGTTGTTCACCAGCCTGCACCTACACCCAAGCAAGTGCGAGGCGTGAAACAAAACCCTCCTGCTCACAGGTTCCCTGATATACCGATTCGTGTTGACGAAAATGACCTCAAGTATGTGAAAAATTTTAACTACCTAGGCAGTAAAGTGAATGCAAGTGGAACTCTGGATGACGAAATTGTGAATAGAATTGCAAAAGCGGCTAACGTGTTTAGAAAACTACGTCACTGTCTTTGGAATGATAGGGGTATTCGTCTTGCAACAAAAATCCATGTGTACAAAGCAGTTGTCCTCACTACTCTTTTGTATGGATCAGAGGCCTGGACCCTGTATCGTAAGCAGATTCAGCAATTAGATGTCTTTCACAAAGGATGTCTCCGAGCAATCTGTGGACTAACTCTGCAGGACAAAAAATCCAATGCCGACCTTCTAACGACGTGTAACATTGACGGAATTGAGAGCTTCCTCATGAGGGTACAGTTACGATGGGCCAATCATGTTGTGCGGATGCAAGATGGTAGAATTCCAAAGATTCTCATGTACAGCCAGCTTGAAGGTGGTCAATGGAATGTTTAAAGATAAGCTGAAAAGTATCCTTGCAGCTGCAAATATTGAACACACTGATTTGGAGAATACTGCCTTGGATCGCAAAGCTTGGAAAAGTGTAACTTACACTGGAATCAGGAATTTTTCGGCGGCAAGCGTTGTCAAGCTCCGTGAAGGTGCCAGAGAAGTGCACCCTCTTTGCTCACATGCTTGCCCAATCTGTGGTTTTCTTTGCAAGTCATTAGCAGGTCTGAAATGTCACTCTAGATTCAAACATGAGGGTCATTAAAAGGTTGTCGGAACCTCATAAGACGAAATCGACAGGAGAGTCCATCATTATATATATATATATATATATATATATATATATATATATATATATATATTTTATATATATATATATATATATATATATATATATATATATTAGTGTAACCCGGATATAAGAGAGATTTTCTCTGGTCCCGTCCTCCCCAATATAAGAGAGTTCGTTTTGAGTGACAGTGTGATGTCAAACAGAGGTCAGTTAGAGAGAGAGTGAAGTTCAATGACTTAATCTTGACTAGTCTAGAGACACGTGTGTCCAATCTGTCTGTAGGAGACACCCTCTACCTTATGATTTTGCTTTTGTGTGTCTAAGGTGGCGCCACCCGCTTTTTTGTCGAATTTTTGCTTGTCATTGCATTTACTGGACAGCACTTTCACTTTACCCACTGTTCTGTTGAGTCAGAAGTTTGTCTGTTTGTTAATTTTGCCATTGAAAACCATTGACCCGATCATCGCGATTAGTGATGTCAGCGAGTGGCGTCTCAATAAAAAACTGAGCATTTCTGAACAGATGGAGCTCATAATTTGTTATGTCAAAGTGAAGAAACTCAAACTGGCCACTGCAGCCAAAAAGTACGGAATCGGGTTATTCAACAGCAGCAAAAATTCTCAAGAAAGAAGACGATCTCAGATCTTGCATGCAAATGAACGGAAACACTAATCGCAAACAAAAGCGCCAATCCGTGCACAAGGACGTTAACGAAGCACTTACACAATGGTTTAAGCAAGCATGTGCTCATGGAGCTACCGTCACCAATCATGTCATCAGGCAGAAAGCATCACAACTGGCCGTAAATATTGAAGTTGATTTTGAACCGAGCAATGGCTGGCTCATGCGCTGGAAGCAGGCCAATAACATTTCATTCAAAAAATTTCACAGCGAATCAACGTCAGCAGATCACGGTTTTTCATGAATATGATCCAAAAGATGTTTGGAACTGTGATGAAACGGGAATTTTCTACAACGCCATGCCGTCTGGATCTTTGCGATTTGCCAGCGACGAACAGTTAAATGGGACAAAAGTTCCCAAAGACAGACTCACGATGCTTCAGTTTACAAACATGGACGGCAGTGAAAAGCAAGCTGTAGTTGGTAAGTCAGCAAAACCACGCTGCTTTAAAAATGTCAAAACTCTGCCATTTTCTTACTTCGCTAATCGTAAAGCCTGGATGACTAGTCAGCTGTTTACTGACGTTATGAAAACGCTTGATCGAAAAATGATTGCTCAAAATCGAAAGATTATTCTGTTTTTGGACAATGCAACTTGTCATATCTTACTGCGGTACAAATCTGTCAAACATCAAATTGTCATTCATGCCACCAAACACCACCAGTCTCATTCAACCTTTGGATCAAGGCATCATTCGTTCATTCAAAGCGTTATCGTAAATGGGAACTTATTCAATGCAAATCCAGCGATCAATGCTACACCGCCAGTGCCGCTGTCCGAGGTGGCCAAGCAGATAACTGTTTTGAAGGCCATGCACATGATGAAGCAAGCACTTTTCATGGTCAAACCGTCAATAAGAGGTTTTCTGTCAATGTGGCATGTACTATATTGTTCAGTAATTACAGGAATGTCACACTCATTAACCGAAAGTTGCACATTGGATCAGTTATTTTAATTTCGATTATAGGTGCAGTACATTGTTATCCTCTTATTACCGAGAAGTAAAAAACAAGAACAAATCTATTTCCATACTTGAGGATGTCTGTAGGAACAGACGAAAGCTTGTAAAAACAAAAAAAGACATTATGCATCTGGAAATTTTAAACAGGGATCATATCATTCATATACAGGTTCGGGGTTATTGAAATTGTTTGCAAAGATGTATTTTCGCCATTTAAATCATTAACCTCTATATTTGTTTTTTGTATGAATGATTCATGTAATTATAAATTGAACTGCACCTATAATCGAAATATATATATATATATATTTATTTAAAAAATTTATAACATAAATATGTTATAAAATCACTACAAAAATAGCCATTTTGTTTCAACACTCTCGTTGTCTTATCTTATATATCTTATATATATATATGTGTGTGTACACATATTAGTTACTATACAGTTAATATATGAATATATATGGTTAGTATTTCCTGTTTCTATGCAGAACCTCAATGCTGGAAACATTTCATCTAAAATTCTGATGTTCCATTCTCCATTTGTGAGTAAGACAAAGAATATAATTTCAAGTCAGTCTTAGTCAAGGGTTGCATGGAATTGCATCACAGGCACAATTCAGGTTCAGTATTAAGATAGCAGCAAAATAGAAAAAGAGAAATGACTTACCTTGAAACATCTTTATAGTTTTTACCAATCCTTTCATACTTCCTCTTGCCAAATTAAAACTGAGAAGAATATCCAAATCATCTTTCACAATCTTTCCCTCAGCATCACTAAAATATAACAAAATATGTCCATTTAGTGAATATTAAACACACTTAAAATATCTCAGTACATCAGTCAATCAGTTATAAATTTAGTAGAGAAGATAAGGAAATTGAATGTAGGAAAGGGGCTGCGGTAGAGATAGTTTCTCCCAATACCACAAATTGCTACAAAACCAAAATATTAACCGGAAAACATGAGTCTTGTTCATCAAATCAAGATTTTCATCGGGATGTCATACATCGTGCCAAACCCATCAGAAATATCTAGACTGTCTGATATATACAACTGCAAAGATTAAAAATGTCTTTGAGCAAATGAAGATTGTGGGCTTTAGAAAAGAGAACACTTCTTCGAACTTTGTGGATTGGCATTACTACAAAATCACAAAGAATTTTACAAATACCAGAAACCACATCACTTGAAAACTTTCAACAGCAGTAACAACTAAAATGGATATCACATGTAATTCAAAGAGTAAATAATGACAATCAAGATGTTGACATCCAACATTATTTCAAATAAAAGGTTAGGAAGAAAAACCCCATCAATACTGGAAAGATCAATAACACCTACTGGACTTGAGAAACCTAGAGAGTAAAGAGAGGTAAAAAGTGTTGACATTTTTGATAGAATATTTTGAAAATCTACCTAAATATAATAAATTATAAAATCATAACTTGCTGTTTATGAACTAAATAACTCATAAAGCTATCAAACTTTAATGACAACAATTTCCCTAAAACCAATTTATTCTACATGTAAATGAAGAGTAAGCGTTCTCAAAGCAAATTTATGGCTTTCACAACACAAAGAAAGAAAATCACTTGTAACGCGTCAGGAAAATAACTCACGAACGCCGTAGCCAAAAATGCCCGAATTTTCCTTCCCCGAGTCGAAAACACCAACTGCTTTCCATTCGTCGACAGCTGGGATAGGATGCTCCGTAATTTGCATATCAATATACTCTTATAGCGACTCCTGCGACGGACTTGTTTCTTTTTTCGTCACAGAATACACGCGACGCGCTGTTGCTTAGGTTGACGAGGTAAGTCGCTATAAGAGTTTTGCCGACTACTTTTTGGTAATCCTTCTTCGGCAGATCGCACACAAAACACAAACTTTTTTCCGGGGTACTTGATTATCTCGTTCACTACAGTAAATCTCTCAAAGAAACAATGTATGGAACAAAAGAAAAAGACTTGGCCTACATATAGCCAGCCTTCCATTAATAACCAATTTTAAGCCACAGTTTTTAAATTTTCTTACTCATTCATTATTACAAACTTACGAATTTATTTTATTTCATTTTTGCTAAAATTTTCCCCTGAATACAAGGCCCAAGAGTCATGGTTTAGTTTATGACATATCAACCCCTCAATGGGTTATTTAATGTCGACAAGATTTTTATTTCTGGTAATATATTTTCCAAAAATGTATTACTGGTAATTTTTTTTTCTTCAAAAATGTATTGTTGGTAATATTTTTCCTTCAAAAAATTTATTGCTGGCATTAAAACCTATTTTTACACTTTCATAGTGTTTTAACCCCAGTTTTGGAGTTAACTATTTACCCATAGCTGGAACCCTGGCAAGTGCTATCACTCCAGGTCAGGGTGGACCTGGGAACACAAGCAATTAAGAGGCCTTGCTACTGGATGTAGTTTATCATCTTACCCAGGACACCCCAAGAGTTATACAATTACTGAATGTTCAACAAGATTTATTATTCATGGATGTAAATTTGGGGCCTCTGGTTCTATGTATACAAATTGCTACCATTTTAATGTGCCACATTCCATTTTAGTAGACATACAGATAAATCCCATGATATTTGAAACCACAGTTTTATGTAATATTTGTACACACAAACAGACATTCAGAGTTTTATATATTATATTAAAATGACTCATGGCTTGGAAAGTAACATCAAATTTTCATTGAAAGAAAAAACACATTCAACTGTAACAAATAATAAATTTGTCTAGAACAGATCACCATTGTTAGCAATGATAAAATACAATGATCCATGGCTTGATATAAATTGTTTATAAGCTACAAATGAATTGACCGTAAATCCTGTGTATAAAGCTTCATTGTTATAGTCTTTCTTCTCTGACTCATTCAGCTGCTGGTAGTTGTTGACCGATCCACCCGATGAACCAAGCAGGTGAATATAGTCAGTTGTACTTGTCACACAGCTTGCACACCAACTTTCATTATCCATTTTAACTTAGCACTGGTGTGCATTATCGTCAACAAAATCAAACATTTAAGATCTAACTTTATTTCAGACTTTTTCCTAAGGTGCTGAAATAGTTTTTTGAGTGATAACTAAAAAAAAAAAAATAAAAAATAATAATACAGCCACTCTTCACTTATTTAATGACCAATGAACTTATGCTCAGCTATAAAATTTCATAAAAATGAAAAAAAATTTAGTAATTTTTTTCATATATTTTTATATTTTTTTACTGGCTGTTTTCTCTTTCATCAAAAATCAATCAAAATAATTGAAATGAATATTGAAGTAAAAAATAAATAAAACTTGTACTGTATTTACAATAGTTAAACTGAAGTACAAAATAGCTGATTTGTTTTTATTTTGTTTACTGCATTTACTGTTCAGTTACAGGCATGTGGCTGAGAAGTTAGAACGTTCGCATTCTGACCATGAGACCCGGGTTCAAATCTCCCCTTTATCAGGAAGGAGACTTCCTGATGCTATCGGATTGGAGGGGGAGATACCAGCGTGCGGCACATTTGGAAAGTGCCTGAAAACCATAACCCAGGCTTTACCCAAGCCTTGTGAGTGAAATTGGGTAGACAGAAGCCTTGGGGGCAATCAACAGCAGGGTTTGAGCGTGCTGGCCTTTTTCAAATTGTTGATCACTCTAGATAAAATTCTCTTTCCCAGAAAATGTAACTAAGGTCTGCTCAACATAGTTGCAGTATAAGCCACAGGTGGGCTCTGTCGGTGTTAAACAAACACAAATGCACCTGAGCAAGCCTCTGCAACAGGGATTGGCTAGCTGCTCTAGTATGACAGGTATTCTCAAATACGAGTAGCCATTTACTGTTCAGTACACTACCGTACTATATAAACATTCAGAAATAAAATAAAAATGTCAAAAATGGTGCAAAAGTTACACTAAATCTACCAGAAGACAATTAACACAAACCCATTAAATGTATAACATGCCTGAAGTAGTGATTGGGTACAAGTTCTCACTTAGCGACCAGGTTACCAGAATGGTTCCTGGTCATTAAGTGAGGAGCAACTGTATTCCCTTCTGTTATCCAATAAGTCATTATTTATTTACAGAAGCCATATTTGCTTCTGTGATAATAAATGCTCCCGGCTCACATCTGGGCCAGGGAGCATTTATTATTATTCACAACATCAACCAGATTTATCTCTCATGGCTGATTGGTTAAAATTGGAAGCCATCTCAATTTGGTCAAGTGGAATACTGGAATTAATACACTCTGCAAAACTCAACATGAAATATGTTTTTGTTACTTACAAAAGGACATCTGATAAGAATTTGTCAATCTCTTTCAGGACATGTCGGCTGAGAAATTGTGGCCGTTCATTGCTGACTTGAGATAAACACAATGGCTGCATATTCTCTAATGCATTTCTGTAAATAAAAACAATCGTCATATTTCAAAAAAATATTCAAACAGAATGTCTATATAAGAAATTAATTTTATTTTCATACTACACGATAGTAGATCAGCATCTTTTGAAACAAAAAAATGATTTGATTGATTGATATTTTTTTGACTTATCAACCCTTTGTTGGTTATTTATAACCAAAACATTTTTTCTGGATTGTAAGAATAATTCTTTTTTCGCAAGTGACTATTGCATTAACAATTTTTGGAGATAACAATGATTTTTCTCGATACAAGTCCTACTATTATTTATCACATATATATCTCTTTCTTCAATCCACAAAAAGAAATTATTTACATTCCTGTCACATCAATCATCCTTGTTCAGGAAACTTGCAATCATCAATTCTTCCTTATGATTTCAAATCTGTTTCTTCATTGAACCAGTGTATATTTCGGCATTACATGTTCCAGGTTACTTACAACCTTCAGAGAAGCAAATGAGTATTAAAAACACTCTTAACCAATAGGTCATATTCAATTTTCATCAGTTCTTTCAATGTTATGGATCTTGATTTTCAACCCCCTTTCTGATCAATGCCAAACAATTTTCATATTTTAAAAGCTTAATGACACTTAAACTTGGATTAACTGTAGAAAAACCAGGAAAAAAAAATGTCCTGAAATTTAATAAATTAACAAGGATAATATAATTTTTAGAAGTAAAACAGTAAAAAGTTTTGTGGCCACTATGTACACAGATGAAGGAATCATTAAATTTTACAAAGCCTGTGGTCGGCAACCTATGGCATGCATGCCACATATGGAACATCAAGTAATTTCCAATGGCATGCATGCCACATATGGAACATCAAGTAATTTCCAATGGCATGCAGCTGCAAATGAGGTCACAAAGTCTGAACCAATAACTATTACAATGCAAAGATATTTAGCTGTTTCAAAACTACTCACTCAGTGGACTCCCATTAATAATAAAAACTTTAAAAAAAAAAAAAAAACTTTTAAAAACAGTTTATTTCTATTAACGTGGCTTACATATTGTATATATAACTATATAAAATATATTGTCGAACAAGTATATTGACCTTGACTGGTATAAAAATATATATGCTGTTGGTACACTGAATGATTTTAAAACTAAGTCAGCACATAGTCAGTAAAAGGTTGCCAACCTCTGCTCTAAGATACATTAACAAAATAAATGAAAGCAAAAAAGCATTACAAAAAAAAAAAAATGGAGTTTAGAGAAAGAGAATTTTCACTTCAATGCAAACTTTCCTGATAAAAAACTAAGAGAATAACTTAGTTTAAAAATAAAACTCATCAACTGCCATAACTAACTAAATATTTGTATCGATATTCACTAGTCTGACAAAAGGCTAATTGGGTGGGAATGAGAAATTATTGTATTTCACCCAGTGGAAGGGGTTTGCCTGCTTTAAAGAAAAAAAAAAAAAAAAAAAAAAAAAAAAAAAAAAAGAAAAAAAGAAAAAAAAAATGAAAAAAAAATAAAAAAACAGTATTTTGGCTTTTTTTTTTTTAACCCTGACCTAGTTAGTGTAAACTATGATACTATTTCACTCCTTTATTGATCTAAATTTCTTGTGTGAACTGAATGATCTGTTTAAATCTCAAAGTTCCACAAATATCCTTTAATTTATTGAATAAAGGAAACCATCCAATGCATAATATTATAGTGATGCAAACGGGATCAAATTTGCTCTCTAGTTTATGAATACTATCTGTAGTGATACTAGCAAATTAGTATGCATAATTTGCATAGGCAGAAGTGAACATTCTTATAAGTGGTCACTGAGAATAACCACCAGTAGTAAGAGTCTAGTGACTGATTAGTGCTAACCTCTACTTCACAACACTATCAGTACTAGCTTTGACAAGATAGTGTTTTTTTTTTATCTCTCTCTCTGTATATATATATATATATATATATATATATATATATATATATATATAAAAACAGAGGATGTCTGTATGTCTGTGTGTGATACATTTTCACTCAAGATCCATCCAACCGATTTTGACTAAATTTAGCATATACATTGTACAATGTAAAAGATAGGTTCTTAGAGTAAAAAAACAATAATTTTTAAAAAAATCAATAATTGATAAAGCCGATCAAAAAATCGATAAATAAATTCAACTCTTTTTCTCCAATTTCCTTCAAACTCGGTATGTAGGTTACTTACATCATGATGAGCTCCACGATACCTCATTTTTATTTCTATGCCACTGCATTTAGCAAAACCCCACAAAAACAAAAAATCAATTTCAACACAAATTTTAAACTAAAATCTCCCTCAATTTTCAAGCAATGTAATACAAACCTTACTCAATTGTAGCCAACAATAAGTTGATTGTTTAACAGTCATTTAACTTGATAATTGAGTTCACCCATATACTGAAAATCTGCGCAAATAACAAAAAAAATGATGATTTTTTACTGGTTTGTTTCTTATTTTGTGCTGATCTTTCAACCAATTTTCATCAAACTTAACAATTGCTTTATAAATGTATCCTCTTTTATATCCCTGGTAGCACACTGACAAATTAAATTTCAAAAACTCCAAAGTAATTGCGGTCTGAAGTGGGTTTTCATGTTGCCTGTCGTCAGCTAAATTTGATTGAATAAATACAGACAACTTCTGTTATATCAGTAACTGCATTAATTTTAAATGTTTTTTTAATGAAAGTACTTTAAAGTAAGATTTGCTAAAAAGATAATGAGGGAGAGGAAAAAAATATAAATCACACTCTTGTATAGATATTTCTGGATCAAATGTTGGTAAATTCACAAAACCAAAATATCGACTCACCTCGTCTTCATAAGAACGTTCTGTTTCATGAGTTCATTGCTCGGCAAT